AGTATGTGTACGCAAGTGAAGTTTCAGGTTATTGCTATACGCGAAGCCCCTACTACAAACACCACAGCGGTAGGGTTTTGCGCCAGTGTGTACGCGAAGGTGCGACACCAGGCTTGCTTTTACGGAGAATCCCTTGTCGCAACTGCTACATTGATATGGTTTTTCACCGCTGTGTACCCGCTTGTGTCGTTTAACATCACTACTCTGGGCAAAAGCTTTGTCGCATACATCACATTTATATGGTCGCTCTCCGCTATGTGTACGTTTATGTGGCTTCAAGTGTGTTTTGCTTGCAAAACGCCTGCCGCACACATCGCATTCGTATGGGCGCTCTCCGCTGTGAGCACGCGAATGTTCTCGTAAATGACTGCGTTTACTAAACCTTCGTTCACAAACCTGGCACTGAAAAGGCTTTTCCCCGCTATGAACTCTGAGGTGACTCGCTAAGTTCGTCGGGTGAGAGAACTCTTTACCACACTCAGGACATTTATATGGTTTATCTCCACTGTGAACACGAAGGTGACAATTCAAGTTACTACGCTGAGTGAATTTTTTCCCACAAATTTCACATTCATACGGTTTCTCGCCATTGTGTATTCGTATATGCGGGATGAGGTAGCTTTTCTGCGGAAATCGTTTGCCGCATATTGGACATTGAAATGGCCTTTCCCCTGTGTGTACCCGTTCGTGTGTTAAAAGCGCGCCTTTATACGGAAAAGATTTTCCACAATATTCACAATCATTGGGTCCCAAAGTTTTTCCAATCTGCGCTTTAAAGTCAGTTTTTAACGGGCCTGTTTCTGTAGCGTTTAATTTGACACTATCCATAACGTGATTCATGGCATATGCATTCGAATTCGCTATATCTTCATCCTGTTCACTCGTACAGTTTTTCTCTGTGTAACTTACGTTCGATTGTTCAATTTTATGTTTCACTTGTGGTTCCTTAATATTTTCTCTTAAATGGTGTTCATCAGCTATGCAATTGCAATTGTGCAAATGTTTTTCTTCCAATTCATACTTCAGGCCACAAAGATTGCATCTGCATATTTGATCTTCAAAAAAAGAGTTTAAATAACAAGATTGAATGCAAAAACAACAAATTTGTGTGTGATAATTACATAAACTGGTCTTCTTTGTGCAATGTTCCAGGCCAGGATCTGGAGGTATTTAAAATTGCCCTTCTGTGCTCTAACCAGGAAAGGAAAATATCACTTTGGCTGAAAAAGTAGAGCATCCAGGAGTGGATTTGTCTACCAACCTGAATGCTTTCAACAACAACCTCCTTGTAAGGGGGTATTTTAGCCTAAAATTATCTGCACTGGTGGTCACCTGGGGGGTGGCTAGGGGCACTCAGCCCCAAGAATATTTTGAAGGACAATGGTCTTTTGTTCTAAAACAATTTGAATATGACATCATCTTATCAAAAGAATAGGCTTGCCCCCCAATATTTAACCAAGTGTCTACCCCTGATTATCTGGGACAGGTTTGGCTTAAAATTTCCTTTACTTCTCCTATCTGGTGCACTTAGAGTTTCCAGTATTTGGTAGTGACTTAGTCATGAATGGGTAAGTAAATTGAATTGTCTCGGATTTGCTTGCTTCTATCCATAATCAGACCTCCAGCCTCTGGCCATAATAAGACCCTGTTTTTGTTACACAAGATGTAATGTATGTTTCTAATAGACAACAGAGATGGTTTACAAATTTAAAAGTTTAGCAGTTCTAAAATGGGCAGATATGAATATGAGGCAGAGGGGATTTATATATTTTTTCATCAAATATTTGGTGAATAAATTGGATGCATAATTTCTGGACCTTCAAATAATTTTGTTTTATATCTGGGAAACGCTTGCACAGTCATAGCATAAAGCTAGCCTTTCCAAGAAATTGTTCACTCTTGCAGACAACATCTACTGAAACAGAAGGTACTTCTGCTGCAATTTTACATCTTTTTAAGCAACAAATTTTTTCAATTGATTTGCTGAAAAATTTGTCTTTGTACAGGGCCTGCACCATGACCATGCCCCCCCTCCATTTTTTGGTGAAGAAAGTAGTTTTAAAGCTGCAGTAAAAGGGCTAAGAAGCCTTGGCCCCTTTTTTCTAGCCTTGGCACCCAACTTTTAAATTTGTGGCGCTGTTGTATGTTGTCTACTATTTGCTAGGTTTTTTTAATCTCCATTTAGGGCCTAACTGATGCTTAACTGGTGTGTCTCTTTCCAGAAGCTTAACTGGTGCGTCTCTTTCCAAACGTAGTTATACAGTCAAAACTCACCAACGATGACCTTGTTCGTCTGTGACACAACATCATTTTGATCACATAAATATGGGCCAGTACAATCAAACTTGAAGCCACCCCTAATACAACTGTACTTTTGGTCTAAAAAGGAATTAATCCATTAAGAAATTCAATATGAACCATCAAAGATCTATTTTTCTTGTGATCAATGTGAAATGATTTACGTGAGAGATAACCATTACCTAGGAAATGCAAAATCTGATGAATAACAACATGCCAATTTTCCTATTGAACTAGCAGCAGAAGTTTAAAATTGAAAGATTAATATTTTTTCGAATGAGTTTGTATTTGTATTTTGTATTTGTTTCTACCTAGCATCCGAAGGTAGTTTTTAGGACACTCAGAAGCTTTTGCTTATCAGGCAGTGTCCTGGTTCTTCTGCTCGATGTGACCACACCTCTTGATGTGACCACACCTCTTTGCCTGGAATAACAGCAAACTGGTGACTCTCCTCACCCTGGGTAAAAATTTGGTTATGCCAGGGACTTGAACCACAGCCCCTTGTGTCTGTAGTCAGCGCCTCTAACAACTGAGCCATCCTGGAGTTTTTACAATCCTATCCATCCAGGATTTTATAGCATATATATACTAAATGGCATAAATTAATATTGATTGAATGGACATGCCCTCTTTGCTGGGCAATTTGAATTGGAGGTATAAAAATCTGAAAAAGATGCAAAAACAGAACGTGTTATTGCCTTCAGCTCAGTTTAACTTCACAGACGTTCAAAATAACTTGGCTGAGTAACATTGCCCTTTGTGTTATCTTGAAATTCGGTTGTTCATTGTATTTTCAGTCATTTTGTATTATTTTGTATTATTTTGTGAAATCATAAGAAAGTTGCATCTTGCAGAAAAAGAAAGTTGCATCAACTATCTTTTATCAAACAAGTGTCCTAATGTTTACAGACACAATGGATGAGACATGCCCCTCCTCTGACTGGGCCAGCTTCATCCAAACTTTCAAGACGGAAAGCTTGCTGATTATACTTCGGTAAAGTTGATTTTAATTGAGAAAACTCCTAAAGTGTGCTAGATTAGAGCGATTAGAAGTTAGATTTTATTGTAACTTACCCTCACCGTTCATGCTCCCTTTACTTCCTCTGTTCCCATCCCAAGGCCAATCGAGCAAGGTCAAGATCCAGCCTCGACTTCAATGTCGGAAATGAGGTTGTTTGTTGTTAGAGCTGACGCCATGTTTTGATACATGCAACGGTTGAAAAGGTGTCCTTGAAAATGGCGTTTATTAGGCACCTAAGACTGAACATGCTCCGTACCTAACACTCAGTTCTTGTGTCAGTTGACTTGTATTTATTTACAAATGTTTAGCTTGTATCCCACCTTTGTTAAAAGTTTCTATAAAGTCAATAGCAACTCCACCACTACTAATTTCCAACACTACTTTCAAAATGAAATTAAATAGTGTGAAGACAGAAACTTTTGCGAGTTTGGTTCGCTCCATACACACCTCATTTACGTGGATCCGGGAGGCTAAGGCTCCACGCCCGCTGCTTCCAAGGAGATGCACTAAGAGGTACATTGTTAACATTTTATTTGAACCTGCATTAAGAAAAGCCAGATCCTTCTACAATGTATAGTACAATTTGATTACACTCATTGAGCAGCCGACAATTGATGCAATTTCACGAAATCAATTTGCTTTATTTTAGTAGAAAGCAATTTGTAAGCGCTTCTCTTAATTCAGTTCTTGAATTTTCAGAGCTTCCATGTTTTCGTCTCGAGACCTATAGAAATTTTATGGTCGTGTGAAACAACAACGTCGTGTGAAAATTTCATGGAAATAGCTGCCGCACTTTTTTAATGAAAAAGGTTTTAAAAAAGTATTTCCAAATTTGTTGCATAAAATGTCTTCGAAGTTTCGAAGTGTGTCCCAATACTATTTGAATGTAAGTGTAGTACAATGTCGATGAAACACTGACTTTGCCCCAAAAACCCAGAAAGGCTGATGATGCAAACTTTATAACAACAGATAAACAAAACAAGTAGATTTAAAATACACACTGCTTGGATATAATCTCAAAATCAATGAATCAAAAACAGAAAAGACAGATCTTGAAAGGAAAATCAAAGACTGCTTGCGAGAAATAGACAAAGTTGGATAAAATTTGTGAACGACATTTATGCTGCTGCTAAAAGCATAAGAAAACTCATATTAAGTTACAAATTTCTCTTAAATGTGGAATAGTTTTATAAATAGAAATCCCCTGCTTCTTCGTGTTCCATTTTGTGCACATATAAAAACAAAAACTTCAGTCACAAGTTTCCTTCCTTGCGGTTCGTATACATTCACGTATGATCGTGCAATAATTTCTTATTGAATGAAGAAAATTATCATTGACTCTTGAGAGGGACTCTAGGAGCAATCCGTAAGAATCAGGAAATGAATGATATTGAAATCGTATGTTCGTTAACAATATCAGATGAAATACAGTACCAAAACAAGTCCAGTTGCAGAAAGAGCTTTACGGTCTCCCATACATAGTTATATAATTATTATTATTGAATATTATTAACAATATATATCATTTAATAGATGCAAAAGGCCGATTTCAAATTCGAAAAAATTTGAGCGGGAATTCGTCAGCAAATAATGGATAATGAAATTGACGAATATTACTTTTGTTCACTTATGACGTAAGGTCAGGAGAAATGTGTGAGTCTATAATAATAATAATAATAATAATAATAATAATAATAATAATAAATTCGTATTTGCCCTAGTGTCCGAGCTAAAAGCTCAGTTAACATAAAAGGTATGTCTACTAGGCTTGTGTTATCCACCACATACATAATCACTTCATATAAACTGTGAGACACAAGATTTAGAAGTCATTCAATGTGAAAATGTAATATAGAACTTATTGTATCTGATCATACGCAAGGGCCGAGAGAAAATAGACTCACATGAATAACTTCTTAACCCTGTGTCTCCATATATAGTTGGCCATTATCAAATTTGATACCGAGCACCACTGTAATGTGCTCTTTACAATCAACTTATCTACTGACAATGATCTCATAACAGTCCAAACATCCTTTTTGATGCAACCAAGTGAGCCAAAGCAAAGCACTTTCAAATCCACCTCCCAACCTAACGACTGCAGCAGACTGCACAGCGGCTGATACCGTTTCTCTTTGGTGTTCAGTGCTTGCTCAAAATACAGATCGTAGCAGACAGTCACCTCTAAGATAATGCATTTACGTGACTGATTGTCAATGATAATGATGTCAGGTTTACGATGCGTAATACGCTGTAATTCATCACCATATTCCGTTATTATTGATTCTGCAAGTTTGTTTGCATGAAACTGGAAACCACTTATACTTCCTGAGATCACCTCAAATATTTTGTCAGCAATTCGATTGTGACGTCGACTATAAAAGTTGTGAAACTCTCTACATCCATTCATCAGATGTGCGACACTTTCCGTGTGCTGATGGCAAAAGGGGCAAGAAGGGTCATTATCACGATTCCATACATGCTTTGTGAAGTTTGTTGGAAGTAGACTCAACCGTGCTTTTATTGCAAACTTCACCAGTAAATCACTTACTTTCCAGTTGTAAAAAATTGAATGGGAGGATTTCAACTGAACATCAGTCATGCAGAGAAAGGGGCCTTGAACTGACAATTGCTTTGCTTTTTGCAAATCTCGATTAACTGTCTGTTTGAATAGCAACTTCTGAAGTGGAGCACCTTCATCAAAAAATTCACCATTAATAATTACTCCAGCCTTTCCTTGCCTGAACTCAATGGAAACATCTAGCTTTCTAGCATATCTCAGAAGATCTGGCCAATCTGATTGACACCCAAATTTGGTACGACTATTCAGGTAGCCGTCTTCACTAATCTCAAACCCAAGGAAGTTCATATCATTATCTGTTGAAGCAACTTTCCGTTTTTCCATATCCAAATTAAGGGATTGACGTGAAATGTTCATTAAATTAATAATAATAATAACAATAATAATAATAATAATAAGCAATTGGAGTGTCATATCAAGAGACTATGTGAAGGAGAGAAGGAGGAAAAATTAGTAATCGAACAATGTCAAAAATGGGTAGGCCAAAACTGCGAGATTGTTAAAACTTTTTATGAAAGAAAATAGAACAACAAAAATATTCTGCCTAGGCATTAGCCAGCAGTATAGTGGACACAACAAAAAGCAACAGAAACAATTTTGACAATAATAATAATTTATTAATTATCAATTTATTTAAAGTTGGTGCTACAAAGCTATTTACCGTGAAATGAGCGAATCCAAGCCAACTGTTAAAACTACTACATCAAATAAATGCATACGAGATTAAATACATAAAATTTTAGGTACATAATAATCCGTTAAAAACCGAATTTATAGTCTCCTATGCCATGCCCCTCCCCACTTTTTCGCAAAACAATAGAACTTTCTTGCAAAATATTTAATTATTGGTCCTCAATTTGCTCTTTGCCCCCTACTTTGCAACTTCCTTAGGAGCCCCAAATGTGATCTTTTAAATTCTGGTACGAATTCCGATAGTTTAAACGGTTTTATCCAAACAAATTTTAATAGATTGGACCGGTGTGCGTTCTACTAGCAGTTTTAGAATATATCTACGCAAAAATGAAAAACCTTTTTTGTGCAGACTGAAGAAGTTCGCTTCAGCCTTGAACTCCATTACTAATGCTGCATCCTATGTACGCATTGTGTAGATGGAATCTAAGCTGCCCTGAAGAAATAATGGAAAACGAAATGTTTTCTCTGCTGAAGTTTCTTAGTGAAATCTCTAAGAGCGTTTTCAACTTTCAAAATTTGCCAACGAACTCGCCCAAGTTGAGAGGAAAAAACACAAGTGCTATTATTCTGTACATAAAAAGCTTCTACAAACAGTCCTGCGTCCAACTAGCAAGAAGATTGAAGTAAAAGTACTGGTTTCATTTGGTTTTCGAGTTAGGTGAACTTCATGCTTTGCTCTCAACGTACATTCTCCATGCATCATGACCAGTAAGAACCCCATACCACATCGCAAAGTCGTCAGTATAAAGCTGGCATCTAGGTGAGTCATCTAAGGTAAACCCAATCCTGAATTGGCGGAACTCATTTGTTAAAGAATTACTATTCTTTGTGACGCTGCATTTATCAAGCTTTCCGTTAGAAAAGGCACAAATGCCTGCAGTAGGATGAAACGAGAGGATCAAATGATTCCATTCCCGTGTGTTGAGATTTTGACCAAAACCAGTAAGACTCCAAGTTTCAGTGTAGAATACAGTATATGTCAAAGCGCCAGTGGTTGGGTTATATGAGAGTATTTTCCCCATAGATGTCGCACCAGCCTTGTAGTTGTACAGAATGCTGCAACTTTCCCCCGGCTGCCGAATCTTGAACCAAATGGCGTAGGTGAACCCATCAGTGCATCCTTCAAATTTCCTAGCAAAAGAAAAATGTAGTTTGAAATCAAACAATAGTCATTTCTAAAAGTAAGAGATTCAGGGTGGAAACACTGATTTTCATGAGCAAGGTTTTGATGCTTGGGTGCTTGTTGCTTATGATTTATTGTATACATTTCAGCAGGTCATAAACCTAGCAGATTTAAAGCTAATTAAAACCCACAACTCAAAATTTAAAAAAATTAAATTAAAATTTGTAGTGTTTCATAATCATAATCATTTTCTCAGCTGGATTGAAAACAGGCCCTTCGAGAACTTTTATGGGGCAAAACGAAGATAAGGCCCGTGATGATATCATTACGAACTTTCGATTGCTTTTGTTGTTGTTATTGCTAAGAACATTGTAATATTTATTTGGGACCCTATCAGCTCGGGCCTAGGGCAGTCTGCTTCTCTGCCCCTTCACTCTGTGAGCTGTTACGAAAATAAAAGATTTTTCAAATTTTTTAGTGCATTGCTGAAGTGTCAACGGTAACAGTACGGTAACAGGTTCTATCGATTACTTCCCTTTGACAGGCATTTCTTGAAAGATAATTTACTCCACTACTTTTTAAGAATTTTTAAAGACTAGCAGAGCGAAACTTTAAAGTTGCCTTTTCTATGCATAAGTTTAGCCTCAGTAGACGCACCCGTATGTCGTCTCTCATGCTATGATACTATATATTTTCCTTTAATGGATTTATTTCTCTAACTGAAATTTTGCCGTGTATTATCATTCATAAGAATAAAAGACATATAGGAAGGATTCTTGCAAAATGGAACAGTTTATAGACAATTCAAGATTGGCCAAACCCCACCAAAGACTCCGGGAGATGCTTATAACGTGGTTCTATTCAGTGATAGTGTGCCCCCTTTTTGGTCATTTTCTTCTCAGCCCCTCCCCCTTTATAGAAAGTGAATGAATTTACAGTTACATACGTGAGACATGGAATGCTGGCACTGCTAAGGGGGCAATTCATGTTTCCATAACAGTAAGAAACCCGGCTTCTTCGACCTGGCTCATAAACAGCGGCGTTGTTTGAATTGAATCCAGTACTCTGTATATCCATGTTTGTTCCAGAAATTGGTTTATTTATAAACGAATCGAACGTCCAGTAGTAATCAGCCGTCTCATAAACAGCTTAGAAGAGAATATCACAAATTATTGAGAATAGTAAAAAATAAAAATTTCAAGATATCTTTACAAGCAAGACCAGGGGCGAAGGGTAAAGAGGGGGTAAAGAAGTGCTTTAGCCGACAAAAAGGGCGTGTCTCATTCTTTAAGGGTGTGGTCAAAAAATAAATTCTCTTAGATGCTGCTTTTATGCGTTTCTGTTTCAAAGTTCATACTTTAGTGCCATACTTTGAAAGTTCAACTACACAGAAATGTTAATATGTTTCAATTGTTGCAAAAAGGTTACAGAGTGAGTACGAAAATTGCTTCTTTTGCCCGGCAAAAATCTTTAATTTGCCGACGGACAAATTGTTGGGGAGTACCGCAACCTTTGACGAACCTCGATGACCCATTCTTTTGTAGTCCTCGGTTCGGGCATGAATTTCTTTAAGGGAAGCAACTTTTGCCGGAAGCAACTTTTGCGGGAAGAAACTTATTGGCCAGAATTATCGTTTGTTTCTTCCGTGAAATTTGCTAAAAAGTTAGATTCGCGAAAGCTCATTCTTGCGAAAGTTCGAGAAGTATAAACTGCGCGCGAATCTATTTATAAAAATATATTAGCGAAATATTGTTCAAGCTAAGTTTCATAAAATATAAATTTCGCAAAATGCTAATTCTGCAAAATGTCTGACTATGAAAGTCGAAAATGTTTTCCAAAAGTAAACTTCAAAGACCTGGCCTGCATGCTTTCTGCAAGATGCTGCACAAGAGAAAATGGAGAAGATAGATTATTCGCTACTTCTTTCACTATTAAATCAATCATTAAAGTATCATCGAGGGGCTTTCTTTTCCTTCAATATTGCTTGCCTTTACACTGATTAGCATAGTTCGGATGTTCGGAAAGCCATTTTGGTAAATTCGGGAAATTGTTCTCTAAAGGTTTTGCGTTTTTTTAAAAGTTTCTTTCCTTTAAAGTTTCTTCCCTTATATGACATATTTCAATCAAATAGAATAGAAGTAAGAGTGGAAGTATAGAATAGAAATAAGAGTAGAACAGGGAACATTCCAATCAAATAAACCTGGAATGTTTCTAGACTAGTAGTTGCATTTCTAGCCCTTCCATGCATACAGTTTTTTGAAGGAGAAATACAAATAGGTACACTAATACATGGGCTCTGACACAGGTTGGAAAGTGGGGGGGGGGGCAAGGGACAATTTAACACCCGTAGCAAAAGATTTTGAAAAAGTACTATTGTTTTGCAAAAAGTGGGAGGGCCATGGCCCACCCCCATCTCGGCTCCCTTCGTGGGAGGCCCCGAAATTTTTCATAGGAAGCGGTCTACAGGAATCCGAGGCCCATAATGACCAAAAATTAAGAAACAATATTACTTCTTTAAAGATGGGGCGGAAAAAGTATATTTCAACTATGTGAACTGTTTAATGGACATAGAAAAGAAAAAGAGAGCTCCTTTTGACTTGTTAGGTGATCTTTTTCATGTTATTGCATGTTAAGGTTTTTGTGTTTTAAACAAGTAGCTCACTTATAGTACTATTTGGCATTTAAGAAACCGTTATGAAACTTTTAGTACTGAAACGAAAGTAAACGAGTGTATATATCCTAGCACACATGCAATTATTCCATGGAGCCCTAAAAAGAGAAAATAGCGCGGTGAAGCGTGTTGTTTGAATGCCATTCGCATTTTACATGAAGTACCGTTGCGCGCGGACTTGTTATTCGGTTTGAGAGTCTCTTGTAATCTCAAAGACCTTTGATATTTCACTGAAAGAGAGCTTCCAAATGATTCAGTATTTTATGGTTATGTCTACGACGAAACGAATGCAAGAAGCTGTTAGCCGTGCAGCTAAAGCCCTTAGTCAGCAGAAATTTTTTTACTTTGATGGCGGCAAACAAAACACCAGCAGATAGCTGACCAGAAAATGAAGCCGATTCAATGAGGCCGATTCATTTTCAAAGTCAGGGTAAATATGAAATTTTAATACTTCTCATGCGATATGTTTGGAATAGACCTTTTGTTTTGACAACATTACAAACGGGTCTTTTGTTGCATTAGAAGAGTTCATTTCTTTTAATTCTCTGGAAGAAGACGAGAGCTGCCTGACCCCATCAGGAACCCTAGAATCATTCACAACAACCCCCCCTCCCCACTTTGCCCTTTCAAAATATAGCAATGCCCTTTATTTTGCTATTATTCTATCCTTTTTCTTGGTGCTTTGCAAAAAGGCCTATCTGACATCTCTGTATGGCTCTGAACATGGAATAAATTAGGTAGCATCGAACACTTACTGGCTATTCTTTCACAGTGCTTGCCCAATGTTTTGTATGTCTTATTGCTTCTGCACTCACATAAGTATGATCCATTAACGTAATTTGGTACACAAGTTCCATTGTTTTGACATGGTTTTTCACTGCAGATGCTCTGAAATTAAAAATTAAAATGTTCTTTTTAATTAAACCTTATCTGTTTATAAAGAAAGCCATGAGAAATAATATGATCAGTTGAAGTACGGTATGTGGAGAATTGGTGGCAAGAACGCTTTAAGCCCAGCATGAAACAGCAAGTGTCTTTTTTATGGTTAAAAGGCAGTCTGTCCCTTCAATGATTGGCTAATAAGAACAAAAGGTCTTCCCCCTTAACGGATTACGCAGCTCGCTTTGGCTGGCCTAGCTGCGGTAGTCGACGACATTTGAAACTGGGAGCAAAAAACCAACGGGAGATTTGATCACTGGAATTGAATGGTGATATCCCTCTGTTTAATTCTGATTTTTCTTACCTCTGTATAGAGATGGATGAAATTTGAATCGAACAATTGCAAAGAACTGTTGGAGAATATATTTCCATCAAGCAATTGACATTCGTAGCTCCCTTTTACAGTGATGTTGAGATTTATAGAGTAGCATTGACTATCTCTGTTGCACAGTGTTTGGCATTCCTTGATATCACTTGTTCTCTGCACACGGAAAGCCGTTATATTGAGGTAAGTATTGTTCTTCGCATTCATAGCCATGTACTTTATTTCTGGTGTGTAGCAGTAAAATCTTGAACTACATCTCTCTGCTGACGTAGCAGCAAACAGAGCAAGCAAGCCCAACATTTCTGTACTAAAAGTAGATCGTCAAATGTTATCAACCACTAGGAGAGTGACAAGAATCTATACTTAAATATCATTTACAAGAGCAGCAAAAGTATATGTAATTCAAGCAAATCTATAAGCAAGAAAATACTTCTATAAGCAAGAAACATTGACTGAACATTTACATCGAATCCCACTCCTGTCGCCAACATCAGATATTTTCGTCCCTAGCTTTGCTTTCTAAGTGACAGAAAAATGGCTAATTAATTTGCAAAATCAATTTCTTGTGGATGCTTGATAGATTCATTCAAAATGCAAGTGTGAATTGCTACAAAAAATATTTTCACTCAATGGCAAATCATATCTGAAATACGCCTAACAATTTCGTTTGTTAATGTCAATGAAGTGACGTTTATTAATTTACGAAAACAGGTATTGCATGATTGCACCAGGGCTCATTAATAATATATTGTGCCTGCGAGCGCAAAGCTGAGTAAAAATGTGTCTGCAAGTAAAATAGGGAGCAGTTTATAATCTTAAATTGCACCCTATAGATTGAGAACCTCCCTGTTACCCTCAGTGCTGCTACACCAACTTACGTTTTTCAAAAGCATATACCTTATCAATATCATCATGAACTACAAGTAACTAAATGTAAAACTGAACAGATGACATAATTAATGCTACCAGTTTTTATCTACGGGTTGTTTTGGGTTGTCAAGTAGCCCTATCGTTGTTATCGATTTCATCAAATAAAGACATCTTCAGTAAAAACGCTTTTCGATATCTTAAAAGCTTCACTTTTAATGGAGCAGTTTTGTTTACAACACCTTCTTTCAAGGTTTCTAAATTTTAGGATTTTGTTTTCGCTTCCTTGGCAAAGGTTGCAAGAATTTGACTGTAATACAATAAAGGTAAATAAAAATCGATTCAGAAATGTGCCTGCAGAAATGCCTTAGGATGAATTTTGTGACTGCGAGCGCCGCTCGCGCAGATTAATGGGGTCCGGATTGCACCAGTGTGAAATGACTCGTAGATATCAAATACTAAGTGGACAAAGCAACCAAGAATTTCTGGAAGATAAGACGCACAAAGAAAGCTACAAGATTATCTGTATACAGAAAAATGAGTACTCTGTATGCAGATAATCAAATAGGTGCAGCTCAGTGCAGCTCGAATCCGCTCTACACCGACTCAACCCCCTAGCTAGCAAGCCATGATTTCATCATCCCCCCATGCTAACCTTTTATTTGCTAACATGTGACTCGGCCAATTGGCACGCAATTTCCATAGCGATAAGGATTAAACAATATTTTTGTCTCTGTGGAAATTTCAGGCATGTTTCTAGGAAGGAATGCTTGGTTTGCAGCGCGATCAAATATTTTCAATTTTTTAAACTATGGTTTAATTAAAGTAGTAGTGGTAAAACATGAAAATGATCCTTGTTTCTATAATTTTTTGAATAATCTGACTACCGCTCGAGCGGTAATGGCGGTAATTTGGATCCGCCACTGCACCGAAAAGCACCCACATATCGCTAAAAATCCTCCATTTTGAGAAAAAATGTTGTTCAAAATTGCATTTTGCAAAAGTTCAGCCTCAGCTTGTTCTTAATTTGTTCTTAACTTTGACCAGTTTTGAGGCTCGTGTTCTTATAAAATTGTTCTTATAAAAAAAGAGTGTATAAGTTTCTTTTGAAGCTTTGTCCTTTGTTAAGTACGGTTGTAATTGTTTTATTTTAGATCTGCTTGAATCTAATTTGACGCATGTTACTCTTTTAGACTTCTAAGAGATCATTTTTTTTATTTTCCAGGTTTGCATTGACACGTAGTAGACACAATGATCAGCCATAATCACCATCATAATCGTCATCAAAATAGCAGGCAAAGAGAACCTATAAGTGCACAGATAAAGCCTGATTTAAATTTTATCTGATCAAAAAAATGCTTACTTGGCATGTATGGGCTGCAAGCCTATAGGTGAGTACTTATATAAATAGATACTTTACTTGGGGCTTCTTACCAAAGTCTTTACAAGGAATATGAGAAAAGCTGATTGGTCTTACTGATGATGTTTGGCGACAAGCAGACATTTTGTTCAATTTTGTATCGAACCGCACTAGTCTTATGGACCTTATGGAATTTGGATAAAACATCTTCGAAAATATCATGCTTTTAAGCGCCAGACTTTATAATGAAAGAGTACTCTTGACAACCTTTACTACAACAAAATCATACCTGAAGAATCCTCCCATTGTCTTGATATTACTAGTTTCTCAGAACTTGCTGCTGGATTTTTATTCAAACATCCTGCCAGTAGCTTTACGCAATAACACCTGTAGTTGTCTAGCATGATATACCACTTGACTACTAAAAATGATCACGTGACATGGATTCTTTGCATCTCAAAGCATTCCCTCTGTATAAGGGGCTTTTCTATATCAATTTCAAACATCAATTATTTACTTTTGATTCAGTTCATTGTGACGGGAAGAATTGTTATTTATGTCAAGAAGTTTGGTCCGCAAAAGTGCCCAATTTATTTGAAACTACCATGGATTGGTAACACTTCCTTGCGATTCGAGAGTCAGATTTAGAAACAGAAAAGAAACAAACAGCGAACTTGATTTTGAGAATCAAATGGCGCCTTTAGAATAAGGACCTTCTGTCATTTTGGTAATAAAGACTTGCAATTACTACCTTTTATATTCTATTTGAACGGTTCAATTTCAACGGCAAGAAAGACATTTAAAGGAAACATGACTGTAATACAATAAAGGTAAATAAAAATCGATTCAGAAATGTGCCTGCAGAAATGCCTTAGGATGAATTTTGTGACTGCGAGCGCCGCTCGCGCAGATTAATGGGGTCCGGATTGCACCAGTGTGACTTGTAGATATCAAATACTAAGTGGACAAAGCAACCAGGAATTTCTGGAAGATAAGACGCACAAAAAAAGCTACAAGATTATCTGTATACAGAAAAATGAGTACTCTGTATGCAGATAATCAAATAGGTGCAGCTCAGTGCAGCTCGAATCCGCTCTACACCGACTCAACCCCCTAGCTAGCAAGCCATGATTTCATCATCCCCCCATGCTAGCCTTTTATTTGCTAACATGTGACTCGGCCAATTGGCACGCAATTTCCATAGCGATAAGGATTAAACAATATTTTTGTCTCTGTGGAAATTTCAGGCATGTTTCTAGGAAGGAATGCTTGGTTTGCAGCGCGATCAAATATTTTCAATTTTTTTAACTATGGTTTAATTAAAGTAGTAGTGGTAAAACATGAAAATGATCCTTGTTTCTATAATTTTTTTAATAATCTGACTACCGCTCGAGCGGTAATGGCGGTAGTTTGGATCTGCCACTGCACCGAAAAAGCACCCACATATCGCTAAAAATCCTCGATTTTGAGAAAAACGTTGTTCAAAATTGAATTTTGCAAAAGTTCAGCCTCAGCTTGTTCTTAATTTGTTCTTAACCTTGACCAGTTTTGAGGTTATAAAAAAAAGAGTGTATAAGTTTCTTTTGAAGCATTGTCCTTTGTTAAGTACGGTTGTATTTGTTTTATTTTAGATCTGCTTGAATCTAATTTGACGCATGTTACTCTTTTAGACTTCTAAGAGATAATTTTTTTTATTTTCCAGGTTTGCATTGACACGTAGTAGACACAATGATCAGCCATAATCACCATCATAATCGTCATCAAAATAGCAGGCAAAGAGAACCTATAAGTGCACAGATAAAGACTGATTTGAATTTTATCTGATCAAAAAAATGCTTACTTGGCATGTATGGGCTGCAAGCCTATAGGTGAGTACTTATATAAATAGATACTTTACTTGGGGCTTCTTACCAAAGTCTTTACAAGGAATATGAGAAAAGCTGATTGGTCTTACTGATGATGTTTGGCGACAAGCAGACATTTTGTTCAATTTTGTATCGAACCGCACTAGTCTTATGGACCTTATGGAATTTGGATAAAACATCTTCGAAAATATCATGCTTTTAAGCGCCAGACTTTATAATGAAAGAGTACTCTTGACAACCTTTACTACAACAAAATCATACCTGAAGAATCCTCCCATTGTCTTGATAATACTAGTTTCTCAGAACTTGCTGCTGGATTTTTAATCAAACATCCTCCCAGTAGCTTTACGCAATAACACCTGTAGTTGTCTAGCATGATATACCACTTGACTACTAAAAATGATCACGTGACATGGATTCTTTGCATCTCAAAGCATTCCCTCTGTATAAGGGGCTTTTCTATATCAATTTCAAGCATCAATTATTTACTTTCGATTCAGTTCATTGTGACGGGAAGAATTGTTTTTTATGTCAAGAAGAATAAACAACGAGGAGGTAATGAGAACTTGGCTTTGGAAAATTAGCCAATGTTTCGTCTCTTACCATTGCTTCTGGATCATGTTTTCTGTGTGATCCTTTAGGTTCTGCTGTAAAAGATTTAAAATCTTCACCGACCATTTGTTTTTTGCCTTCTTAGTTGAGGATGTGAAAGCTAAATTTATAATGATATGTTTGCATCTAGATCGATTAATGTATGAATTATGCTTCAAAAAACGCCACTTTGAATCAACCTTTCATTAAAATTTCAAACAAACTTGCCAAACCAACTTGCAAAACCAACCTAAACAGTAATTTGTTTATTTTCACTGACATCTGCCTTTTAGTGAAATCTTTGGAAGCTTCATTTGGTGTTACTTCAACCAAAGTCGACCTTTATCTACTGCCCAGGCTAGTCCAGATCTACCCCATTTGTAACTTACCCCTTCTATAACTACTCTCCAGGCTGTTTTCAGTGCTTGCTGTATTCCAAATTGACTTACTGAGTAATATTCAATGTTGCTTGGTGCATTCCTAGGTTAAAAAACACTAGCAAGTTGTAGAAATTGATAATTCCTGGGGATCTATTTGGCTCCCCATTGCATTTTATCTCTGAGCTCCATCCCTTATGTCTGTCAACGTTTACATGGAGTGCTAAAACTGTAGAGGAGATGCTACCCTAGAATCTTTTTTCTACGACCGAATATCAGAATATACCTACATTTTAACCACATATTCACGCAGTTCATTGGCTATTGCAATGCAACGTCAGTAACATAATTGAAGAGTATTTATTTTGCTGATAAAAGTCAATGAATATGCGATGTTTTATTAAATATCTAGTTTACACATCTTGATTTTGTATAAACAGAATGCTAACCATCTTGAGATACCAAGTTTTTAGGCAAGAGGTGACGTCATTTGATTTTGCTCATTAACTACCCATCAACGCAAGCTAGTCATTCTGAACCTTTCTTCTCACAGCATTCCTGTGGTAATCTTGTTATTTTCTATTACCCTGAATGCTCTTCAGTTTATTTTCTATTACCCTGAATGCTCTTCAGTTTATTTTCTATTACCTTGAATGCTCTTCAATTTCACTTTGAAACATCTGGCAACGCAATGGTATTAAAAGATTCTAGTTAACTATGACTGTATCCAATTAGCCATTTATCTGTACTAACCAACCACCAGTCCTGAATATTAATGAATATTTACCACAGTTTTGAAAAAATTATAAATATTTTACCAAATCGTAATTAATTTTTGTTCAATTGCGTGTGACTGCTAACTAAAGCAAATATATTACTTTTCTTTCTTTTGCCCAAGAAAGCGAAACTCATATCCATGTGTCATATTCTTAAGAGAGCATTCACTGACCCTGGGTGACCTGAGATTCGCTTATGCCGTCAAAAACCTCCTCGACGAGTATGACACGAAATTAATCAGATTATCTAGACCGGATTCTTCAGCTTCGCCGCGTTAAGTTTTATAGGAATGGTATCTTATTAAATCCTGCTTTGTGCAAATCTCAAAACGGCCTTCCGTTGAAGCAATAGCCTGCGCGACTGGTTTTCAAAGAGGCAAGCTAAGTTGAATGAAAATTTTTATGCTATTATCTCTAAGTAGAAAAATTCTACTGGAAGAAAAGCCCTAAATTTACCATTCAGTTGAATTCATCTCAAGAAAAACCAGTATAGTATGCGCGCAAGCTGCAACAGCAATATATATCGTCAAGTAAAGAACGTTACATTGAAAGACGTCTTTCCAATGCATGTTTAATCCAATAACATCACGAATAGGGCACTCGATTCTTGGTACCTAGAGACGAACATGGAATAAAATGTGTTCCCCTGTCAAGAATATCTTTGTATGAATCTTATTTTTTCAGATCCTTATAGGCTAGTGTACAGAGATTGTTTCTGCAGTACCTTTAGGTACTTTGAATGTTTTTTACAAACGGTTTGCGGATGTCGGATCTCTTTAGGGTAAAAACATTACTACTGGCTCAACTTATTCATTAATGTCTGAATTGTGTTTTCACCCCTTTCTCTTTCTATGCTATTTCTAGATACTTATGTTCTTTCTATCATTTGCCATGCCCATTGTTGAACCTTTAAAGTGCTTTAAGTTTAAAGTGTATTGTTTAAATGCGGGTCTAGCGACATACGGCCTAACCGATCTTGAATCATGGTCAATGATTCTTGTTTTTAAGTTAGGCCCGTCGGAATCGTGGTATATTTCCTTTATAATAGTGTACTAAGTGCGAAGGTATACAATGGGCAGCTCCCTATTTCGTTCCAACGGCACTGAAAATTCACAAAAGTTACCAAGTTACCTAAATATCATTTGCCGTATAACACTCGGGATCTCATCAAATCATTGGCTTAAAATGCTAGTGACCGAAAACATGATCTTGAATCAAGTTACGCAATTATCTTGTCACGTGACATTGTTTTAATCTGACGCTATATTAGCTCTGGTCTTAACGTATCTCCCGAGGAAGAACATTCGTCAACACCGATTGGAAAAACTCATGGCTTAGCAAGCAGAATGCCGAAAAATACTGTGTATGATATCTGCGCCACAGTAATGAGCGGAGATAGCCGAAGCAAAGACTGTGAATGGATTTCCAACTCATGGGGAGGCATGGTTACAGTTTCAACTCTTTTGTCCTTGTTGACAAGCTCATTTTTGGCAGCGTTCAATTCATCGTATGCTTCTCTATCTATCATTTTATACCTATGCGACTTGATCTATTTCATCGAAACAGCTTGTAAAGTTCTTAGATGTCTTCGGTTAACAAAAGAGGAAACTTCTTGCAAGAAACTGACGCTGAGGTGGTGGCTCATGTTTTTATTCGATGTCTTTTCGCTTCTGCCGCTAGAGTTATTCGCTTTTGGAAAGACAACAGCTACCCCTTGGCTTCATAACTCCCGGATGTATCGGCTTAACCGTATAGTCCGGTTCTATAAATTGTTCACTTATGTTGGTAAGTCAACCATTATCTGAGAAGCTCTTTTCTTAAGTTTTATGTTCTCTTAGACGTGTGACCTTTGTGTGAGGATAGGATGGCTACGTTACAACAGTCCAGTGTCTGATACGACCAAACGTAACTTAGAGTGAAGAGAATTACAAGCCCTTTGTAATTCTAAGCATAGGAATCAGAAAGGAAGGACCAGGACACTTGTCTGAGAACTATTTCTCAAAAAAGGTTTAGAAGGGCCAGCTTCAATGTTAACTACGATAAATTTCAATTTTATGATTTTTGTGAATGCGTGTTTTTAATTTGGGTACAGCACTTTAAAGGTAGATGACTTAGAGAAAAACTGATATTTGTAAGTGATCAAACAATTATGCAATTTTTTTTAGCCTGACCGATTACTTTAAACATGATTGACAGGAGAGTTTTGCTAACCTTAGTCATTATCCAACGTTCATACCCTAAGGAGTGTCAGAAATTTCCTTTCCCATGGTATCGCTAAACATGTTTAATCGTAGATTTTGGGGCATTATAAAAATTATCCTTTTCACCTTTATCGTTCATATTTTTTATGTAAAAATTCAATTATAAGAATTTGCCAACTTTATATGTGACAGGACACTTGGAAGAGAAGCTTGGTGCAAACTTGAAGTTGATCAGAACTTTAAAGCATCTGCTGGTGGGTTTTGCCATTATACATCTAATGGCATGTGGCTGGTATTACATCGCATGTGACAATCAAGGTGTACCAGATGCCATGTGCCCAGGAAAAATGTCTTGGGCTACAGCTGGCTCAATGTCGTTGCATCCCCAAAAGATTCCAGATATGGATGATCACGAAGAGGAAGAAAGAAAAAAAGAAGAAGGGAAACATAAAGAAAATGTCAGTAAGTATAACGTTTGTTGGTATTTTAGGTTTTGGTCGCAAAAATCTTTCCTAATAAAGTTTCCTCCCGCATTACAGCGAACTACCTTTGGAACTTGCCGATCACTGTGAATCCTTCGTAACTTTTTACCGTCATAGCATCAACATCATATGCAGTAGGACCATGAAAATTGCTGGTACAATAAAATAGACTGGCCTTCAATTTCGGATCAGTTCGGGTTCCGACCTAACAGCGTCAGCAAGATCACATTTATGAACCGCGGAGAAGGGGATTGGGGAGGCTATAGCCCTCCCCCACTTTTTGCCAAAAATGCAAAAATATTATCAATGAATCACCAGTCAAACCCATTTGGCGTTAACCCCTCCTTCCCCCCCTAATTTTTTAGACCTCCCCCACTCTTGTTAACGCTCCGCGATGCCTGACACTCTCAACTTGGTTTGATCATATGTCTACTGTCGGAAAATGTCGACTTTCCTAAAAGTCTCATTTCGCCTAAGCTGAAGTATGCTTCATCTGATCTGACTTTCGTAAGATTTCCCGTGTTATCTGCATCCGGCTTGTCGTTATTGGAAAATCCACATTCTATAATTTTTTATCAAAATAAATTCAAGCAAAATATTGCTTTTGTACAGAATCCGTGAAGCCCAAGTCTGCATTTGACATGTATATGACCTGTTTATACTGGGCAGCAAACACCGCAACTTCCACAGGGTGAGTCCTCCTTTTGTGTTTATTTTGACTTTTCTACTCAAGAACTCATAATACTTATAAAGTACCAAAGTGTGACGACATAAAATAGTATTTGTGTAGAATTTCTTAACTTTGAACTCATAATCTGAAATAACAGCACAAGTAACTCTCATTAAACAAAATCCGACAAATATATTCAAAACTGGGTGTGACATGGTCAATAAAAGATTTAAGATTACCTATCGGATTAATGTTATTCTGGTCTGGTTTTTTAGGAAATGGTTATTAGGATATGCAAAATTAAAACTAAAATGCACATTATTTTTGTAACTTCTCGATTTAACATTTGCCATCACTTAAATTGCTTATAATCAGAACAAGTCGACTGCTGATAAACTGGATATTTATTTACAATCATTTGATGCATCTTTAGGTACGGAGATATTCATGCTGTTAGTTTCGTCGAGAAATGGTTTTCAATCATTGGCATGATGGTCAGTATCGTTTTCTTTTTTGGTTCATTATTGGGTGATATTGCTTCTTCGATGACAAACTCTGACGTGAAAAGAGCAAGTTACAAACACAAACTCAATGCTGTCATTAACCAACTGGTATGTTACTTTTTAATGCAATGTGCAATAACACTATAATTGTAAATTGGGTAATATTTTTTAGTACATGTCTACGTTTCAGTGGACATTTCTTGCCCTGGTGCAAGTGCTATATTTGAAAATATCTCGTTATTGACATTTCTGGAGCTATTGTGGTACGCTATATGTTCCCTGGTCAAAACGCTATATGAGACCCTTTCCTTATATTCATGGTATGTTAAAATGTCCGCGAAAGTCTGTGACTATAGTTCTATAGTCTCTAGTTACTATAGTTCTTGGGGTGCTAGTATCTCCCCAAAATAATAGAAATCCTTGATTTCGAATAAAAATACCCTTGTGTTTCTTTTCTTCTTCTAACAGCACTTTCTGTGTACCACGTTGTTCAAATGCATTTGACCCTTCTTGCTTTATCCAGTGGGTCCCCTGGCAATCCTCTTGATTCGAAATTGTCTCCAGTAAGGACATGAAAAAAAGTCAAGCAAAGTTGTAATTTTACTTTAGTTTACTTATGCTCACATGCAGTGGAATTTCTAACAACTTTTGTAAAATCTAGCAGCTGGTCGACCGTGTTAACTCTGAATTCATTTTTGCAATCAGCTAAAAACACTTGGCTTCCAGCGTTTAATTCCTTTTTATTTATATTTCTTTTAGCGACAAAAAAATATTTGCAACTCAACAAGGGAGATCATTTATGGATTTTATGAGCACATGGTAAGCTAAATACTTTCTTTTTCAATGCCAAAATCTACTTGTTCGTTTTGAGTATTGTTGGTAAAACTTTTGTAAGTAACTGTTACGAAACCAGAATGGTGGACGAATTTTCATTGGACAAAACTAGTTCGAGGCTAAGTGTACAATTTTTGATGTTGGAAAGATAATTATTTGGCGACGCCCTGATGATCCTAGGGCTCCTCCAATATCTCCATGTAAGTCACTAAAAAACGACCTTAAAAGGGAACCCTTCGTAGGATTCTTATAAAACTTGTGGTCTGATGCTTCTAATAACTACAAAAGCGACACAGATGTGTTAGTGAATTGTCATATAGTTTAATTGTTGCTTTTTTGATTTATTAAGACTATAAAATATGCTCATATTCAGACAAATTTCCAAAAAACTCTCCCTTCTGAAACCTAAATTATCTGGTTTACTACCAAGACACATGAGCCAGCCCCGCCCCCTTGCAATGTTTTCATGCGCCCCTCCCCCCTTGCAATGTTTTCATGTCACTTATGTCCAAGTTATTGTTTTGGTCATTTGCTAAAGATATGACGTAAATCCTCTCTTTTACATAGTGGAACACAAACAGACCTGTTGGAGATGAAAACTTTCTTGAAGAGCTACCAACAGCATTCCAATCAGAGCTTTTGCTTAATGTCAACAGACACGTTCTCCAAAAGGTCTGCTACACAAACTTTTTATCTAAACTTGTTTATTAGGGTATTCCTTACAAATATTCAATCATAATTTGATTATTAACTTCTTTCTTTTGTAATATAGAACATGGAATGCTACTAGAGTTTCAATTACTGGTTTGTTTAAACTAAATTGCTAGAAATCGTGAAGTAACAGTTGCTGTGCGCTGTAATGGTGTTTTCGCTTCAAATTGATCGAGCATTCAGTTACTGAGTAAAAAAACAAGAATCGTATTATTAAGTCAATCTGTATGCATCTTCATAACTTTGTATTTATCTGATCGCTTAAACAATAAAGTAAGATAACAATAATGATTTATTTATCTACAATTGGCAACTTTAATAGCAGATATATTTTTTTCATCAACTGTTCATCAACTTAATAATCATAAAAGTTCTAACGATTCTAAAATCAATACGTATTGAAAAAAATATAAAATACATAATAACTGAAATATAAATTGAGGCCAATAAATACCTTACAAAGACGGCAGGTGCATTTGTCTTTGGTCCAGTTCGACCCTGAAGGATTCCCAGGGTGCAGGAATCTGCAAATTCTCTTGGCAATGTTTGCCAGGTGCCAAGGTTATGAGTAGTTGTATTTGCCTTTGGTAACAGAGGAACTTCGTTGTTTCTGAGATTGTAAATGTTTGTTTTTCGTCAAAAAATATCATCAGTGAAGGATGTGAACTGTTGCTAACTTATCTTTGGCTAGACGTTAAAAAAACAGTCATGTCTTCATATGCAAGTTGCAGAGCTCGTTCATTATTTATTTTACTCGATTGTTTGTGCTTTTATCATGAAACATCCAATTTAAAGGACAATATCGCTTTATAATCTAGATGGTAGTTTGATCAAATACAATCTTTTTAAACAAGGTACTTCTGATGTCTGTACTTTTACTGTCATTTTACCCGACCAAACCATATTTTTACTGTGTGCTTCTGTAAAGTTCTTAAATTTATAGTTGAAAATTATTGCACACTTTCTCAGTGATGGGCTTACCGTTTTTTCTTTTAGGTACCTCTTTTCGAGAATACATCAAGCAGTTTTAAAAGGATGCTGTCCCCATACATCAAATCGAGTATTTATTTCCCTGGACAGACTATTTTCAAGGAACATGATATTGGACACACACTATTTTACATTCGTCGTGGAGAAGTCGAGGTACTTTATTAGCTTACGATCATAGCTTTTGGTGTTATCTGAGATGGCACTTTTTTGTGCTATCCAATGTTACACTATTTGAAATATTTTGTTTTTTCATATCATGTCCTTTATGTTATTTTTGCTATTTTATTGTAAAGAATGCAAAATATTCCCACACAATTCTTTTGTATTTCATGATAAACGTGGTCGCTAATAGAGTTGTCAAGTGATGACGTCACAAAAATATACTTTTAGAAGTTTTGAAATGTTTTCCCATAATCTGAAAGAGCATCATGAAATATGTCTAAATCTGCAAAATCAGTCATAGTTATTACGAATTGGCTGAGATAAGACCAGGTTAGCACAAGCTCTGGCCCCATTAAACCTCAGTAATTTGGTCTCAGTTCATAACTTTATGAACTGAGCCAAAATAACAGTGATCCGTTAGCATACTTCAAATATTCTATTGTCCATAGCTCAACCGATTTTTGACAAATTTAACTGATTCTGCGTATATGGGAATATTCTATGGTGTTCTTTCATGTTGGGTGAACAAAATTTGAAAATTCTTAAAATAGTTTTTTGTGACGTCACACTTGAAAACTCTCTGCCTGACAGCAGATGTGACTTTTGAGATGAATGTGGTCAGGGAACCAATGCCCTTGATAGTTATTGCCTTTGGCATGGTGAAAATAGGTTCATTAACGCAATTTGCTTAATCAATAAGATACCCTCTCTAGTTTCTTTAAATTCTTAAGTTTATGTTTTCAGGAGGTCTTTCAAATTTTCAGTTCTTTCGTATTCAAACCTTGTTTTATTTTTTCAATAACGACTAGGTTTTCAAGGACGGCAAAGCTAACCCGATAAAAAGACTAAAGGAAGGCTCATTTTTTGGTGAAGTGAGTAAAGATTTTGTTTTCATTGCAGTTAGTATTCGATTGCAGCAATCCCTCCTGGAATGCTCTCGAACAATATTATCAAAAATATGACTTTATTAGATCAATCTAACTAACAACCTCTAGATTCTACTTGAAGTTTTTTGACAACATTACTTCTCTTGACTTGCTGACGCTCAAACCATGAAATGTGTAGGGCATACTTAGTACGGAGCAGTGATTGTCTGGTGCTTGATATTACCAGGCTTGCAATGTAACAATCTTGATTTCATTGCAGCTTTAGTAAAGAAATATTTTAGGTTAACGATGAATTTCACGTATCTTCCATCAGATTTCTGCTCTTATGTACGTCCCAAGAACTGCTACAACAACTGCTGCCGAATACTGCGACATTTTGAGCCTCGATAAACAAGACCTCAGCGATGTCCTGCGCCATTTTCCTGAAGGTACCTTATTTTTTGAACAACAGTTCTTTTCATAAATTCTTTAACAGCAATTATTTTACGTCATTTTTACTTTTTTCATTCATCACACGTGTAGCATTAATCATGAATCATTTTAAAGCCTTTATGTTGATCTATGTTTTATTGGAAGATATGTCTTATTCTTACCATTCAAGTTTTTACTTCTCTTCTTTGTTACTTTTCTGCTACATTAAAGAACAGCGATCTTTGCCATAGGTGCATTTCTAATGTGATTGATTTCATGTTAAAAATGTTTTTGAACCCAACTACCTGTCCAGCAATTGTCTCTGCTTTTTATCTTGATGTAGAACAAGCGATTTTGGAATCTGTTATTGAGAAAAGGTATGAAAACGCAGAATTCAGAAATGTCAAAAGAAAAGTTTTTGATTCAAATGGAGAAGAACCTCCGAAAGTTTCGGCGGTAAGGATTTATTCTGTTATATTTTACTCCATTTTCGTCTTTATATCGTTGTCAAAGCTCTTCGATATCAGGTTTATTTTTTGATAAATGGTTTTTTTTGTAGGAAAAAAGACCGTCCTTTTGCAGGTTTGTTCCTTAAAGACGTACTTCAATTGCACTTTTTATTTTCCCATTCTAAAGATTTTGTATTTAAACTTAAATTAGAGGCTCTTTTATACTCTATGTCTTCTAACACAATGCCTGACCTACGCTTGAAATATGAAAGATTTAAAGAGGGAGCTCGCCAATAAACGCTTGAAGCAGTAAACTTTCCACATGCATCCATTTGATGCAGCTGATCGTAACGTTATCATTTCATAAAGAAACGATGATAGAAAAGCACATTTTCGAAATATATATTTTTGTCGCACGACGTTATTAGCTCTTTATAGCACATAATTAGTGGTACGTTAGTTTTTAGCTACTACTCTACCTTTTCAGGTTTGGATTTTTGCAGCTTTTCGATGGTTCGATTGTCTTTGCTTTTTCGAAAATATATGCACAGTGGAGGTGCTTGATATTCGCGTTCACAGCAGCATTTGTAATCATCCATACTTCAATAGCCTCGTTTGAAGTAACATTTGATCGTTTTGGATATGGTGACAGTGTCTTTCTTAAGTGCCTGTTTGCATTTTGGTATATATATGACGCATTGCTGGTTGCCGATGTTTATGTGAGCTCAAGAGCTGCCTTAGAGCATCCCGAAAAAGGTATTGTCAATGAAATATTGTTAGAAATGGGAATTAATCTTTCAAATAAAGAATGGGGTACTATAACCTTCTACTTGTTAATTTCAAAATGTCTTTTAGGGTGGACATTACAAATCCGGATAAAAACATGTTTTGCTGGATGTCATATTGACTGGAGAGCGTTCTCTGTCAATGGGCGACCTGTAATTCATTAATATAGTCTATAAGAACTTCTCGACATGTACAACACGAGATTTCCTGGATCTTCCTATCCGGATTTGTTAGTTCTACTATCCTTTAGAACGAAAATTTCTAGTTGAACTCACGGATAACTTTTAGGGCTCTTATAACAGCTCAAGCAGTTGTTTATCTTCTGACTATTTCACTATATAATAACAAAAGTTGGAGGGGTTTTAAAAAACGACAAAAACCAGCTTTTAAATTGTTTACCAAAACCCTCGTTATATCTTTTGATGCTTAAAATTTAAGTAATTTTGGTAATTAGCGGTGGAGATTTGAAATGAGCTGTTTCGCATTAAGGCCTTTGAATGAGGCTTAAAATATGTTCAGAAGTGAAGACCATATTCATCCTATTTGCATTCCTGTTTATCTAAATTTTATCGCATTAATTGTGACATAGACATTTGACAGAGGCATAGGTAGAAGTATAAGTATTGCTGCGAAAATTAAATTATTTTAGTTAGGTACATTCTCACTCATATGTTTTTTTGAAACTTATAAATTTTCTTTCATCAAAACAGGTTTCGTCAGTGATCTTCGGGAAATTAAAAAAATGCGTGTGAAAACTGTTCGTTTCTGGATTGACGTAATGTCTGTTCTTCCAATCGAGATATTTGCGTTTTATTATACATCTTCGCGAGAAAGATGGTACGCCGCCACATTTCTCAGATCAAACCGCCTTATCAGAATCTATCACGTACGTATGCGAACATGATATTAGCAATCATTATATTTTATTGTTTGTTAATATGGGTACCTCATCAGCGTTAAAAAACGTTTGTGTATAAACTGTTATAACTCCCTTCTGTTCAAAAACTTTTATGTTTGCCTTGCAATCATGCTTTGTTACACTAGGTATCTTTGAAAAGCATTGGTTTCTTCCCCCAAAGTAGAGAAGCTTCTATTTACAGTGCATAGTTCAGATCTAGGAATATATAAAAAAATTCTTTAAAGTAGACATTATAGGCTCAGACTGGATGACGTCATTGAGGAAATACGAATAATCACTTAAAAATTTTAAATATTTCCCCGTTCATTTTTCTAGATTCCAGAATACTTCTCGGATTTGGAGAAGGACATAACAAACAGTATTTCGAAAATCAGGACCTTCATGCTCCTATTTTACATATTCCTAATAACCCATTTGACAAGTTGTGTTTGGTATCTGCAAGCGTGTTTTGGCTCAAGGTAAGCTGTAATGGACGTAATTACATATAGCCCATATTTCTTCAAAAGTAACAGGGTTTTACTAGGCAATAATACTAGTCGATACGTTTTAAGACTTGCATAGATATTTCTAAATGAAATGGAAATTGAAAAATTGTTATGGCGATATTTTGTATATTAATTCCCTTATTCAATTTGATACCAAGAATTGAATCAAGCTACATTCAGTGCCTAAATCAACTAACTAACTAAAGGGGGCGATTGCCCCTTTAGCCCCAGTGATTTCCTATTTTTTAAAATAATAGGATATCGTCCTTCTCTTTATACAAGCAAATGCTTGCCTCCGCAAATAATTTTGATAGAGTACGTAGAGACGCCAGAACGACCAAGTAGGAAGGGGCGGGTTTCAGGGCACTTTGCCCTCCCCCCTTGACCCTCCTATCCAAGTGTAAGTGGGGAAATTGTCTCCCCCGTACTCCTCTCTCTGGTTTCCCTGGATGTACGCTTATTCCTTCAAGTTTATGTATCTCTATTTCACTAGATAAAAGAACTGTAAGGAAGGTTGTGAGAGGTTTCCTTTTTTCAGTGCAAATAAATAAAAGCACCTTGAAGGTCAGGAGGCTGTGAACATTTTTTATGGTAATGCCTCGATATTAGAACTGATTGCATTTATAACTTGGTTTATCACTTTTTACTTACAGATGCTCAACAAACAGCTGGGCACACAAGGCACAAATTGACGGGACTTTGTCCGCAGTAAACTACTACATAACATCTTTGTACTGGTCTTGTGCTACTATGACGTCATCAGGCTATGGTGACATTAGTGCAGTTTCAAAAGGAGACGAAGTTGTCGTTGTTTTTGTGTTGGTAATTGGGCTCCTGCTCTATGGCTACTGCCTTTGCAGCATCGCAGCAACGTTGAATAACTTGAGTGCCCCAAAGTTAGTACAGAGTATTGAATTAGATGAGTTTTAATTGCTCATACGCAAGCTATTTTGATTGCATTTTTTCCGGTGTCAAAACAGTTAGCAATTGTTGTTAACCAATCATTTTGCAACCTGAAAATGAGTAAGAAAATGTGCTTCCTAAAGTCCTAACCCGTTTGATGGTAAACCAACATTGTTCTGTAGGGGAGAGGGGGGTGATTGATTTTGACCTTGGAAATTGATGTCAGTGTTCCAAGACTTTTGGCAGGCATTGTACATGCTTTTCACCAAAGGAAATTATTGATAGAGTTTCTTTAGACAAAACAATAGCATTTTCACCAAAGATGCGCAAGATTTCTAGGGAGTGATTTGCCTGTGACTGATGCCAAGTTCATAATTTGCTACGAAGTTCTAAGCAAGATGAAGTTCGCGGCAGTGAACCACTAACACATAGAAAACTCTGAAAATTGTGTTTGCACATTCCCATTAACCTAAACATATGATCTTAAACTGTACTTTGATATGGAATCCACGTTTTCTGTTTTAAGAGTTGGTTTCACTGAGCATGTTTATGCTGTGACCAAATTCATGAAAGATTTGAAGGTGTCCAATCTTGTTATAAAGGATGTTGAGAGTTATCTTTCTACTTTATGGAGAACGCATAAGTAAGTAGTTTCTTTTTGTTGCCTTATTTATTTCTGGGCTTGCGAAACCAGGAACCGTGGTACCCTCACCCCCCCCCCCCCTACCATTTTTCTGTAGAGCAAAGTTAACGTTTTTAGCCAAAGAAAGGAAGACATTTAGTATACCATTTTGTAAGTTATCGTAATTAAAATTTTTGTAAACAAATATGCCTTTACCATAAGGTTCCTCCATATCTCTTTACCATTTGCATATTTACAAGATTTAGAAAGACAAGAACACGGGATTTTGATCGAAGAAGCTTGAAAACGTTTTCACTGATAAACAGTTTGTAGCCATCGCTAGAATACCATGTTACTAAACTTTTCCCCTAATTAGCCCTTCCACATTTTGGCCTCGCACTTTTCGCCGGAATTTGCAATGCACATGCACATCAAAGTCGTTGCGAAGGCCATCAATGACGGTAGATCGATTGTTATTTTTTTCAACTCTTGTTTAAATCTAAATTCAGCCCCTTCTAAAAAGTCTAAAATCTAAGATCTAAAATATAGCTTATTCAAATTCGCTTCTTCGGTCTCTTTTCCACATCAATACAATTTCATTTAGATATGTTTTTATGAAGGGGGCTCTCAATGCCTGGGCAAGCATCTTTGATGGGTGATATGCCATTGTCTTTGCAACAAGATGTTGCATATGAAGAAATGAAAGAAATCATTCAAGACGTATGTAACCTTATTTTGTGGACTCATTGTTGTGGCTCTATCTTATTCATGCATTACTGACTTAAATCTTCAATAAGTCGAAATATATGAGACCTCGATCAAACACGACTCCTTCATAACTAGCTCGTCCCCTAGGTTCTGTATGGAACACTTTCCACCTTGTACAGATCAAAAGTCTGGAATGAAATAGAAGAGGGAGTCAAGCTAGCCCCTCTCTTTCTACTTTTAAATGTAGATTTAGCAATTTTTGTCACGGCCTCCTGAAAAACAGCCACTCTATGTTGATGGGACAGCCGTGTTTAAAGAATTTAAACTGAAATGAGAATAAAAACACAGAAGCTGTTTATACTCAATTAATTGCTTTATCTTTGCATATACACCTTTTATTGTAACAAATTATTTTTTGCAAGATAATCTATCAGGCTGTTTATTTTCTAAGCATTTTTACACAGTTGTAACTTTATTTTGTGCTCGGAAAAACTTTTACTAACGTCTATTTTGGATTAATTTTTTTGTACAAGGTTCCAATCTTTAGAGACACCGAAAAACGTTTCCAAAAAATGGTTGCTCTGTCTGCAAAGAGTACCCTTTTTAAACCAGGTTGGTGATGTTCTTATTCAAAACTTTAGCAAAAAAGAGAATAATTTGAACCGCTCTCTTTCAGATTCGAATGTATTTCCGACCCTTACTTGTAAGTTGAAAGTTTACAAAATGGCGTACTGTCAGTTTTACCACAAGTATGCGCTATGAGAGTATATTATTTTAATATAATAGGTTTTAAAGATACTTGGAATATTTTAACACTCAAATAGTTCGTATGCAAACAATATTTTACCCTTGCACTTTTAATGTTTCCGAACTCATTACAAAATTATTATCAAAATCGTGTTTGCAAAAGAATCTTGAAGAAGTTTGTAGCGTTAATCATGGAAGATATGAAAGGTGAAGTCTTTAACTTTCCACAACATGTTTCAGGGGACACGATTGTTCACATTGGTGATATGTGTCGTGAAATGTATATCGTTCGAAGAGGGACGGCCGAAGTACTTTCATCTGACAAAAGCTGTGTCGTTGAAACTTTTGGTCCTGGAGGCTATTTTGGCGAGGTTTGTTATTGTTATTTGTAATGAGGCTCTTTTTATCTACCAGACATTCTTCCATTATTGCTGTTAGTTGATTCAAATTTACCATATAGATAGATATACTGTCTAACAAATTAGATTTAAAACGTCTTCATTTAAAGTGTAAATGATGTTATTTTCAATGAATACAGGATAGCTGGAATAGAATAAAACTAGATTGCGTAATTGCAATGTTAATGATTTAAAAAGTTTTTCTTGTGTTAACATTGAAAAGAATTAGATACATGCATAACAGATAATGTTTGGCATTTGCATTGCAGATTGCCTTACTATATGGGGAGAGTAGCCCAGCAGATGTGCGTGCCAAAACCTATTGTGAAATCGTTTCTATATCTAAATTTGATTTGGACAATATATTGCCCAGTTTTCCAATCATCGCAAAGTAAGTTTCCCATTGAACTATTATTATGTTTCAGTAATTTGAAAATTGAATTAACTTCCACCTTTTAATAGTAAATTGTAACGACGTTTTATTATTCCTTTTTAATACCATCATACAAATTAAAAAATCTACTTCTACAAGTTTTAGTCCTATTTACACTTCACCGCATAGTGTAATTATATTAAAATAATATCAGCCCAAATTTTCTTAAAATCAGGCACAATTTATTTGTGTAATTCCAATTTTGTGTAAATATTTTGAATTTCAAATAGAAATAATAGATGGAACTACTGAAGGCGTTTGTGGTGGGATGTTTGTTAGCAAAGTAGCAAGGCTAAGTTAAAGTGATAATAAATAAAGGTGTGCGTGTTGTATGTCGAAAATGAACAAAATTTGATAAAATGAAATAACAACTTTGTACAAGAAATGAATTTTGGTACAACGTTTCGAGCTTGACCTGGTGATAAGTTAAAGTGAGCCTGTTTACTTCAGGTTTCAACTTTCGGCTGCTCGAGATAGCGCTTCACCTGTTTAAAACATTGCTACTCTTGACCTTATCAAAACAGTGAAATGATAAGCCTGTTCTCTACTGTTTTTTCGTGTTAAGCATGATAAGAAACGGTTTTTATGTTATGCAACTGTTTATGTCATGTCAGTGAGTACCTTTTCGTTTCGTAATTTGCACTTAGGCCTGGGATTCAAGTTCCTTTGGTTTTGTTTTACAGACAATTGAAGAACATAAGTGAAAATATTGATGTATTAAAAAAGATACAAGCAACTGCTCACGAAGAGGCAAAGAGATCAGCCAAAAAGAAAACTGAAAAGGTCGATGATAAAAGCAAGTTAGAATCAAAGGATAAACATTGGAAAACAATTCACATTAATCCTCTTTATAAGGGAGGCGCACGCAAGATTTCCTTGCCAACAAGATTGACAGTTGATGGGCTGTTGCTCGATACGAGGTATGTTATTAGCTATGAGTTATTCGCTATTGGTCGATGCGAGATATGTTATTCGCTATCAGGATGATACGATCACTGAGGAAAACTTTGATAAAATTTCTCATCCTATCATTTTCCAACAAATAATTACCTTACAAAACAAAAATTGAAGCTATAGTTCTTTAACTCGCTTTCAGGTTATCTGTCAATATTCACGAGTTGTTTAGTAGCAAACAACGAGAGTGAATTAGAAATATTTTTCTATCCATTTGTCTTTTTGAAATAGCTATACAAAATATCACCCTTCCTCGGAGCTTATAGAGAGCAGCCATGAGCAAAGCAAGCTTCAGATTGCACGAGCTTTTTTTCTTGTTTATTTCAAAACAAAGTCTGTTACTTTTCTAATATAATCATCAATTTAAGCTAGATGTGAACATGTTAATTAGCAATAAAGACTGAAATTTTAAGCTATAAGATGCAATGCTTATGTGTCAGGCCTTGAATGTATTACCCCATTTTGTTACCCTCGATAACAATTATGAGCAATAACTAGACCATGTATCGTGCTGAAATTATAATAGATAAGTAGGCAAAATTTTATAAAATGTTTCGTATTTATATTCTCATATTAAGGATTATATTCAAAGAAGTCTTTTTTGATTTTGCTATTGGATGGTATCGAATAGTTTGTCTGTGTGTATCCGGGAATTCAACACTTACCAACTAATGAAAATGTACCAAATACGTAAAAATGGCCATTATTCGTCTTGCAGCATGACCTCAGAATATAGACAGCAAATGATTTCAGAGCTTGACAAGCAAGAAAGAGAGCAGTACTATGCAGAATTGAAGCCAATCTTGAAGTTCTTCGCTAGATTTTTGATGAAGTGAGCAACTTATCGTCATTTTAATTCCACGAATTGTACAAAAATAGTCATGTTTTAAAGCTTTTAATGATGGCAGTTTGGTGCCGTCCTTGTTGTTCAATTCCTTGTGCACAAACAGTTAAGATTCCAAATATTCTGATAATTCTCGCTTGAGCAAAGGCAAAAAGCAAACAAGGTTTTGGAGAGTGTAGTTGAAGGCAACTTCTTTTTCGACACATAAAGCGTAGATAAAGATTTTTTGCTCTATGTATGCATTTAACAAGCTAAAACGACCGTTCTATAACTTTCATCAGACCATTTGTGCCATGTTTCTACCGAACATACCGGTAGCCTGTGTGCAGAGTCAGAAAAGTTGTTAACCTTCCTCCAGACAAAAACATCCCAGAAGGCAAACCTTCCTCACAAAACAATAGAAAGTGGGCGTAGCTTGGGTGTGTCATAGCAGCTTCTATTGTTTTTCGTCGACCTTCCTCCGGTCAGTGTCCATGCGACCGTAATGTTTTCCTGACTCTGCCTGTGTGTTAAACAATTACAAGACAAATCTGGAACAAATATCGAATTCTTAATGCTCCTTATCCTTTTCAGGCGTACAGTTTCACCGGAACAATCAAAATTGCGGACATGGATTTTTATATCTGTCATTGTATCTTATGTGTACATCATTCTTCTCGGGATCCAGATAGCATTTCTACCGGATGATGAAGCAATGATTGCAATATGTTACTGTTTTGATGCCTTCTTCGTCATAGACTGGTAGGTTCACTGGGCTCATCTAGCAGGTCGTATTGGTTTTAAACTGAAAATAATTTTCCATTTGACTTATTCATGCTTGAGTTTCATGCTAATTTTCGTAATTCTTATATACGCTGTTCGCCGAAGCGAAACAGAGATTGATATATAGCTGGAGTTTCATTGCTATATTGAAATGCCATTTCTCAGCAAAACCAAAGCTCGATCAAAATCTGTTGCAAATTTGCCCGTTTCTATTTATTATCTTCTTGACGTGATTTCATCTTCTCTGTTGAAAAAGTTGAAAATAGGCCAAAACGCTGATTTAAAGGGATTATTTCAAAAACCCAGTTTCCACTGATCTAGACGGCCTTGCCTTTGCTGCATTCCCCTAGTGACCAGTAAATGGAAACATGTCATAATACTGTGATGCGACAATGATCTATGCTTTCGCATCCGATTTTGTTTAAGCCCGGGCTGGTCAATGTAACATGTCACAAATACAATGTGTTTGCTTAATTCTTTTCAGCTACCTGAAAATGCACGTTGCATATTACAACAAGAAGGGCATACTCGTTAGTTGCCCGATCAAAACCGCTGGAAAGTACTTGAAGTCGAACTTTTTACTGGATATCCTGCCATTGATTCCCTTTGAAGCTTTCTTTCAAACTCATGGAGGTAACTAGCATTTGCTCTTGCTTGGCCCATTTGAAAATTAGAAAGTCTTATTAGTATACCTTGTTGCCATACAATGTATAATTTCATTATCTGAGCAGTTTAAATAGGGGGGTCGAACACTCTTTCTAGGACCTTGTGTGCGTCCGGATCCTTGACTGGCCCTCTCTTGATTGATTGATTGATTGATTGATTGATTGGTTGGTTGATTGATTGATTGATTGATTGATTGATTGATTGATTGATTGATTGATTGATTGATTGATTGATTGATTGATTGATTGATTGATTGATTGATTGATTGATTGATTGATTGACTTTTTGGCCTGATATATTTACATCCAGACATTGTTGGTATTCGTGTGGAATAATTTTTCAAATATACAAAAGCAATGGCTTTAAAAGTTTAGCATCAATCATGCAGATTATTTGTGAACAGTTTTTTTGCGGTACAGAATTTGAAAATGGCTTTGAAAAAAGCAAACATTTTACAACATACTTAAAGCTTTTTCGTCTGACACTCCTCAGAGCATAAAACGTCAGAATAGCATAAAACGTCAGAATAGGTTCCGAAAAAACACGTTTGAAAAATATATACCCAGTTGTGGATCGAAATAGGCCAATCAGAAAAACGCAAGCACAAGACCGGTATAGTTGACCAATCAGTGCCGCGAGCCTAAAGAAAAATTACCAATGGAGTCCAAGAGAGAAAACGAACTCCTTTTGTCTACACAATGGCGGCTTTTTCGTTTTTATGCAGATTGACTCCAAAACTGCTAGATGGAAGGACGACCGGGCTCTGCCAATTATCCGAAACATGTCGTCATTATAGAGTTTTGCACAATCTGGGTTGTCCAAAAGATGTTGACCAATGGCAGAATCACTTGTTTTAACAGTGTTTCTCGACCTACAAGATCGAGGAGGCTGTTCTCTTTGAGGGGCAGTTTTGTTTCGTATGTTGGAAGGAACATGCTGTTTTATCCTATCCCCCAAACCTATCCTATCTGAGGAGTGTCAGACGAAAAAGCTTTAAGTATGTTGTAAAATGTTTGCTTTTTTCAAAGCCATTTGCAGATTATTTGCCTAAATTTGTTACTAGTCTAACATTCCAAGCAGGTTTTATCAAAACATAACTTGCTTTATTATTTTCCTAATAAGCATGTGCGCCTGCGGGCTGTTTCTTTCTTTCACCTGAAACAGAATTCATCCTTTAGGAACAGAGCATTTCGGTAAGCTCAACAGGCTCCTTCACTTGATCAAAATAGTAAGTATCAAAAACTTCCCTTTGTCTTCAGCACAGTTCTACATTGTTATCCATACGCTAGCTACCAACTTTAAAACAGCTTTTAGGTATAAGCCAGTGTCCATAAAATTTTGTTCCATTTCTGGCAAAAAGACTAAAACTTTAAATGCTTTCTCTAGAAAAACCATGAAGTTAACAATCCTTCCCAAAACACTTGAAAAACTTCCCTAAAAAATGCACCCAGGCCCCTTTCCACAAACAGTGTTGAATGTTTTATGCTAATGCATTATAATGTGCCAAACTGTGCCGCAGTCAATATGAATTAAAATTTTATAATTAACATAGGGGGCATGGAGGGGGAAGTAGAATCTTTTAGCAAGAATTTAAGTATAGGTTTCACCAGGGCCGTAGCTTTTAATGTTTTTGGGTGCCGTGATCCTCCAACAATTCTATCCATGAACCCCTTCAATACAATTCTATCCTATCTAGAACAACCAACGGTTGCGCCAACAATTCAATCCTTTCAGCCATACAGGGTTTGAAAATTATTCTTTTTCTTTCAATGCCCTATCTGTAGGTGCAATCACCATTTATTCTGCTCTTTGGTATCTGGCTTGATTGGTTTTTGAAAAAAGCTTGTTATTAGGCTTGATTTTATTTCTGGTAGAAACAATAATCCAACCAATAGCAACCAAATGTTCACCACCGATTGTGTAATTCTAAAATCCATAATTTCAACTACAAGAGTTTAAACCTCTTTTTTGCCCAGGATATTTTGTCCAGAATTATTTAATCATAGTAGAAAAACTGATAATCTTTGAGAATAGTTTAATATTGGAACATGCGATTAATGGAATCACGAGGTATGTGTTAAAAGTGGTATAAGTGGAGCATTTTGCAACAGTATTGAGCAAGAGCAATTCATTTTTTATGAGAAACTATATGAATCAAATCAGCTGTCGATGCCCCCCCCCTCCCCCTCCGGCATACAGGGCTTCATTTTTGACTGACTTCATCTTGGTTTACTAGCTCTATCTTTTTGCCAGTCACCTTTGATTCTTTTGTTTCTTTCTAGATGCAGTTCTTCTCTTTTTTTCAGTCGTCGATTGGAAAAATTCCTACAATGATTAGGTAATTGTCGTCTATGTACCACTCGATGCGCTTCATATTAGCTAATTTATTCTGTTTTAGCTTCTTTGGCCTCTTTAATTCCTTTTTTTGAATTCTTATTGCTCAGAAAAGTTCCATTCTATATACTTGGCTTGAATATCCCGCGATGTTTGATACTTTTTCATGATGAAAATTGAGAAAATGACCGATTTTTCCAGCAGGTACACTACATCATGTTAAGATAGGAGCCATGATAAAATTTATTGTTCTGCTCCCTGTTCTTTTGCATTTTACTACTCTTGTTTTTCCGGAACAGTAGTGTGTTCCGTTCAAAGACATACGTATCACTATTTGAAGCCTAGCGTAATTTATTTTCTTTGTATGGTATATTGTATGGTATTGTATCTCATTCGGATTGTATCCCATCTTGTAATTGAATATTCATTTTCATCCCTTCCATTCCATCTCCAACTATTTTACGGATGCACTGTTTCCTTTATGTGTTTTTTTACTTAATGGTGCAAGATTCGCCTAAGGCCATCAGTACAAATATATGAGATTTCTTTATGTTGAACTCTAGAATGAGATTTCTCTTGAAGGTGCCAAAAAATTTCCATCGAATATTTCAGAGTTAAGTAACACATCTACGATGAATACATCTAACCTTGCTGCTAAATGTTTCATTTAATGTTATCTTTACGGAAACTTGTCATTTTCACCTAATGCTCTTTGATTTCAGCCATCTCGGGTTAAGCAGCTATCTGTGTTTGTCGACTCACTTTTTCGCCTGCGCTTGGTTCTACGTTGCCTGCCCTGAGATTCGTTCACATCAACACAGCTACTCTGAGCATGAAAATAAAACGGTCGTAGACCCAGGAATTAGTAGCACACCTCTCGACTTCCATCATATGCATTTCAGATGCGGCAAGGAGTCATGGGCTGGAAGGATGGAGAAAGTAGAAATCCGTATGTCAAGAATTTTCCAAAAATTTCCCAATTAAGCTGCAATAATGTTGATGACGACAATTCGTATCTTTTTTTTACTGTAATTATTTCCAAATATCACACCATGTTGGAGATATTTTGCTTTTATATCAAAAGTAATGTACTAAACTCTTATCCATTTTCAAGTATTATTTTATAATCTCAATATCAGAGATCATTTATATATAAAATAAAGTAAAAGTAAATTATTAATTTGTTTTTCTTAACACTAATATTGACATGATTTTTCATTTTTTCTTTGCTAAAACCTCCGTCGTATCGTATTGACACTCTGCTTTTATTTAGAACATGAGCAAGTCGCCTATCAGTACCTTGTCAGTTTTTACTGGGCAGTGAGCACACTGTGTTCCGTTGGGTACGGAGATATTCACGCCTATGTGACATCAGAGGTAAGACTTTGATAGAACATAGAACATCGATAAAATTCTTTACAGCTGTCATTTAATCCAACAGCAAAGCATTTTTCCATGCCATTTCCTCCTCATTTTCAAGAATTTTTTGTACCTGCTTATCTTTTTGGACTTAACTTGAAGTTCCATTAGTCGAGAAAATGAAGAGCTGAAAATCATACATATTGACAAAAATCATACATAGGAAAACAGAAAAAGACAGCGTCCGATCGAAAATTTATTTTAGCATAATTCAACAAAAACAGGAGTAATTGTGAAAGCAAATACAAATTAACTATGATTTATAAATTGGACTGGTGCAGCAATTGTTTTCGAATTGAAATGACCAAAAGTCTAAGACAGTCAAATGTATTCATTTGAACGTACTACCGCTTGTACTTTTAATCCCCATGATTTCTGCCCTGTAACATCTTGCTGAAATGGTTCCTTGTAGATGGCACTCAGTTGCGTATGCATGGTATTCGGCGTTGTTTACTTTGGCTACATTCTTGCAAGCGTTGCAGCCTCGATGTCAAACGCCGATGCACTGCGGGCAGGGTACCAAGACCAGCTCGAGGCCATCAAACTGTTTTTGAAGGTAATAAGATGGGACTATTCAGTGAATTGTCAAATATGCAGTTGTAAGGTCATTTAGGAGATATTGTGTTCTCTTTCATTTCGTCTTGTTATAATTGCGTATACATAACTTGTTTCGGCATAAGAAACTTTATTTTTGTAAATAAGAATCTACTCTTTTGTCTTTCTTTTGCCATCAAGCAGAATGTTATGTGGGAAGACTTGCTTATTCTAAAAGCAGGCGATCGTTATACTTGCCTTTTGTGCGTAATGACTTGTGTGTGAATGTATTTGTTTTGTTGTTTTCTAGAGTGAAAATGTAAAGCCATCCTTAGCTGATCGAATCATGAAGTAAGTTTTTTCGGGACATCTGGGAATGTATATGCAACTCTTGTCGATGTCATCAAATGGGCTGATGATTCCCCATTGAGAGGGACGAAACACGTACCAGAAGAAAATTAATCAATTTTACTTTTTCGTTGTCGCTCTACAGCATTTTCGTTCTTAGCACTACTTATTTTTGTGAAAAAAAAACATTTGATGTGTGTAAGAATGTGAAACAGTCCACAATATTTATTTATGTAACTTGATTTGAGATCATATATGTGTAAAGATATATATAATGTATATGTATAAATATTTGTATTAAGATGTTCATAGTGCCAAATGTTTTAAAAAATGTAAACGGATTTTCAGCAATAAACAACTTGGTTTGCGTGAGGCTTTAACCTTCTTCAGAAATAGGATCATATTCTTAAGAAGCTTATAGCGATACGTTAGCAAAGTTGTTCTCTACTTAATATCTACTTATCTTTTTAACAACATTAGGATCATGAGAACAGATATAATTAGATATATAAAGGCTAGCCCATTTGTTGTTTATTCACGGTAATTCAGATGAAACGTCTTCATATGTTTTAACTTTTCGTATTCATTATTCTTCAGACACTACGAGTATGTTTGGAAAAGAACAAAAGGTGTTGATTCTAAAAATCCGTTTCAAGGACTGCCAACGGCAATGCAGGGAAACATATGCATCTCGCTCTACCAGTCTATGCTCCAATCGGTAGGTTGTTTGTGTCTAGAGCTTCCTACCACTCTCCGACTTGTTTTACTAATGATATTTTCCAGGTTATCGCATAATTGGAAGGGAGGTTTCGGAGTGACTGTGCCTCTGTTCCATGAGTTTCAACAAGTGGAATGTGCAGTAGAATTTTCATATTCTCCTCCGAAGAAGTGTGCCATGAACGCAACCAGCTACTATGGCATCGTGTAACTGTAATCATTTCAGTTGTGGTCACTAACCCGAGGAGAAAAAGTACAATTTACATTGGAACACTAGCAGCATATTTTTCAATCATACTACAATGCCTGCCAAGAGTCTTGGAACACTAGCAGCATATTTTTCAATCATACTACAATGCCTGCCAAAAGTCTTGGAACACCAGCAGCATATTTTTCAATCATACTACAATGCCTGCCAAAAGTCTTGGAACACTAGCAGCATATTTTTCAAACATACTACAATGCCTGCCAAAAGTCTTGGAACACCAGCAGCATATTTTTCAATCATACTACAATGCCTGCCAAAAGTCTTGGGACACTAGCAGCATATTTTTCAATCATACTACAATGCCTGCCAAAAGTCTTGGAACACTAGCAGCATAATTTTCAATCATACTACAATGCCTGCCAAAAGTCTTGGAACACTAGCAGCATAATTTTCAATCATACTACAATGCCTGCCAAAAGTCTTGGAACACTAGCAGCATAATTTTCAATCATACTACAATGCCTGCCAAAAGTCTTGGAACACTAGCAGCATATTTTTCAATCATACTACAATGCCTGCCAAAAGTCTTGGAACACTAGCAGCATAATTTTCAATCACACTAGCTATTTCCCATCCTCCCTCTAAAACAATTTCGTATTACTTTCATAGAAATACACTACTCAAAAGAAGCCTATAGTTTGAAAATATAATGGCAGTTCTAACATTTCTTAGGAGAAAGCAAGCAGCTTAGCCAGTAAGGGTTGAAATGAAAATAGTACTTTTGGCAAGCATTTTGCATCCTGCGAGATCCCCTCAAAGCATAGGCGAGGAAGGGAACCATTTTAGATCAAATACTTAAGAGAATCAATTGCAATCTTGACCTTGTTGTTGTTACCAGTGCCTTCACTTCTATTATAACTTTTCTCTTTCCACTATTGCGAAGTTACTTTCAGTGTTTCGATAAGAGATTCTCAAATTTTTCCTCTTCAGGTTCCATTTTTTAAGAATACTGAACTTGGTTTTATCAAGCTACTATCAAGGCATATTAGGCCCTTCTACGTTTTAAAGGGTGAATACATTGTCAGAAAAGGAGATTTGTGGCAAGAGGTACGATATCACGCATCTTTACTCCCTCGTTGTTATATTTTTTAATTCTTTAGCTTCCAGTTTGAAATATCACCTGCTCTTCTTGTCTCTTCAACAGGCAATTATGGGCAAGAAATGATAAATGTAAAACAGCAATGTAAAAGACGCCTAGGGGTGCAGTTGCTGTGTTGTAAATTTCCATGCCGTTAAGTATTCATGTAGTAGGATCTACAGCCCCCGAAAAGCACCAGATTTCTCACAATATTCCGGAAACTTTGCTACCTTGTCGGGAATTTTATAGGAAATGCTCAGCCTCTCCTCCCGAAATAAGTGTTAATGCCCGCTGCAATTCTGGGACACCTTTGCGGATCAGAGCATTATTTTTAGAAAGGGTGACAGTTTTCTAGTATTGGCTTTTATGAAGCTTTGATCGCAAACAATTTTTTGGTTTGGGTTAGACCCTTATGATAATGTTAAATTGAACTAAAAATATCCAGCAACACCAGTTGTCAAATTTTGTAAATGAACACATTCATCTTTCAAACAATTATCAGCTTTTTTAACGCCCTTGTTTCAAGGATGTCCTTATACAAGCAAAGACTTATCAACACCCTGAGCGTTAACTAGAAGGTTTTCCGTACGTACGTTGTTTTCAATAGATACGTTGCAAACTATGACCAAAGAAAATGAGCAAGGAATTATGTGATACATACATTGGGAATAGACCACGAACCGGTCAATCTTTCTTTTGATAGTTCACCCACGACATTAAAATTCCGGGTGGCTGAAGTACAAATGTACTACTCAACTGGTCACTGTTGCACTGGAAATGATATAATCAAACTGTTAGACTTTAAATCGTGGTATTCATTTTGATTTTTTCCAACTGAGTAAACTTTATAGGTTAAGATGCAGTGGTTGCTTTTGCACGTTTAATGGTTATTTTCGAGCTAGTAACAAATTCATGGCAAATGTGATCATGGTATTCATAGTGACGTGACGTAGCAGTGTCAAAATCGATTCGTCTTAATTCGGCTTTTTCTCAGAAGGGACAACCTTAGACGTTTAAAGTAAATTATTATTTTCAATTTTGCAAACAGTTTCGTCGGACAAAAAAGCAGCAGAAGTCAGCAAACTAACCTTGACCTTAGTGATCCTAATCTTTCGTTTACACTTTTTACGATTTTGTTTTGACAAAGTTCAATTAACTTTGTTGAATTCTTGAACTCCTCCTTCAACATCAAAATTCTTTGACTAGATAACTTTTATCCGCTTTGGGGGTGCAGAGGTCGTAACAGACGACGAGGAGCCTGTTGTCTTGAAACAGATCGGCACAGGCGACTTCTTTGGTGACGTTGGTGTTGTGTGCAATGCCCAAGTGAACTTTTCAATAAGGTATTTCACTATGTCTCTCTCGATGATTTTTAGTTGTACTCTTGCGTTGTCATTTATCTCCTTTCTCAAAGATATATGTTTCTTGTCTAAAGTTTCTCGATAACAATGACTTAGCTCCAGTATTTGCAGAATACATTACGATAATCATGGCTTTGAAAAAAAGGAGACAATTTACAACATATTAAAGCTTTTTATCTGGCACTCTACAGAGTTTACAATTTACAAAATTTATATACCCAGTTATGGATGGAAAATAGGCCTATCGGAAACCTGAGCACACGGCAGATGTGGCTGCCTAATCAGTGCCGCTTGCTTATTGGAAATATTACCAATAGAGTCCAAGGATGAAAACGAGCTCATTTTGTCCACAAAATAGCGGTGTTTTTAATTTTAGGGTACATTGATTCTGAAATTGCTAGATGGAACAGTAACCGGGCTCTGCCAGTTATGTGAAACATGTCCCGATTGTAATTTTTGGCACAATCTGGGCTTTCTATTAAATGCTGCATCATAGCAGGATCGCATATTTTAGTTGCTGGTTTAGATCTGCAAGACCGAGGTGACTATCTCCGCGGGGTGAGGGTTTTGCTTCTTTTGTGAGAGGGAGCATTCTATTCAATTCCTTCCTCCAAAACTGTTGATGGTACGTTCTATGTTGCTAAAATCACACTCGCACTTACACTCATAGATAACGAATCTACGAGTCAAGTTTAGATTCCGAGAAAAATCATGAGTTCCCCGTGAACTAAAATTTTAATTACATTGAAATTATCATTATGAATATTAGGTTGCCGCTGCACAAAAAATATCAAACTTCATACAGTCACGCAGCACCCTCACCCACACATAAATTATTTTGTAATAAATAGTGAAATAGTTTTTTGCGTTTCGAAATAATGAAAGAATGACGATGTTTTCAGATCCCGCACGAACACAGATCTGTTTGTTCTTAGCAAATGTGACTTAGATGCACACTTGCAAAGCTTCCCACAAATCAAAAGTCAAATATCATTGGCAGCGCAAGAAATGAAAGATATGCTAGATAAGAAAAAGAAGCAAGGTATCTTCGACTTTGAAATCCGCAAAATTGAAGAAACATCCGAAGACAAAAAGGTAAATTGGCTTTTTTGTGCAATTAGATCGTGCATCTCAAGAAAAAAGCTTGCACGATAAGATTGCTATGTTTATAGTAATTTTAAGCCAGAATATACAATTATTAACCACTTTGCGACAAAGCATGAAATTTGGTAGAAGTGAATAAAGGTGCAGATATGGTCCCATTTGTAAAAGATATCTTTGGACAGGGAAAGCTTTGTCTCAGCTTTCCCGATAATTAAGGGATTTCCAATAATCTTTTTCCATAGTAAACTAGACTTGGCGAACTATTCAACGGCTAACAATCTTGCAATGTACAGTATATTTCTTTATGACTGATACATACCCCCTAGAACACCTCTTTAGATGCGTGCAGTTTCATCTATTTTTTACATTCAGTTATAAAATTCGCTTTATTTTTAATCTAAATTTGAATGAAACCTCTTTGATAAAGGTATTCTCAAAAGCTTTGGCATTAATGGCATTAAAATGGGGGGGTGTGGGTGGGTATTCGGGTAGTCGGGAACTTTAAACTCGGGTAGTCTGGTAAGGATAACGATAGTGAGAGTCCAAGGCTGCATGGCAGCTTTTAAACTATTTGCTTCCCAACTGGGGGCTATGATCCTCCTGCCCCCCCGGTGACCTTGGCCCTGTTAAGAAAGCAATCATTTTGTTTATAGCTTTTATTTTAATTCTATGCTCTTCATTTTTCAATGTATTTTCATTTGTTAATTTTCTCTTTCAGATTAGCATATTCATAAAAGATGACAAAGTAACACTGAAAGGCAAAAAGACTGGACCACAAGCCAGAGAGAGAAATGAAAGTGGCAAGAATTCTCTGTTTGAGAAATTGCGTAAATGGAGTCGATTTGTTCTTTCTCCGAACAACCCGCTAAAGTACTATTTGGAGAGAGTCAACTGCATTGGGATATTTTTGTCCTACCTTGTGATCACATACGTGGTAAAGTATTTGTAATGCTATAAGCGATGGTGATTTTTGATGACTTTTGATTGTAGAAGATTTGTGTAGAAAGAGTGGTGCGTGCAGAGTTTGCGGACAATAGAAACCAGTGATTTCCTCCCGCTGATTAATCATTTTTATTCTGGTGATATGATACGATTATATGCTTTATTTGATTACTAATCATGCTAAACTTGAGAATTTAGTCAATCTTGCACGCTTAGTGCAAAGGGAAAGTAACAGTTCATTTTAGCACGTAAGAATTCAACATTACGAAGTACTGTGGCAAGTTTCTTTCGTCGCCGCCTTTGCCAGCGCTCTAGGCATTAAGGAGGCCCCAGGTGTTATTTCAATTCACTTTGTGAATTTACTTTTATAAGCGACGCAAATTTCAGATATTTTGAAAGTGAGTTTTTTAAGTCTGAGACTATCTTATGTTGGGTGCAAAATTGTTTGGGCGTGGCCACCCCTAAAGAGCCCCCATCATATTTTGCCACTGGCGCCCATTTCTTCATTGGGTAAACATGAGGCCAGTTTCCAAATCATTGGAAAAAACTACGTCCAACCTCACCACCATCAACAATGCAGTCAGTCACATTTATCACTTGGCCATACATCCTTTTTTAAAAAGAAAGCCTTTTTCAAACTGAAAGAATATTGAAAGTGAAATCCTTCACTTTAGATTTTACTTGTTAAAAAAAAGAAGTGATGAGCTGAATGCTCAATTCTAACAAGTACCTACGTATCAAAAGCACATTTTTCTCAAAGAAGAGAGCTCTATTGCAGCCTAGGTAAGGGTCTTGTAGGACCATACAGTACTGGACTATATTAGCGCCTGGTTTTCGACTGAACATAGTAATGTAGGAAAATCTTATCATGGAACGATTGTATGTTCTATACTGCTTGTGTTTTAGGCCGCTTACCAACACCACTCCACAGGAATTCTTTGTTTAATCTATCTATTGGAGGTCTCCTTTATATTCGAGGTAAGTTTTATCTTTCAGCGAAAGTTTGTAGTGAAGGCTCAGTTTATGAAGCCTGAAAGCAACAACCTTTTCCCAACGTACCATTCTGTTAAATTATTTTGTTACGGTTAATGAGGGCCAGTCAATATCTGGTCAGCCTGTAGAATACCGGAAGCTATCAGATGCACTCTCCAAAACGAATTTTTTAGATACGAGAGGTTATATAGGTTTTCTTCATCAAATCAGATTGCTTCGTATAATACTGACAGACTGCGAAACTGATGCTATAAAGCATTCGTAATTCTTTATGAGGCAGACCGTATGAAGACAAACACTTCAATTTTTATAAGGAATTCACATACCTATTCGAAGATAAATTAGCTACGAAGGCAAGCCTTTCTTTATAGAAAGAAGAGGACAATAAGCTATTGTTTACAACAATGGACAGTCACTGGGGTTGGAGCGTCAATGCCCCCCCCCCTAATTCGTATGTTAAAAAAGACTATATGATTTCAGTAATACACTAGATGCTTATTCAGACACAAAGCCCATAGATGTACAATGCCATCTCCTACTTCAATTAGCTCTTAATTGTTTTTATTCTTGATTTTTATATGATGCATAACATACAATGGAAACATTGAAGAAATGTATTGTCTGATAATTCAAAAATAAGAAATTAATATTTACACAATACGCTAGACCATTTGTACGGTCCAAAGATGAATAATATTGGTTCTGTATCCTTTTTATTTAATGTTGGTTTACACTAATAAACAGCTAATTGACACTAACTTATAACAATAACAAAATAACTAAGGATAAACGTGCTATTAACAAGTATCCAATATTAGAAATATATGATCTGCATGGTCTACACGAGCAAGTACGATCCGCTTCTTTAATATTAATTGTTAATGCTTTACAATTTCCTGTCGACCGAATGTAACACGAATTTGTCTTTGCAGATGTACCTCAATTTCCACATACCTTACACGTTAGCAAATGAAGAGGTAGTTGATGACTTCGAACAAATCTGGAATCATTATGTCAAAGGAGATTTCAAAATGGATCTCATCTCAAATTTGCCAGTTGACTTGCTGGGATTTGCCTTTGAAAGTGAACATCGCCTGCAAATTTTGTCATACATTCGTCTTTTTCGCATTATACGCATAAGAAGAATATTCCTGTTTTACCAAGAATGGGTAACTAGACTGAATGTAAAGTGAGTTATTGTTTGCACTTTTTAGTTAGGAACCATTTGAAATTGTTTGCCTCATTGCTCAAAAGAAGAGCACTTTGAATGACACTGAGAAACGACTTGCAATTTTCATTGGTTTGAAACAAAAAATTGATTCCTGTAGAAGACAGGAAATGTTATGAAAGTATCGTTAAAGCAAATACTATTCGTTTATGTGTTTCTTCAGCCAAATCTCGCAAAAACCCTTAACCTTTAGTCACAGCCAACGTTTCGAAACCTGAAATGAAAAATGTATCTGAGAAAGGAAATTTGGGTTTGATGACTCTGTGACGTAAAATTGACGTATTTTTACTACCCATGTTGAAACTCGTATTTGTTTCTAATATCAAACATGGCGTGCAAAACGTCGTTTCAGTTCAAGCCAAAATCCCTAAGGCAAAACCTGCGTCTAACAACAGTGATATTTGGAATTTTTTCGAGCATTTTTAATTCCTATAAAGTCCTCGTCGTTGGTCATGGAGCCTTGGTGAATTTTGCATTTGAGAATTATTACGATTTATTACTTTTCGCAAATGAGATTATTTCTAGTCGCATTTGAGATTATTGCAATTGCCGCATATTTGATTTGCTATGTAATTTATAGCGGCAGCCTTAATTCATTATAAATCTGATAAATTTTCTGCTTCTAATCTAAAACAAGAGCGTACACAGAAAAATCCCAGAGACGGCAGAGAGGTTATTCGTCATATGGGTACCAATAATTCACCCGATCAATCGATTTTCTTCCTCTGAGTTTTTAATCTCACAGAGAGGTGACTGCCGCGATAACTTGATGTCCGTTGTATATTGCCCAAAGGGAAAAAATTCATTTTGTTTTATGTTTCTTTCATGGATATTAATCTGTCCGTGTTTAAATTATAAATGAGTGAAACTAAGACTTTGTTTGCCCTTGTTTTAGTATTCTCAATATCCGACTGAGCGAGATTGGTTTCAAGGTTGCAATTTCCGTCCACCTGTTTGCATGCATTTGGTATATGCTAGCATGTATCGGTCATCACTGTAAGAAAAAGAGTTGGGTCGGTGAAAGAAGTGAGTTGAAAATTTCTGCAATAGAACTTCTTTTACAACTGAGAAGTGCACACTATTGCTCATACAGCCATTGACAAAATTGTTGGAATGGTAACCCAAAATTTTATTTTTGGACAGATTGATTACACGCGCTCAATATTGAACTTCTAATGTTGTTTGAAAAAGAATGAAAGCTACAAGAGAAAAGCAAAACAAACCATGTCTTTCTAATTACTTTTTTTTCTTTTTATCGAAATCATAAATCTGAAATTTAACCATGCATTTGATTAAATGGGTATTGGTACTTTATGATTCCAATATTTATTATGAAAAACTTCTTTAATTTTCATTGCTCTAGCCGGAAATGTTTTTCTCTTAATGGGTCTCAGACACGTGTTAGCCTCTTTCCCCTTTTTTGTTTTGCTACCGGCTTTCGAGAAATGAATCAGAGTTGAACGCTCTTGTTTAGGACATTGAATTCTTAGCTAATGGGTATGTTCACGAACCTTTTAAATTACATGGTTTTGTTATCGCATTATAGACCACACACTCTCCGATCCGTTTGAAATGTACGTGGATAGTATATACTGGGCAGTGGCGAGTATGACGTCAACTGGTTATGGAGACTTTCATGCTACTAATGAAATCGAGATGTGTAAGAACCTTTCATTTTGTATTTTAGATAATTTAAGTTGTTGATAAAGATCGATTTAGTCTAAGATCCAATTCATCGGTTGCCTGACTTCATTCATTCATTCATTCATTTATTCATTCATTCATTCATTCATTCATTCATTCATTCATTCACTCATTCATTCATTCATTCATTCATTCATTCATTCACTTTCTAAAATATAATTTGATTACACTCTTATTTTATAAGCTTTTTTATAAGAACGATTTTATAAGAACACGAGCCTCGAAATTGGTAAAAAATTAAGAACAAATTAAGAACAAGCTGAGGCTGAGCTACTGTAAAATGTAATTTAAGCCACGTTTCATCTTAATAACGAGGATTTTTCGCCATGTGTGGATGATTTTTTGGTGAATTTTCTAACTTGTAGGCAAATGAAGGCTGTCTCAGTCACCTGGGGTGACTTAGCCCTGGACAACTCCCTGGAGCGAAAAGGCTAGCAATCGCACTGCTTACAACCTATTAATTTAAAAACAAATAAAGAACAATATCCAGCCTCAGATTTTTGAAAAAATTAAGAATAGTCAGCCTGAACTTAAATTTATTGGTTTTTATAAAAAAAGGGCAGTTCACTCGTCAGAAACCACTCATTGGTTTTTAACATGCCTTTTCTGTTGTAACTGTGAAACATTTAGTTGAATTACTAAAGATGACAGAACTTTACTGGCTTCACAAATTTCCTGTCTCTTTTAGTGTTTGCGGCATTCGTGATGCTTGCCGGAAAATGTATTTTTGGTTTTGTTCTTGGCCAGCTGACGTCATCTCTGGCTGATACTGAAGCTCAAAGAGTTAGCTATGAAGAGAGGTTAAATGCAGTAAAGGTATTAATTTGATAGTCATCCTTTATGGTAGCATGAAATCTTACCATAACATGGAGTGAAAACAGAGATTGAAAGGAAGAAACGTGAAGAAAACAATTTAGGGGGGGACTTAAAGCGGAGCGACAGATGAGAGAGTAGGGTGAACATGTGAAGTCAAGGTATGTGAGAAAAGAGGGGAAATGAATTGAATGGGAGAGGCTACAGAAAAGAGTCAGAGAATTGGAAAAATTTGTGTCTCAAGGAAGATAGGAATCAGTGCTTTGCAAAGGATAAGACTAAGTATTTGTACGTATAGCGATTGAGGTTATGTAATAGACAAATGTAGAAATAAGAAAAATTAGCAGCTGTCTCTTCTGCACGTTGTAAAAACTATAGATTGAATCGAAAGAATAGATTTAGAGGCTTGATTGGAGCAGCTAGTTATTCGTTGGGACCCAGAAGGGAGGGGGGGGGGATTCAAATAAATGTAGGGTAGGGGTGTTCAGACTGTAGTACATCAACCAAAAAATTTGACCCAAAAAAGGTAATTGTTCTCGCCATGCTCAAGAAGATTTGCGGTTTTTCTCCATGTTTTAAAGGCACTCGACACAGGTAAAGTGGCTTACAGCCACGTGACCCCAGCGGTTGACCAATTGAATTGCGCACAGAGTAGTTTCGAATTCCTTTCAAACGCGCGTGCTCTGATCGAGTTATTTTTGGATTCGCAGTACTTATGCATGTCATATGCCATTAAAACCTTTTGTCATATTTTGGGATCCAAAAAAAATTTCTTGATTTCATGAGCCCAAAAATTACAACCGACCCAAAAAATAAATTTTGATCAAATTCTAGACTCTAAAAAGTAACCTGAGCACTACTATCCTAAAAATATATGAATACACTCCCCTGGGCGTTGGGATTAAGCAGAAAAGATCATGGTGTCAAGTATTTCATTACCTTGGGTGCCAGACTCCTAATTTATATAGAGTGAGTCTGGTACCCAGGGTAGTATTTCATTAGCCTGGGAAACTTAACCATCGTTTTTTGGGTTATAAATTCTGTACCTTTCAGTTGTTCATATTCTCTTCTTCAACCATCAGAAGGAAAATGTGGATTGTGGATTTGAGCCTACTTTAGACTTTCAAGATACGGTTCTTTAATTGACTAATTGATTATGAGGAAGTTTTTTAAACTGCGTTAACTTGCTTGTGATGTGGGCTAATGTAAGTTTTGACTTGTTTTGTACATAATTTTCTATGTTATTTTTTTCAAATTTTGATTACTTTACCAAAAAGAGCATTGTAAGAACTTTATCAATTGACCATGTACCCATAAATCCAAGTTTAAGTCTTTTCAGGAAGGCAAAGATACAACTAATTTTTAGATTTTTAGAGAGGGATTAAAACGCACAATATGGAAACAACAAGTGACTATTAGTACCCCATTTTAATGACAAAATAAGCTCAAACGGCCATTAGAAAATGATGGGGGAGGAGGGCAACCGAACCTCCTGACATCTGTTGGCTTTGTCAATTAGCATCTTCTACTTAAGCTTTAAAACATTTGAAATATGTGTTTTATTTGCTTTTAGGCCCAAATGACGGAGCAAAAAATTTCGCTGGCATTGCAAAAAAGGGTTCTAGATTTCTTCAGATATTCATGGAAAACAACGAGGTAGTGTCACAGATTTAATTTAAGATTGTTTTTTCACTTTTAGTGCTTCTCTATCAGCAAGTGGTGGGAATCTAGAGATGGGGATCTAGGGTTGAAGATCTGATTCTGAAGAATTTTCTTTTAGAGGATTCAGAGTGGAATAGCTATCTAGAACGGGCATATAGGGTTGGCAGAAAAATAGTTTCTTTGGTCAACATCTTTTAGACAGCCCAGATTGTGCTAAACTCTATAATGACGACATGTTTCGGATAATTGAGAGAGTCCGGTCGTCTTTCCATCTAGCAGTTTTGGAATCGATCTACATAATACAAACGAAAAAGCCGCCATTGTGTAGAGAGAAGGAGTTCGTCTTTCCTCTTGGATTCCAGTGGTAACTTTTCTTTAGGCACGCGGCACTGATTGGTCAACTATACCTGTCGATTGTGCTTGCGTTTTTCTGATTGGCCTATTCTGATCCACAACTGGGTATATAATTTTCATCGTGTTCTTTCGGACTCTTATTCTGACGTTTTATGTTCTAGGAGTGTCAGACGAAAAAGCTTCTAGCCAATATGTTGTAAAATGTTTGTTTTTTCGCAGCCATCTTTGTAGTTTTCTAAAACATCTCGAGCTTCTGCTCTCAAAGCTTCTTACGAGTTACTCAACGATTGACACACGGGAAAACAGGCACAACCTCTTCTTAGTAAAAGAACTAGGATAAAGTCGGGTCTCCTTTACAATCTTTAAAAAGAAAGCTTCGAATTCTCTTGCATCAAGAAAGCTTACTTACTGTACACAAATCCAGAATGCAAGAAAAAACATAAACATGTTTGATTTGAAGCAAATCAAGTTTATATTGAAAGCATATGTCAAGAGCGACGTTTTTTTGTGTTCAAAGCTTCTTCGACGAGGCCCCAAGATGCTCAACATTTGTACTAACCCAGCCCTGGTTGCCTGTTTATGGCTGCTTACTAATAATGAATAATCAGCTTCAATGAGACTGTTCTTTATTGAGGCAACCCATGTCTATGTATTTTGCAGGGGTGTTGATATTAGTTCGCATCTACTCAATTTGCCATACTGCTTGAGGGCAGAGTTTTATCATTCTTTGGTTGGCGAAAGGCTCGAAAAGGTTCCTATGTTTCAAGGTTGCAGTCCGGCTTTTCTTCGATTGCTGTGCAGCAAAGCACTGTATCAGCATTTCTCCGCTGGTGAATACGTCGTGAAGAGAGGTGATGTTGAACACTGTCTGTATCTGATTAAACGAGGAAAGGTAATGTATGCAGATTTGAATTGCATGAAATATTTTGAATCAAATGCTTATTAAAACGCACTTGAGAATTTCTTCTTTCTTACAACTGACAACTGACAACTTCTTTTTTACACACCACTTATAAAACATTGTTTTAACCTAAGGGCCCCCTCCCCTTGTAACCCACTTTATAGCCCTAACGTTTTATTGCCGTAAAAAAATACGATTGCAAATGATACGTTCGTTAGCGTCTAAATTTTTCATTAACAGTGAAAACGGGTTCTAATGCCCAATCTCCAGTGAGAAAGTCTTGCGAAATTTCGCTGCGTAATACGTCACGCGACAAGTGCCTTTGAATGCTTTTGTTGACCTCACGACATTGGAATTTAAAGTTTGGAAGCGTGACAAAGGAATACGGAATATGATTGGCTGTTGAAGGATTTCGCAAGCGAAAAGCGAAAAAAGTTAAACTCATTTTAACTTTTTTTCGCAGAGAAATTCTTCGCGAGAAATCCCAACAAAAGATCACTGCGCATGCCTAAGACGTATTTCGCGCGAACTTTTTCGCATTTCGCTGATTTTTTTCTAACTGAAGATTGGGCTTGAGAAATCATGCAAAGATTTTCTTGAAAGCTGTTGGCTGGCAAAAACCTTAAAGACGTCATAATTAACTTCGTGTGCAATTCACAAAATATGATTAGCTAGTTTAAGATTACGGTTCGCAGAAAAGTATGATAATGTATGTTGCAGAGAAGGTGTGGATTGCATGAAGAAAACTTAGAACATTTATGGCAATGCGAAATTCAAAAGACACCTTCCAGGAATGGAACAAATTCTAAAAAGCAAAGCAAAAGGCCTGATAGAAAAGAGAGATTGGTTGAACTTTTTCAAACTTAAGTGAAAATTAGCCTGTGGTACTATACTGCACATGACGTTTTTCCTGGCAATTCTGTGTTTGTGGTATAGTAACTGCTCCGAAACGGAGATTTGGCGATATATATTATTATTATTATTATTATTATGAGGTCTGTTACTAATCTGTACCTGTTGCTTTAAGGTTGAAAGCATTTCTGACGATAACGTACAAGGTGAAGAACAAACTGAGAAAAGAAAGACATATGAAGCGGATAGCGTTTTCGGAGAAAGCGAGATTTTGTCAGACAAATTATGCTCGACAACCATGAAAACAATAACTGAGGTAGACTTATTCTCATTCAGCAAGTCGGCAATAGAGAGCGCCCTACACTCCTTTGGAGATCAAAGGCAGATCTTCAAATACAGTAGCCGTAGACTGTCTGTTATTGAAGAGGAACAGAACCACGATGTCCATGCATAATAATCTCGTTTTTATATCGATGTAAAAATACGAAATGTGTAGAAGTAAACTTAAGACTATTTATTCATTTTACTGTTTTAAGATTAAACTTAAATATTTGTTGTTTTAATAAACAAGGTCAGAAAATTCATTCCTTTCATTAAGTGGAAAATTCTGATGGCTTGTTTAAAAACACCAATGTCGCTACCGTTATATCATGTTTATTCTTTGAGCGACGGCTACAGGGGGGATGGTTGCCACCCTCACCCCATTTTTGCCATTACACGGTACTTCTAGCCTGCGTCACAGACCAAAAACTTCACGGAAATCTCATAGAGCCCCCGAGTATCACACATGGAATAGTTTGATAGAACCTTTTTGAAATATGCGCTAGAATCTCATCAAAGCAACTTGATATGTTATTACTAGTGTTTATTATTGCATTTTAAGGTTTTTTTGGTAGACGGTTACTTAAACATAATGCTGAGCCCTTAGTCGATCAGAAGATTGAAAAACCATTGAACTGGTCAGCCTCAGTCTTTAAGTAATCTGCTCGAAAACCCCTCTTTTGAAGATTGTTTCTTCCCAAAGGCATCTTTTTCCTGTTGAATGGACATATATAAATAGAAAGAAAAACCTCTAATGACTTATTAGGTACTCTTTTTGTGTTAACTCATTTTATGTTATCTCGTGTTACGTTTTTGCGGTTCTTAAAAGTAGCTACTCAGCATTTGTATTCAGTCGAAAGGCACTGCGGAGCAGGGGGCTGGGAGTAGCCCCCACTTTTAAAAAAATGCCACGTATTAAGTAATAAACTTCCAGTAAAGCCTCTTTTTATGCTGTTTTAGCCCCCCCCCCCCACTTTTTTAGACCCCCACTTTTCTCAACGCTCCGCGGTGCCTGGTCGAGGGTCATTTCAATCTTGCAAAAAGCGAACAAGAAAACACAAGGATTTTTACAGATGTTCTGTCAAAACAATAGGATTTCTACCGAAGGTGTACGAGCTTTTGATAGTGTGATTTGCCCCTCGATTGAAGCAACTTTAAGTACGATTAAGAAACTTTTAGTACTGAAATCAACAGAAACTGAGTGCAAATCCCGTACTTAGCTTCTGATAAGAAATGAGTGTACATGGTATTGAATTAATTGCTGTTCAAAGGTTTCCTAGGATCAAGATGAAAGTGGACATTGCTGAGATAATCTGAAACTGGGTCGAGGAACGCTTGACCTCGCAGTTTGAGAAAGCATTCGGCAATGGTTTGACCTCTCTTCATGAATCCCATCGAATTACTGAAGATTTTACACACCTGGGTAAATTTTGTAATAATTTGGGGATACCGTATTACCTTTAAAGAACGCTGCGGTGTTTATTACAAAATCTAACTTTTGTATGCGGTGATAAATAGAGGACGGCGTATAACAGAGGACGGCGTTTAATACAGAATGAAAAATTTGTCAAATAAAAAATAACAAGAAAAGTGTGATTAAGTTTGAACGACAGCGACAAACAAAAGGAAAGACAATAGCCGTTTCAGCTCGTATCCCCAACAAGAACATAGTTTTCTTTACCCCCAAAACACGTAATAAAGATTGTATGAAAATTTTGTCTCAACGTTATTGAAATGTCAATGAATGCCAATGTCCCTGTTTCTGTCAGCGTCCTCATCTCTTGACGTTACAACTGTCATTGCTTTCAAATGATAAGCGTGTTGATGAACGCCGCTTTTCAAGATACGGCGCTTAACAGATGGCGGCGTTTATTAGAGGGCGGCGTTTATTAGAGGAAATTCGGTAGTCCCTTTTGCAAGTAGCCCGTTTTTTTTTCAGTGAAATCTGTCACCATGAGATGAACCATTGTTCTCAGGCTCAAGAGTCTATGGCCAAACATCGGCTCATGCTGTTATTTATCTTCACGTGAACTATCAGTACATTATGGTCTAACGTGTCCTCACCGTTCTTTTCACATTGTTTTAGAGCCACACTGCATTGCCATGGGACTCACCTCATCTTTGGTGTCAATGTTGGTTTTTGGCTGTCAGGTCCAAATCAACTGAGGCGTGTGCTAAAAATGTAAGTTTTTTTCATTCTTACCTTTAACTTATTGCAGGCATGGGTGATGGATGTTCAATTTTATAGGTAAGAAAAGTCCCTTGGAGTCCATTCTGTGGCGCACATCAGTGTGCAAATGTTTCCCGCTGGCGAACCCTTCTTAATTTTTTGGCTTCGGCGCAAACTTGCAAATACACGAAGATCAATCGCAACCTACATTCTCAGCGACTTACCGCCATTAGCTGGCGTAAACCTTTGGCTCATTGCCTTCGCCAAATCCAGTATGGGTCTCACGCAGTGGCATAGCTGAATCTTCGAAGGGAAGGGGTTTGGGGGTCACGGAAAAAAAATTCACCAGCATAATGTGTGAAGATATCTGGTTGCGATTTTATCTACCAACTAACGACTGAAACCGCCTGTTGACTAACTGAAAATTTACCCGCCACTTCATAAAAGATTGGGGGTTTTAAACCCTCCCCTCCCCAACACCTCTCCTTCTAGCTGGGACCTTAGTCTTACAGGCATGTGTATGGGGCAGGCCCTCTGAGGGGGGCAATGCTTCTGGACCCGTAAGCAAAGAGGAGGCCGCATGTAACTAAACTGTCTCTAATTTTAAGGTATGACTCTCAATAACATGGAATTTACAAATCACATCTCTTTTTGGAAAGTTTCAAAATGCTTCACGAATTTGAATTCAAAGTAAATAAAGAAAACTGAATGCATTTTAAGACAAAGCTAAACGTATTTTAGGTTTTTTTGGGTGCGACCCCACTACCGACTGGCCCTCCTTCCAATTTGCTCCTGATCCTCCCCTGGGTAGGAAGGGGCCCAAGCATTTTGTCTGCCTTTGGGTCCGGCGTGGCCCTCGTTGGCCGTGGTACGGGGCTGCGCCAGGAGGGGACGAGACTCCGTGAGCCCCTACTCTCCAACCAGCCTAGCTCTAAGTAACTTGAAAATATTTAAGGTTTTATTTACGAAACCTTAAAAGATGGTCTCCTGCTTTTGAAGTTATGTAGAAGCATCAATTCAATGTTAGCACTTCTTTTCTCTCTCGCGGGTCATTGTTTCTCCCACTCACGGTTCACTTAATCTGATTTGCAGTTAAATTTCCATTTCTAAAAAACGCAAACAAAGGATTGTGCTATTTCAAGACCGGAAGGTCCTGGGGTTGCAAATTCCTGTCAACGCGGTCTTCCAAATAGCAGTCACCAAATTATCCGGCATCAGATCCGGCATCGTGTAAACCGGCTATCCGGCCTGTGATCCGGGCAACCTCTGCTACGGATTCATAACGCGGTTGCTATTTTAACTGCAATGGCATACACTCTTTTTTAAAAGAACCAGTAAATTTAAGTTCCGGCTGACTGTTCTTAGTTCTTTCGAAATCTGAGGCTGGATTGTTCTTAATTTGTTCTTAAATAAATAGGGTGTAAGCAGTGCTATTGCTAGCTTTTTCGCTCCAGGTAGGTGTTAAGGCCTCATTTGCCTACAAGTTGGGAAGTCACCGAAAAAGCACCCACACATGGCTAAAAATCCTCGTTTTTTAGATGAAAGGTTGCTTGAAATGATATTTCACAGTACCTCAGCCTGAGTTTGTTTTTGAATTGTTCTTAACTTTTGACTAGTTTGAGGCTCGTGTTCTTATAAAATTGTTCTTATAAAAAAGAGTGTAGTTTAAGAATAATGCTCTCGCTTAGTCAAGAATAAATTTTTTTGTTTATTTGAGTTTTGAGAAAGCAAATCAAATGCGAGATTCACCCTATATGTTTTGAAGAACTCGTATCCACGTCATTAACACTAAAATGCGACTCAGTTACACCTTGGATAATTTGAAAATTATCTCAGGCTCAAAATCTTAAAAGTTTAAGAATGTTGAGTCTCAGCAAAAAACGAGATTTTCTTATAAATTCCCACCCATTCCCACCTTGGAATTCTTCTTAGCAAGTAAAAGAGATCTAGACATTGTGAATTGCGGTCAGTGGTGGCTCCAGCCTGGGATAAGTGGGGGGGGGGGGACAAAGGTGTGTCAGGGACCACGCCCTTTCTCCTGTTTGAAACATTTTCTTCCAGAGGAAACACCTCTTGTCTCCCAAGATATGTCATTTAAATGTGACCATCTAGATAACATACATACCCCCCCCCCCCACGTTTTTCATCAAGTTTGCGAGAATCTCGAAGAACCAACTTTCTGAAAAAGTGGGGGACTAGCCACCCCATTCCCCCTCCCCCCGTGGCTCCGCTACTGATTGCAGTTGACGCTTGCTCTGAAAAGACGGTAGGGAAATTGAACACAATACACGCTTTCACCTAAGAAGGACCTGTTGGTTTGGATTCAGTACTAAAAAGAAATCTTGAAATCATTAACGCTTAGTTTTGTTTACATCGGGGGAACCAGTGTAACCAGTATCATATGTAACCAGTAGAGCAACTGGTATTGCCTAATTATTCTTTACTGATTGTGAGACGTGAAGGCCCTTAAACTACCTAATGCGTTTCTTCGACCGATTGGTTTTTTTCCTTTTAAGCTACTATTGGAGAGGGGGGAGTGTAAGCATGCAAACCTCCTTAAAAAGATTACCTACCCTCCTGGCCTTATTCATAATAATTTTTTACTTTGAGTTTTTCTGTTTACAACATATTAAATCCAGTGAAATAAGGTAATACGAATTGAAAGGCCAAGTCAAATCATTATGATTATCAAGCAATGTGCGCCAGTGTGTATGCAAGTCGTCGATACCATATATCGAAGCTCTTGCCGCCCAGTGAGATGGATTTGCAGCCCACTAGGCGACAAAATTGTTTCACTGGGCGGAAAAATGTAGCAACCCCTGTGGATGTACAAAACTTCAAGGGGCCCATGACATAAGCATATTTTTAGAAAGATAACTGATGCTGGGCCGAAGGAGCCCATCAATGGTTGGACGAGCCCGGCGGGGCTCACTAATAGTTTGGCGAACACGGGGCTAATTCTTTTGATCATAGCGTTCTGTTGTCTCTAGCATTTATTGTTTGGATGTTGAGGTCTTGACATAACCTTTAACTGATGCAAACTAATCTCTAAATCCAAAGGCCATAACACTACAGCTTAAGCCCTGTTTACAATGCATCTTTTAACCTGGGTTAAGCTACTCTGATTTGAGTACTTAAGTCACAAAAGCCCATTTCGAGAGCTTTTGAATTTGGATCACATAACCTGAAAGGGCATCCTGAAATACCTCTTAATGGGCAAAATCAGATAAATGTATTGCAGGGCCGTCTTTACAGGGGGTGTGGGTAGTTGTGTGACACCACCCCCCCCCCCCACCTAGGGGTACTTCGTCCTCAAATTTTCAGATTTGTCGGCAAATAATGGATGCTTCAACCATCTTGTCGACAATTGGGCTTAGGGCACCATCACCTCCCTCCCCCCTCTTGTGCATCATAGGAAGCGACGGCCCTGATGTATTGGCATATGGCCATATTGGACCAAATGAGCACAGGAACCTGCCTCTGCTCCTGACTTGGTGAACCATAGAAAAATAACAGTAATTCGTTTAAAAAAAATTCTTTTTAAAGAACACTTTTTCAGATTATTCAGGCTCAGAATCGTCCAATTTTGAAAATAAATAATAAAAATATTGCTCAGCCGCAGCTCGCATTTTTCTTTCTTATTTTTCAGCGGTTGCCTGTTTAGGGAAGTTCATAACAAGGAGTCTTAAAATTGACATATCTCGTTGTGGTTTGTTGTGCAAAAAGCGTGGTTTTTATTAAGGAGCGGGAGATGTTCCCCTGAAACCATATCAGATTTGGAAAAAATTAAGAATACTTTAAGAATAAATTCAGGTTCAAAATAAATATTTTTTTAGGAATTTCGAGGCTGGAAAAAGTTTATAGTATTCTCGGTTAAAATAGAGTTTACCATACGTCAAGTTGTCAAGCAAGGGACCTGCACGTGTTGGTTGCCCCCAGGGCCCGGCTTGCTCTCGGGAGCCCTGACGTTTACACGGTCATCAGAATGTGCTGTTAGGAACTCGAATTGTCCACTGTTCAGCAGATAAGCATATAAATTATGTTCTCGTTTACCCCTGCAAAACTTTATCATATTGTGCCTAGACTGGCAACAGAGCATCGTTGTAACTCTATAATGATAAGCCTGCTACAACTTTGAGCAAAATCACTGCAATTCAACCATACCTCTATGAATTCGACTGAGAAAACGACAATTGCAATATATTGAAACTACTCAGTTAATTTTGATTGTTGGTAGTTCATAAGCTATGAATGGTACGTCTCACTTTGCATGCATAACATGAAATGCTTGGTATAGTTTTGTTAAATTAGTCCAAGGACCTGTGCGTCATTGCGATGGCCCAAACAAGATGTTGACTGCAGGTGTTTGCCCTCTACAACATAGACCTTTGGTATTCTTTAATTCATCAGCTAAACGTTGAATGTACAATGCTTGCCAAAAATTTTGGAAAACCTAAGAATTTTTTCGAAAATTCTCAATCTGTTTTCAATCCACGCCTAAAGAAATGGCTGAGTTGCCTGCCCCTTTTCCTGTTGTTGTTGTTGTTGTTGTTGTTGCTGTTGGAAATGTTGGAAACAATGTTGGAATAGCACCTGAGCCATCCTTGTGTATAAAATATAAGTTACGTTCAAATAGTATTTTTCTAAGGACAATCATCCAAAAATTTTTGAAAGGGGTACGGAAAGCAGCTTGTGTGAATGGCAAAAAAAGCCTTTTGCAAGCATGTTGAGCTGCACAGAAATGAGCTTGGAAACGAATTTGTTGTCTTTTACTTCCGAGAGAACTAGGCCCAAGAGAACTAAGTACTACATTCGTGATCAGCTGCATCTCCTGAGAGAAGCTTGCCTTGACGATGACAATGGTATAGCTGTTTACTGGTATTTGTTGAAGTACAAACAAGATACCTGCAGCTTCAAAGAGTTGCTGTTTTCTGATATTGCCCTTTGGCCCCATGCTGTTTAGGCCCTATCTGAATGTTTTTAAAGTAATTTTCAAGACTTTAATTTTCTGCGGTTGACTAACTTTGTGTTGTATCAAGGGTATGAGAAAATAAAATGCTCAACATTGACACACTGTATTGTCTTGCCTTCAAGTTAACGTAGAATTTTTTCAAAACAAAATACACAATACACTCTTTTTATAAGAACAATTTTAAAAGAATACTAGCCTCAAAATTGGTCAAAAGTTAAGAGCAAATTAAAAACTAGCTAAGCTACTGTAAAATGTAATTTTATGCAGCGTTTTATCTCAAAAACGAGGATTTTTAGCCATGTGTTTTTTTGGTGAATTTTCAAACTTGTAATCAAATGAAGGTCCTATTCTTTTCAATTTCTACATAAATGACCTTTTCTCTTTTATAAAGCAAGCAACCATGTATAATTTTGCTGATGACAACACGCTTGCTTTATTTTTCAAATCCTTGCCAGATCTTGTCAGGGTCTTGGAAAATGAAGCCGGAAGCGCTTTGTCATGGCTCGAATAAAATGAAATGATTACAAACCCGAACAAATTCCATGCACTTTTTGTTGAAAAAAGACCAGGCAAATACTTAACTTTCAAGGACATTCTAACAAATCTGAAGAGACTGTTAAACTTCTAGGTGTAACACTAGACTACAAATTGAACTAGACTAACTTCTGGGTGTCACACTAGACTACAAATTGAACTAGACTAACTTCTAGGTGTAACACTAGACTACAAATTGAACTAGACTAACTTCTAGGTGTAACACTAGACTACAAATTGAACTAGACTAACTTCTGGGTGTCACACTAGACTACAAATTGAACTAGACTAACTTCTAGGTGTAACACTAGACTACAAATTGAACTAGACTAACTTCTAGGTGTAACACTAGACTAAAAATTGAACTAGACTAACTTCTGGGTGTCACACTAGACTACAAATTGAACTAGACTAACTTCTAGGTGTAACACTAGTCTACAAATTGAACTAGACTAACTTCTGGGTGTCACACTAGACTACAAATTGAACTAGACTAACTTCTGGGTGTCACACTAGACTACAAATTGAACTAGACTAACTTCTGGGTGTCACACTAGACTACAAATTGAACTAGACTAACTTCTAGGTGTCACACTAGACTACAAATTGAACTAGACTAACTTCTGGGTGTCATACTAGACTACAAATTGAACTAGACTAACTTCTAGGTTTAACACTAGACTCCAAGTTCCTATGATGATCTTCTTATTAGGTCAAAAAATGTACAATGCAAGTTGCTCGTCAGAGAACCCTCTGTATCGAAATATTCAAGACAATTAGAAATTTGAATCCACGTTTTATCCTAGCATTTTTAGTTCAAGAACTTTCAAACATCCTTCTAGGTGTCCTAACAACTTCAATCATTTTCGACCAAACCACGTAACTTTCGGTTCCAAGAGCCTTAAAGTCATAGAACCTCAGATCTGGAACTGTCTGCCAAATGAACTAAAATCAGCTGACAATTGCTTACACCCTGTTAGTTTAAGAACAAATTAAGAACAATCCAGCCTAAGATTTTAAAAAGAATTAAGGACTATCAGCCTGAACTTAAATTTACAGGTTCTTATAGAAAAATATAAGTTTAGTTGCACGTGCCCGATAAATTTAGAAAACCAGTGTGGTCGAAACAGCATGCTTAACCGCTCAATCTTAATTCTGTTTAATAAACCAAGCCACAAAAATCATAAAATCATAATTTTCCTTGCTTTGAATAATTAAAGGATACTTTACATTAATTTTTAGGTGGTTTGTCATAAGTTATGATGTTCTAAGTGCTGTTTGAGAAATAAACATGGGTTTAATCGCACGTTTAAAAGGGTTTGAAAAGGCACCTTCTTGTTATTGTATACAGCGCTGTGTTTTAATGTAATGTATTCAAACGGTACATGCTGGTTGAAAATCGTTCTATTCGTAAAATTGAGAAAGATATAGCATATTCATAAGCTAAAACGTGGGCCATATCAAGTATTTTATGTACACACTTATTTTGTGGCATAAAAAAGAGAAGTCGACATTCAATTGGACAATAATTTAAGGATTTTTGTTCACTGTATGAATTTTCTGTAAAAAATTGATACTTTACTCTTGGGTTTCGGAATTTAATGTATAATTCCTAGAAAACTTTTCTTTCTGGTAAATAACAGTAATCTTAAAGGTTCGGTTTCTTTATTTTTTGCTTCTTTTTTAGCAAAAGATACAATTTGTTCTATATAAATGTTTCAGGCCATGCCCCCTACTTTGTTTCAGAACAAAACAAACTTTTTTAGGCAACAGCAGAAAGATTGAACTCTACTACACTGTATGTTTTGGTGTTAAATAGACCCCTTAGCTTTTGTTCGTTACTATGTCTTCACTGTTTAGATTTAAAATACATGGCGAAACTTTTGAGGTGCTGAGGTAATGATACCATTATATACCATATTTCAAACTTTTTCTAGCCGCAGGCCATGGTGGCGACAGTTAGTAAACCCTTCCCCCTCCAAAATTCTAGTTTTAATATAATTGAACTTTTATAATACAATTCAAATAGTTTTCATCTAATTAAATTCTTATAATATAATTTAAATGAAATCAAATTTTCAATATTTGCAGCCATTTCAAGCCTTCGTGAATTAAAATCGCAAAAATAGTAAAATCGTGAAACCATTCCTACTTTTTCGCTGCGAAATTTTTCGCCTTGTAGAATAAACCAATTAGAACAGCACTGGAAGACATACGACTTCTGTTTTGGTTTCAGATGGCCTACGTCTTTCCGCATTCTTTTTCTCAAACACTCTCGCCTTTAAAATATCAATAAAATAGGTTGGTTTTAATTCATTTCCTGTTCCTTGTACACAATCCATGTAAGTGGATTCATATCAGATTATTATTCAAACATTTGAATTTCAAATTGACGAAAACTGGCTTGAAAGTTTCATCGTTCTACCAATATGTCAGAAATAAAAAAAATTAGGCAAGAGCTGTTTATTGGCCTGCTCAACAGCAACAGTTTTAAGCAGATGCACTAACAGGTTCTCGCATGCTTGTGCAAGCTCCGATAGCAACCTTTGAAAGTATTTGAAGAAGCTATACTGGTCTTTCGCTTCGCGCGAAAATCAGGCTTCAGCCAAACAACGATTTAAAATCAATAAGTCCGATCAACGATTGGAATTTTGCTCTGATGAAGCCTCGTTACCCTGGGTTTGCCTTTTTGTCTTCAAGATTCCTCCCCGCGGCTATTCAACAGTTTTTATTTGAAGACAAAGTGTCCTAACCAATGATAAACTCAAATAACTTGACGATCTTGTTTTACTTAAAGATTTAAATTTACCGCCTTTTAATAGTGTCCAATAGCAGACTGCGTGTTGTACATCTTCCCTCTGATTCGTTTCCGTTTCATTTTTAACCAATGCACAAGACTTTGCATCATTTCCGTTTAAGTATTTGACCAATCAGAGAATAAAGTTCGTTGGCCCTCGAACTTTCACGGGCCAATTATCACGTGAACGGTCTATAAACTCTCAAAAAACCTGTTTGACTGGTCTGACTGGTCCGCGACAGACTGTTGTCGAGGTCTGACTGATAAATTTTTCTCACAAGCGTTCACCTGGTTGAGAGGAGAGTCAGACGCACCGGCCTGCTACAAAACTTGCTTTTAAAAAACTTCTCACAGGAAAACCTTTTCTTCAAGGCAGAGGGAAAACGCAGATGGACGAAGTATGTTACCGTTTAAATCCAAGAGAAGTATTCCTAGATGAAAATTTTACGCCAGCATTGAGCAGTGGGCAGTTGAAGTTTTTGCGGAAAGGCAACACTTGACAGCGACAAACCACCTCCTTAAGATCAAGAAGGAGATTTGATGAAAGAAGAGAAATAAGTTCTGTAATCGGAGAAGAACTAACATGGAAGGATTACATTCCTGGTTGATATGCATTGTATGCTTCGTAGCCCAGGCATGTACTGTGGGTTTCTACAATTCCTATGGGACGCTATTCGTGGCAATCATCGATGAACACAACGTCTCCGAGACTCTTGCAGGTGAATTTTCAATTTTTGTTAACTGCATAAATTATTCATGGGCGAAACTTTGACATGCGTCTCATCACCACTGAAGGAAGTCATGTGATGTTTTTAGGAGTGGATTAGAAGCATTGCCTTTTGTTTTAAACTTATAGTGTTTTCCGCAACCGTGTTGCTTTCAAATTGCTTTGATGAAATAACATAGGCCATCAGTATTATAAATAAACTTATTTTGCCCGCTTTTAGCAATTGCCTTCAGGGCTAGATTTTTCAATGAATGGTGCAATGAAGTATTCTTTTCTCGCTATTGTTGACAAAAGCTAAATAGAATAGTGTTAATTTATTCGCGATTTCTTGCGAAAAGTAACGATTAATTTTGATTAATCAGATCGGATCGACCGGCTTAAAGCCATGCTGTGTCATGGAGGGGAGGTTAACCAATCCAGTGAACCGAAACTTCATCTTCTTTTCTAACTTAAAATTCCAAATCTTGCCCGTATGAGCAAGATGTTTCAAAAGGGCATGTTGCTAATCAACGCGAGATAAATATGGAATTCTATGCCCGAGAATTTGCGGGTTTTTTGTACGTTTGTTCTAGTCATCCAGCTGCCTTATTCTTGTTTATTAAACATTTTATCATGAACAAAATTTCTCTTGCGAAACTCGTAGCAGGTTTTCAAAAGCGGCCATATTTCTGGCCTTCAGAAACAAATATCGGCCTTTTTTCATGGCATGCGATGTTAGGACAAGTCTTAGCTGTTGGAACACTGATTAACCTTTATTGGCGGTCCAATTTTGAATTCGTTCAATGAACTTTATTAAGGTAGAAAAATGCTTATAGGTACACTCATTTTTTCATTAGAACCAGTGAATTTGAATTCAGGCTAACTGTTCTTAATTTTTCGAAAATCTGGGGCCTGATTGTTCCTATTTTTTTCTTAATAAATTTGGTGTAAGCAGTGTGATTGCTAGCTTTTTCGCTCAGGAAGGGAGGTGTTCGGACCTCATTTGCAAACAGTGTGAATGAGACAACCTTCATTTGCCGCCAAGTTTTAAAATTCGCGCCCTAGAAGCACCCTAATATGGCTAAAAATCCTCATTTATGAGATAAAACATTGTTAAAAATTGATAATTCTACAGTAGCTCAGCCCCAGCTTATGTTTGATTTGTTCTTAACTTTTGACCAATTTTGAGGCTTGTGTTCTTATAAAACTGTTTCTATAAAAGGGTGCAAGTCAGTCTACTATTGAAAGCCTTTATTTGAACATCTGGAGTTTTTGAAAACTTTACTGAAGAAAATTATTGGATTTATGACACCTAACCCGTGGCTCCTGTGTCATTGCGCACAGAGTGTTTTAGATATGATATGATTCAAAGAGCTCTTTTACCCAATCCATTCTTACCCAGTTCCAAGTCACATTTTTTCGCTTTTGAAGTATAATTATTTTGTGGTTGAAGTTAGTCTAAAGCCGAAAAATATGAAGTTTTGAACAAGCCCCTATCTCAAGTTTCGCCATTCGTTGGCTTGGCATCGAGTGTTGATAAGGCTCCTTCCCCTAATTATGTTTCCAGGTGCGCAGGATTACCAGATTCAAGGAGCAAATAAAACCTTTCTTATATTGAAACCTCATTGTGGTCTTTTATATTCATCTTTACTGGATATCAGCCAATAATGAAAAGAAACATTCATTTAATTATCAATTTCATAAGCGTCTAGTTGGACTAACAAGTCCCCAAAAAACGTCATTTGTCCACAAATATAGGAATGTTTGAAATCCCTTGTGGATCCGTGCTTTAACATTGACGTCATTTCTATTACCCCTGATATACATGACGGAACTTTTGTCCTTGGGGGCTGAATCAATTTTCTTCTCAAATCTTTTAGATGAAAATGAGGCTACCACCAGTATCCCATGGTCCGGAGTAGTGGAGGCCTGGGTTCTACTATATCCAAATGCATTTCATTAAATGCAATGTTATTAAAGGGTTCTAATGAATCCCGAAGAAGCAGAAAATACGCTGTAAAGAACAGAGAAAAGTTTTCATGAAACTCATTAAATTGTCGAAGATTCGCTTATGAAATTGTCAAAGAGTTGAATTTACATGATTGATGCTGGAGTCAATTATATAATAATGAACAGTAGCAAGAGCAGGTGCAAATAGTCTGGTGATCATCGTCGACTTGTAATTAACAATATTCAGCACAGCTGCAAAGAAAAATCTCCAAACACATGCCTGTCAGTATTCGTGCACAGTGCAACATCAATTCACCCTCCTAGGGGCGTCGCTAACCTAACAACTGGGATGAAAGTGGGGTTTCATAGTGCAGAAGATGTGGGTCCCATGAGGAATATATATACTGAACACTTATGGGATTGCCCAAGTTTTTTCAAAAACCTAAGATGGAAAAGACTTGTTTAGTTACAAATAATTCAAAAGTTCTAAAAAATATCGACAACACCCATCAAAAATTTTCTTACCAATAGATGAAAAAAAAACTTCAATTACTTGGCTTCAATTATTATAGTGAATCAGCTATCTAGTTTCCTCTTACTACGCCCTTTAGTGAACTGGAAAAACCTGAAATGAACCCCCAACCAGAAAGCTTTTTAGGGCCTCCGATGAAGTGGGGGTCGAGGGCCCCGAGTGCCCAGTTTTTCAAAATCTTATGTTATGATTGTTAAATATCCCTTGCACCCTCACCTCCTCCACATTTACAACATGTGCAGGAGCCCATCTGTTTTTGGGAAGACTTGAAAGGTCATACCTATCGAATCTGATGAATTATAATTATATAGCGTATTTTTAGAAGCTTGTTGTTAAATAAACGTTTATTCTTTTTGCAGCACTTGTTGGATCACTGTCCTACAGTTTGTGCCTGTTGTTTGGAGGTTTCACAAGTCCACTTTGCAGTAAATTTGGTTGTCGTCAAGTGGCATTTGTCGGCGCCATTGTTTATTCCGCCGGTCTACTCCTTTCGTCTTTCGCCCAAGGCATTGTGATGATCAGCGTCATGTTCGGATTGATTTTCCCGTTGGGCGCCAGCGCAGTGTATTTCTCTTCGTTGATAGTGCTTCCGCAGCATTTTGAGACCAGCTATGCCTTAGCAGTGGGAATCGCAAGCAGTGGAACTGGGGTTGGGGGCTTCGTGTTTTCTGCCCTCATCGAAAAATCACTGGAATCTTATGGACTGCAAAGTACATTTAGATTCTTGGCAGCAACTGGGGGACTGCTGCTTCTCGGGAGTCTCGTATATGGTAAAACCCCAGCAAAATATTCAACCACAAAAGATAACTTACAAAGGCCAACAGTTTTTGACGCAAAAATTTGGAAAAACAAAGGATTTCTTATATGGACAGTCAGTGTTTGTTTCATCTTCTCAGTTTTATATATCCCATTCGTACATTTGGTAAGTATTGGTCTTTTTTTCGCATTTCTCAGAGTTTTCACATTTTTTTCCTTTTTACCTCCTTTTTACCCCCTTTTCACCCCCTTGTAATTTTTCCTCCTTTTTTAAACTTTCAACTGCATGTTTCTATAACCGTTGTTGCTACAGGATAGATTCAATGTACACTAATTTTCTAAAAATGATACAAAGAAACAAAAAGTATTCATGGAAATATACCAAGAAACCGGTTGTGTAAAACTCTATAATTTCACGTTTTCCAAATTTTTTTAAAAATTCACATTTTCTAAAAGAATTTCGCCTTAATTTTTGCAGGTGAAACGTGCCGCTGACTTGGGCCTAACTTTGTCAAAGGCTTCGTCGCTCCTTGGTTACGTCTCAGCTGCTAGCACAATTGGCAAAATCTTCTTTGGAAAATTAGCAGATTGCAACTGGGTCAACCGCCTGTATTTAATCCAATTCACCCAACTAATTGTTTGCATCAACCACACACTCTGCCCTCTCTTTACATCTTATGGAACCTTAATCACATACAGCGTTATTTATGGATTTTTCGATTCGTGTTTCAATGGATTGATAGCTATCATAGTCGTCGATATTGTTGGCAGGCACAATTTACACAATGCCATAGGCGCGATGTATCTTCTATCCTCGCTTTTCATGATGCTTGGACCTCCATTGGCAGGTAATTACTCTTTACTTTAGTTGCTTATATTTGCGTTGCTGTTTAACAAAACAGGGTGTAATTGGATTGTTACGGTTACGAAAGCTCCAAATTGTGGAGAGTTTAAGATTTCAGTGGAACTTCTTACTAGATAGATGTGGTAACATGAGGTATTAAATGATTGTTGCTGTTATAAACCTAGGATACACACACAGTGCTTCACACTAGAGATTAGGTATGGATGGAATGTGTCCATCTTTAAAGGATAATTTTCCAATGGCTTAGAAAAATGCCGACACCGCCCCCTCTCCCCAAAAAACAATGCTAGTTGTAAAATTAAATATCATAGCTACCTGAAATAAGTACTTAACTTTGCACAAAACAACTTGGTCGGGGGAGGAGGGAGTAGGGTTGCAATATTAAATATTTAAAAAATTGGTATAGTGTACAAAGACTGTTGGCAGCCGTTGTATCGCAAGTGAAAAGAAATTAATACAAATAAGATGGCCTTCAAACAGAACGATTTGAATAGGTGCTCAATACTAAGCCGAATAGCAATTTGTGGGCGTTAATTGGTTTTAAACTGCATTGCAAGAACAACGCTAAGTCTGCAATAATTTCAAATTGGTTTCAAGGTTCGGGAACAACACGCTTTGAAATTTAGCCGAACGATATTTGTACTGTTTACTGCTTGATAAGGAATCATCAGCTCCATTGGGTTTAAGATGTTCCTGCTAGAGAAATACACGTTTTTCTTGCGTAGGAGCGCCACACGACGCAACACCTTACCTGAAAACGACTGGTCTGAAAACGTTTCTAGTCAAATATATTGAGACTTTCAAAATGTTATCAAAGATGTGGTCCAGTGCTGCCTCACTCCGGGATATCGGTGACTAACTATTTGAAATACAGAAACCTTCAAGACACGCTTCAGCTTAGTTTTGACTTTGTATAAGCTAGTTATGCCTTTCAAAATATTAGGTACTTGGACTAATCATAAACGGTATATTTTTATGGAAGTGCAGAGTTTCCACTTCAGTGCTTTTGTGGCGTTTAGCCAGTGTCCATTGCCCTGGGAATGACATTGGGGAGCAGGGCCGCCGAGAGCCACGCCGGGTCTAGCGGCAGAGCCACGCCAGGCCCACAGGCAGAGCCACGCCAGGCCCACAGGCATAGCCACGCCAGGCCCACAGGCAGAGCCACGCAGGGCCCACGGGCGGACCGAATACTTCGACCCCTTCCTACCCAAAGTAATGAAGTAACAAAGCCTTCAATACGTATTGAATTTTTAATAGGATTTTCGATGTTTACTTTTGATTTATATTAAAAACTATTGCTAAACTTACCCAGCGCAGTTATTGTTTGTAATTACTTTGTTATTAAAAGTCATATTTTGAATAGAGAAAGTTTAGTTGCCAGTGGGCCCCTCTTAGCTTACGGACCCGGCGGCAATTGTTCCCCCTGTCCCCCCCTGTCCCCCCTCTCGGTGGGCCTGTTGGTAAGTAAAGCAGGCTTTGTCATAGGGATAACAGATATCTAAATTTTACATTAATGTCCACTGCATTGTTGTTGCAACCGAGAGAAAACAGAAACACCCCCTTTTTTCTATTTGTGGCAGAGTCATAAGCTGTGTTCTGTGCGTTGAAAAACAATTTTTTGACCTCTATTAGCATCGACACTTTCTTGCATTCGTATATCTTAATATCATGAATAGGCACTATAACTTTCGGTGACGTCTATCAAGCGAATTTTTCGTAGCAGTTCAAACAGCACATGGTCTTATTTTGAAAACATTCTGCTGGTGGTATCGATAGAATTAGCATTGCAATTCGACTAACAGATAACACATTCAACATTGATGAATCGCGTTTCAATATCATGTCGCGGTGCTACAATTGCATACAATTGCATACGACAATCTTATCTTACATAACCCAAGCAACCCAGGCCAGATGTGGACCTTGATACAACATTTACAAGAGATGTGTCTTCAAAAGATATGCCTTAGTGCCTATGCCTATACAAAACATAGGGAATTCTACATTGGCAGTTAAAGTGCCCACATTCACAGCAGCGGTCTGTGCAATTTAGCAATATCTCGTTCTTCAATAACGTTCCTGTTTCAACAAAATTCAAGCTTGGGATCGGAATATAAAAATAAAGTTTAATTTATGATATTACAGTCGTATGAACCTTGAACACAATCCACCGTGCTTTTCAAATTCATGGGTTCTAGTAAAATTTCGCATCTATAGCCATCAGTTATTGAACACCATTTCTTCTTTAATTCCATTTTCTCCTACCGAATTCTGTTGAAAAGTTCCTCTTTACCGTTCTCATAAATTAGGAATTAGCTTTTTATTCCTATTTATTGGAGATCGCTATTGCATATTGCATAGTGCTCGATACTCGATATGTAGGCAGACACATTTACAAGCCACCAGATCCACTGGGAGGGAGCAAGGGAGCAATAGCCCCTAATTGTCTCTATTTAAAAAAGGACTCTTAGTGACATAGTAATTACAAATCATTTCTTAACTTGGAGAGTTTAAATGCTTTACGAATATAAATAAAAGTTAATTAAGAAAATTATATGCAATGAATCTGTCTCAAACGCATTTTAGGTTCATTGCTTTGGTTAGGAAAGGGTCCATTAGGCCTGTCCCGGGCCAGACATTGCTTTCAGCGGCTCTGTTTGCCACGATGTGCAGTTTAAATAGTATTACTCACGGCTTGTTTAAGTTTCGCGCCTAATACTATATTTCATTCAACTAGTTTAATTATTCCATTTTGGAATTAATTTCGTTTCTGTGATGTTTATACCTATAAAAATTGGTTTCTTCCAGGATTTCTGTACACCGTTTCTGGCTCCTACGACTCGTCATTTTTCACAATTGGCGCTATTGTGGCGTTCTCGTGCTGCCTTATGTTCCTGATACCATGGTTCCTTCCAAAGAGCCAATGGAGAATATTATTGTCGATGAAGAGACCGACAGTTTCCAAAAGGACTTTGAGGCTAAACTTCCTGACAAGAAGGATTCTTGGATTACCTACGACTCAGGAATAGACTTGACTTTGAAGGATGGTTCCAGCTTCACGTGTTCAGTTGAGGATAAAAGCGAATTGTACTCTCAAGCCTCAGGCGGAGATGCTCCAAGCGAAGGCAGAATTAGGAACTTTTTTGATAGGTACTTTCGTCAGCCGAGAAGAGCGCTCATTTCTGGAAACCTTATTAATTCGTTCGCAGTTAGCAATTTAGAGTTAAATGTTGAAGAACTTCTTGTTGTTGAGCGGGTGACAATCCTTTAAAATTGTATTTTTCATGTGTCTTTTCCCGCAAAATTTAATGTTTGCACCTTCCTAGACTCCAAATGCATTGTTTCACAACTAAAAAGCATTGGTGATTGTAGAGTAACAGTTTGTGTACAGTGGTGAACATGGGCAGTTGAACAGAAACACGTTTATATTTCCCAAAAAAACATTGTAGTGAACCCAGGAGAGGGGTCACTTAAACTTTTAATTTCCGGGTTGGTCCATCCGATAATTATGGGTAAGAATTTTTCTTATGATCTGATACGTTTGGGCACCTGTTTTAACAACATACGTGCTTAAACTTGATAAAACATGAATAAAAACAGACGTGCTTGAACTGATTATTATAAGAATCAGTCTAAATTACTATGGCTGGTGGTATCTTATGTGCACAGCAAAAATATGTTTTTAAAATTTATGGTCTGGTCAACATTTTTTAGCTGATACTTTTGGGTCTAGAAAATTTTGTTCCGATACTTTTAGGTGAATTTTGATAATTGTGGATGGACCTTACCGTATTAAAAGTGAGTTACTCCCCTTGGGTGTCGATCCAGCTGCCTTAGAATTTCAGTACGTAATCAGATTTGGTTCTTCTTTTCGTCTTTACTGCTCCTAGAGCTATTTAATAGTAATTTCTTCCTTTAGTTTGTTGTTACAAACAACTCCTTTATCCAGCACGATTTGCACCGATTAGGTAACGATTAGGTAATTTGTAAATTCCGATGTAGATAATTTTAGAAAATAGATATCTTAATTTTTGCGACTTAATCTGTCATTTTATATGCTAAGCAATAGATATACCTAATAATTGTGTATTAAGCTATTTTGGTTAAGGTCCTATTTTCTATTTCTTCCCTTCCCAAAGAACCATAACCGCTGTGTTCAAGTTTTCTGATTGGAAAAAAATCGGTTCACTTTCATCCCGTTGTTTCTACCACAATTATTTATCGTATGATATCTAAATGATACTTGCATTCTTCCCAGCTGAACTAGATTAAGCTAACTCTGGACGAAAAGAAGAGAATCTTGAGTACATTTATTTTTTAAGCCTTCGTTGAATGTTTCTTTTGGTAAAATTTTGCGATTCGTTACGTGTAAGTCAACTGGGTAATTTTTAGCTCGTAGTTATTGTTCAAATTTCATCTCTAAATATAAATTTCGCAGACGCTAAGAGATTAATGTCCTTTACATAGTTTTTGCATGACAATTTAGGTATATTTGGTTTTTTCAGTCTTGTGTTCGCGTCATCTTCAGTAATCTAGATTACGAATTATATTATTTATGTAAATTCTTGCGTTTTACCCTCTAATGGAAAATGGAGGGCAAGGCCATATTTAACACAAAAGATTTTGAAAAAGCTATATTGTGTTGCAAAAAGTGGGGGGCCGTGGCCCCCTTCGTCGGAGGCCATGAATTTGCCGATAATTAATCGTGATATTTTATACTTAGTACATACCTTTGTTGGAACTATTCTCTGTTTGAACTAAAAATTTGTGTGGTCAGGGCATAGAAGCTTCTTCCCAGCGATAGACAGTTACCCGTACCATTTACCCTTATTATCCTAGCTGCACCCCTAAATTCCTCCCACCCCACCCAAAGCCCCGTTGTCTTTCTAATTGCACTGAAAGCAGATTTAATATTATGTAGCATTCCTTGTGTCATTTGTAGTTTCTGATATCAATGAAGTGTCGTGTCGTTCTGAAACGTCCTCCTAATATTCAATATCTTGTTGTTACCAGCTCATTTTGATGTTATTTATAAATATTTTCTCCATCAAATCTTTGGAAGAAAATACATGATTCACGTATGTTTCTTGAGTTGATTCGTGCTCTATTCTTCGATTTCCGTGATTCGGTATTTTACTTGATGGTATCATAACCATAGATGCGAAGTTAGAGCTAACTTGTTTAAAATTAGAATTTCACTATTATGAGCTCTACAACAGGTAGAGTCTCTACCTGTTAAGAACATCTCGCCAACCCTCGAGATAGCGAGCTCCTGCTATAACGCACCTTGCATATTAAGAACCTCTTGCAATTACGAACTGACAGTCTAATCCCTCGGAATATGCACTGTATAATGAGCCCAATTCCTGCTACTAGGAACTTCTCGCTTTTATGGAATGAAAGCCTTTGAGAGTCATGAGTAGAATAACATACGCCGTTATTAAGAACCTCTTGCATTTACGAACTGAAAGCCTGGTCCCTTCGAATACCCCGAAAATCTAGTTACTGGAAGCTGAGGGTTTGATGAACCCTCTGCATAACGAATCAGGGGGGGAGGGCTGATGAATCTTTACCCTTATAATGAATTTTTTTCTAAAGGGGTATTATCACACCCCCTTCCTCCACATCAATCCTCTGTAGCGACGACCCTGATTATTTTTAGGTTTAATCTTTTTTAAGGGCGTTATACCTGATAGGCACGTTTTCTTTAACCTTAAGCTTATTGTATGGTTTTGTTGACCAAATGCTAGATGTAGGATCACCAGGTAATCACAACAAAGCTTTTTCCAACGCGGTTTTAGATATCACATTGCATCTTACTCATCTGCTTACCAAAGCCAAACCCCTAAGTAAATGAATAGGTAAAAATAACTTATGCTGAATTGTCTTGCATTACCCCTCATCTTATCTTGTTCTTGGTCAATCACCTTAACTTTAGTCGTTAGCATGTGAATTTTATTCATAGCATTACACTCGTATTTGTGCGGCGTATGCCATTCCCAAAGTATTTTTTAATTGATCAATTGAAAGGAGCATAAAAGATTTTGAATGAGACCTAGTGGAAAGTATTAACTAACCCACCCCTTCCCATCATTTGCAAGGAAGTAACTGGTGTGTGCAAGGACAATGGAAAAGCCACTGTTACCACTTTCTCACCGGAACGAGACATTGATATGGTTTTTCCAAAGCCTCTCTCCTTTCTCAATAATTTTCTTTTCCCCCCTTTCCCCTTAAAGTCCCCCCTCTCTTTCTTTCTCTCTCTCTCTCTCTCTCTCTCTCTCTCTCTCTTTCCTGTCATCATCTCTCATCTCTCTCTCTCTTCTCTTGCTCTCTCTCTCTCTTCTCTCTCTGTCTCTCTCTTCTCTTCTCTCTCTCTCTCTCTCTCTCTCTCTCTCTCTCTCTCTCTCTCTCTCTCTCTCTCTCTCTCTCTCTCTCTCTCTCTCTAAGAATTAGTTAACTTAGTTTGAATACTGGAATGAAATTCCTAATTCTAATTCTTTGATGTCAAAAACTGGAATGAAATCCCTAACAACATTAGAGAAAAAGAATCCATCGCTAGTTTTAGAACAGGTTTTATCTTTTGAATGTTTCACAGGACCCAAACATGACCTCTTGGTAGTGCAACGATCTGTTTCATTATATATAAACAAATATTGTTATTAGGTCAATTAGTCATTTATTGCTGAAAGGTCATTTATGTATAAATGAAAATGAATCCAAAGGACATTTTTGACACATAGACACAGAATAGAAAGATGAATTTCTATTCTGTGACACAGGGGAGCTCTGAGCTTTGGTCGAGACACGAAGAACAGGATTTTGGTTTCACGGAATAATTTTGCAAGCATTGTTTATGGTTAGGAAACGAGTGACAGTAAAAGCAGATTGTTTAAGCTGGTGACTTAAAAAGCTGCTAAACTAATGGTCCAGGCCTACGAATTTGTTCTTAACCTTCCTAAAAAGCTAAGATTGTTAGCAGAAATCGCTGAAAGAACCTTTGAGGCCAAAGTCAATCAAATTGAATCAGATCATACAAACCATGGAACTGAAGGGAAACACTGGGCGCTGCAGTGCAGCCTTCACATTGCGATTTTTTCGCCATTTTGTTTTGTTCTCTAAGTTCCCCCTTCGTTTCCGTGTACTTCATGTAAAAAAGCACTGATGGTAAGGCCTGTCTCTAAAGATGGCAGTGGGATGTTCGCTAGGGGTTCTTATTTTAGCTTATTTGTATTATTCTCATTTGGGTGTCAATTGTCATGCTTCAAATTGGCATTTAAGTCCTGTTGCGCTTCTTTGATGCCATTGGAAATAATAGAGAAGAAGGAGTTCTGTAGTTTGGGCTTCTGCACGAATATGTGGGTCCCTTGACTCAGATGGGTGTATTTAATTGCTTGGGTCGGGATTATCGTGCTTACTTCGTATGCTGTTTCCACGCTGTTCTCTTCTCCCGTCCCTCCCTTCCCTTTTGATATCAAACGTAGTGTGTTTCTTCAAATTCTTATTTATTCTATTGGGCCTGTTTTCATCACGGGATTCATTTCAAAATTCTTGTTATTTTTCGTTTAGGAAAGAATAGGCCCTGACCTCAGTCATGTTTTCTTTTCTCCTCTCATTTCGTAGGTATCGAAGGTGCATCGGCTCTATGATGGAGAAAAGTGAACTTTTCTTGTCGATTCCCTCCCCAGAACTTTAAGCTGCTTGTACTTGAGTCTATTAAGCTATATCAAAGGCTAGGATTTTGTATGGGCTAGGTGAAGCAACTTGTGCTGATGCACCAACGGCCCAACGTTGCTTCCTGTGATGAGGGACTGTAGCCTCAAGACCTGATTTGATGAAGGATGTTGCGACGCCTTCTGAGGAAGCTTTTTATTTATGATGTTATTTCTCCGAGTAAGAAATTAATTCTTGTGTAAAACATTTTACACTTTTACACCTGAACGTTCTTGTACGTATCTCTTGAAACCTCCAGGGCAGGGATGGATTTAGCGGGGGTTGTAGGGGGTGCGACAGCCTCCCAATATTTCTGTGTCCTTCGGTAAATTTGGTTCCATTCGGTAAAATCATTTTTTGGTAGTCAGTAGCAACAAAGAAACGCCAGGATTTTACTTTATTTATCTTTTTATCAGGGTTGGTAGATCATTCCCAGACTATTCGTCCAAATCAACTTCAAAATTCGGCCAAATTTGGCCAAACTGATATCAATACAAGAGAACAATAGAATAGCGAAATTGCCACGTAAAAAAGCCATAGCTTTTCCAAACGCATTTACAAAATGGGATGTTTTCCCAAATTCTTAGGGGTCTGGTCAGCAACAACTTTCTCCTCTTTGCCCCTCCAATCTTCCAACCCCACGCCACTGCTTCTTATCGTCTTTTTCTTAAAGTTAAAAACCGAATTTTAAAAAATTGGCATTTCCATCATTTACAATGACCTGAAGGGTGTGGCACCAAAATTATTGTCTAACACCCCCCCCCCCCCAATCATTGTTGATTAAATCCGTCCCTACTCCAGGGCTTTGTTTGATTTAAGGAACGGAAAGTGTTATTTTACATCGTGCTTTGACAGAATTTTTGCGTTCTCGTTCATATTATAATTTATTCTTAAAGATTCGCTGTAAATTGCTTCACAAAGTTTATGGTTTATTTCACACTATGGTATTTCCCTTCACCCCGTTTCTGATTATTCAGCATTGAATCGCTCTTGAATTGTACACAATTAGAAAGAATCTCTCTATTTTGTTGCATTAATACCTATTGTTTTCTAAAAAGTTGTGTACACAGTTTAGTGAATTGATAAAATATGCCCGTTTGAAATGAAACCAAAAAAGAAGCTTCTTATGTTGTAATGTAACTGAAGAATATTTGTTTATTCTAATAATTGCTTTTTCTAAAATTGAGGAAGTCGAAACGATTTTACGATCTGCATCACCGCGTATCGCGCTTCGTATCTCATCGCCGCGTCAAACAATACGAAAAATTCTTTGTCCCTTTTGAAAGCAAAGGTATTTTCGTATTGTTTCTCATCCCAGTATTTCTACATCATTAACGATCCGCTTATTGTAGCGATGCAATTGAGATTTTGCGAAACAGTGCGTAATTGTTCATAGTACATGAAGCAAAAACTTCATTTTGACGGAAATAAGAGCTGTGGCAGAGAGAACCGTTGGTGATAGCAGAAACTGGAAACGAATAAAAGCTGGGTAAGGTACGTTGATCATTGAAACGGTCTTAGTGAAACCCACTAATTGGTTCTTTTTGCTACATTAGTATTTTTGATAATGGTTGGTTCTCCCTATCTTTGCGGTTAAACAGTTGGAAAAAAGGACACAGTGCGAACCTTCTTACTTTGATATATACGGATATATACTATTCATAACCTTATGTAACAGTTTATTGATCCGGTAAATAAAAGCTTAATCTAGGATCGTTATGGTATCGTCGAGTCTCAAAATAACAGGCAGTTCTGTTAGCTATTGCTTATTAATGGAATTTATCTGTGTTTGTTTAGAAAAGAAGATGGCATCGAACCTGGTATACCTAGGCCTGCTTCTGCTTGGTGTCACTACCTTTTGTGCAGCCCAAAGTGAGTAAAGTTACTGTGAACAGGGAAGCCTGCACTCGAACAGGGCAACGGGGTCAAAGCGCCAAGAAAAAGGAAGAAACAAAAGCAAAACGAAGAAAAGTGCTAAATTTCATGAGGGCAACTTCCCTCGCTGCCCCCTGGCGCAGGCGTCCCTGGCTGTGAACATGTTTTTTGTTACTTATTTCCAGGGACGTCACTTCACTAATTTTTTGGGGGGGTGTAAACACTATTGCCCTGCAAACTTTTTCCTGTAAAACAAGTATAGATGTACTGTACTTATGCATATATTACATAAGTACATATATTATTTTCAAAAAGCAACACAAACCAACAATCGCAATAAAAAAGTCAATAATTAGTCTACTTTCACACTAATTTACTTAATTGAAATTCTTCTCATTTTTTTTCATGCCATACTTTTAATACTTTATCAAGAGGGATAGTGTCTGTTAGGTCTTTCTCACAAGCAAGTAGAATGAGATCATTCCATCGTTCATCTTTCATCCTTGATCGCAGCAAATTTTTAACAATCTTAAGTTTGCTAAAGGTTCGCTCGTCTTTAGCCACAGACACAGGTGCTGTAAGAAGAAGGCTGTAGCATTTGTAAACCGTTGGGAAAAGTCGTCTGTTTTCATATGAAAATTTGGCAGCCTCTTTGACGGAAGTTGGCTGGATCTGTTGCTGTTCAATCATTGACTTAAAAACATCTAGCTCACATAATATAACCCCTGCTTCAATATGAAAGCCTGGTGGGAAAAGCTTTCAAAGATCGTGGACTGTTTCTGGGTTTATCGTTTTGAGTGGTGGCTGCAACGCCATTGCCAATGGCTCAATTTTTTTTAAGCATGCATTTATATTTTCACCATACTCTGCTATCAGAGAATCGAGAACAACACACATTTCTGTTCTGTAGAAGGAATTAAATTTAAATTCCGCTGATCTTTCTGGACCGTTGTCAATCTTTCTTGGCTGCAACCTGAGTCGATATTTCCACTAAACTCAGCCGCTGAATCTATTCCATGCTGTTTAGCGCACTCGTTTAGAGCATCCAACTCTTCATCCATAGCCTTGTTATCAATGCGAATCTTCTTAAGATTTTCTACTGTTGCTTCAATTAAGTTCATCGCATCTAGGATGTTAAGCTCTTCTGCTTGGAGTTGCATCGTCAAAATCTTTGTTTTCTTCATAATTAATCTCATGAAAATCAATGCAAAAAGAAAGTCAAGTCACTTTTACCCTTCATTTCTGTGCTGTCGTCACTGACAACTTTTTCAATTGCTTTGAGTATGCTTTGTAAACTTCGCCACACTGCTTCTATCGACTCTGAAGAGTAGACCCATATCGTTTTAGACATGTTGCGGAGTTTCAAGGAGTACTCATCAACTTCTTGAACTTCTTTATTGTAAATTTTGTTTCGTTTGGAGCTGGCACTGAAGAAAACATATATATCTTGAAGATTATCGTATATCGACGTAATTATGGCACTTTGTTTTGCACAATGCTCTTTGAAAGTATTAGATCGATGCCCTTGACATGGAATGTACGGGACTGGTCTTTCAAGAATATCTTGTAGAACCCTCTGTGCCCCTGCAATTCTCCCAGACATATTATTTACGAAATCGTATGTTTGGAAGCAGAGATAATTCACATTAATTTCATTTGCTTCCAGACACTTGAGAATACATTCTGCTGTCTTATCTCCATGTTTGTCATTGCACTCTTTCATTTCCACGACTCTCTCGCGCGCAATTCCATTTTCACCAATATATCTTGCAGCCACAACCATTTGATCCTTATTGCTAACATCGGGTGTTGTATCGGCCGAAACCGACAACATTTTAGCACACTCAATCTCATATTTTATTCTTTCTCTAACATTCTCCCCCCAGATCTCTAAAAGTTCATTTTGTGAACTAGAATCATGTATTTCGTACTGAAAGGCTTCAATCGTTTGCTATCAAGCCATTCTTTCATCTGTAGACAGTGCCTGGACAGAAGATTCACAAACTGGACAAAATTGCCGTTCTGGTCTCCTGCGGAGCCTCTGAAAGCAATTCCTTGCCTTGCCAATGTTCTAGCAATATCAAACAAAATGTTCATTATCGATTTGCATTTTTCTTCGTCAGCCTTCTCCTGAATGATGAAGTCCTTCAGATGCCTATTCATTTGAATGTCAATATGTCCTTGTTCGACTGAAAACCTAGCAAAATCAGCCAATGCTGCTTGGTGTGCTTCAGAAGAAAAATGCTGAGCAAGCTTGCCACTTTTCATTTTATGCCATGATGCGATACCGTTTATCCAAGCAGTGTCACTTTTTCTTCGCGAGGGGCACGGAAATAAGAAACTCACTTTACAATACCACAACAAATCGGAAAAACTAACATATGTTTTGGATTTGATAAGAAAGTAAAATGAATTAAGATATTTTATGAAACTTGATTTCTAATCTCTTTTGCCCTGCGAGAACTACTAATTCCTTCTGCTTTGCCCTGCAAAATGCTGTTTTTCAGGATTGGGGAGGTGAAACACCCCCCCAAACCCCCCAATAGTTACGTCCCTGCTTATTTCTTCTATATTTTCCATTCCTTCACTAATTACTTGCGGTACTCTACATTGCGGCGTGAGGTGACGTGTCTAGAGAGGATATTTTTAGACGTGCTTTCCTAGGCAAATGCAAAGGCGGAAATTGCGTGGTTGGGGAGCGATGAGAGACCCCAGCTTTTGTTAAAGTGTCAGCTTTGGTAGCAAACACTGTATTTGTTTTTGTTGGTAAATTTTATTATTTGTCCTCGGCAAAGTATTGTATTTGGGTGTTAACATCAGTCTCAGGATACATGCGTTTTTTTTATCAAAAAAGAATCATGATATGAATCAGATAGGCAAAATATAAGGCCTGGATGGTAAACTGCCAAGAAATAAGAAAAATTAAATCTTTAAAGGCATCCGTTTTGATTTATTTTGACCAAAACTGGCAGTGAAAACGGGTGTAAATACCCCTCCCCTACCCATCCCCATGTTCGTCAAGACGTGTTCTACATAATTTTTCTAAGAATTGATGAAGATCCATTAGGTAGGGGTAGGTCATACTTAGGGACGCCGGAACAACCAAGGGGCAAGGGGGCAGGCTTGAATAAAAAGGCATTTGAAAAATGATTCCCCAGCTACCAAAAGTTCTTTCGTAACTGTCATTTTGTTTCGATCTTCTGTCGGTACTTTAAAAATCAGCTAAGTTTCGGCATAAGAAGACTTTCTAAGTTTTGAGAAATGTCGTCATAAATAAGGCACTACAGTCCGGATTTCATATGAATCTCTTTGATTCCCTACAAGAGGCCGGCGTCAAGAGCACTTCTATGAAAAGGGCACTTTAGCCCCCCTTGCCCCTCCTATCACAAGGCAACAGGGGCGGTTGACCCCCGCGCCCCCTCCCCAGCGTCCCTGGTCATACTGTTTAAAATTTGACAATGGAAAATATACACAGAAACAATCGCATGTATGAGGCAAAAGGGACTTGGTCTCGTGGGTCACACCCAATACCCCCTACCTCTATAATAATAATGACAGTAATAATAATAATCAATTTATTTGGCGCTACATAGCTATTTACAGTGAAATTAGCTAATCCAAGCCAACTGTTAAAACTACTACATCAAATCAAGACATAGGAGATTAAATACATAAAATTTTATGTACATAATAATCCGTTAAAAACAGAATTTAGAGGGTAGTACTATAAAAATCTGAGCTCTGCAGTAGCTGGCGCCGCCACTGAAGGGGAGTACAGCACATTTATGAGTCTGTCTGTTTTTACGCTTGATATCTCGATTTAATAGGTTCACATTTATCACAAAAAATTATAGTTTATCATCGAGTGCTTTCAATTATTCATTCTTGCTTGCTATCTGACATCTTTATCTTGCTATCTGACATCTTTATGTCTCTATAGTGATATGTTCCTACTTTTTGTTTCAAAGAAACACGAAGTTTGTTATGGAATTTTGTGTAGACAAAGACAAGTTTGGCCATAAGTAAATTTCTTTATAATTTCTATAAAATTTCTTTTAAGAAATTCATAACCAAAGCTTGACCCCTTAGCTGATTTCCCTACGCCCATTAAAAGCAGCTGACATCTCAAAACAACAATAATACTCAGTGGCGGCGCCAAGGGGTGGTATGGGGGGTAATTACATCCCCACTTTTGTCGAGAAATGGTCTACATATTTCGTCTAAGAACGGTATAAAAAGCACTAGGTAGGGGTAGATCATATTTCCTAAGGAAATTTGACCTTATACAAATCACTGAAACGAGGCCAATTGGCGTGGTGCGTGGTCTCACGGGTAACACCCATTACCCTCCCACTCTGCAGCAGCTGGCGCCGCCACTGATAATACTTAGTATTTCATTCCTGAGACCAAGTCTTGAAAGCAGCCATAAAACAACTCATGCTTCCCCACAAGGGAAAATTATTTACAGCCATTGACTTCCTTTTTCCCAGAGCCACCTTTCAGTGGTCAAAGCGGACATTAACTCTAGTCACAAATGGTTCTGCTATATGAAAGACGCAATATTTTTTGGTTTCAATCCAAACCTTGTAGGCTTAAAAAGCCAAGCATTTAAAAAATTTTCATATGAATAGTAATTTCAAACTGTTTTTCAATTTTACTGTTTTAGCTCAATGATATTTTTGATAGCTCAATGATAGAAAAAAAGACATTTACCGCAAACAGTAAACCGAGAAGACAATAAGAGATCCATAGATCAAAGAGCAAGTTGCAGTTATTCTTACTTCGATTTACTTCATCGTACAAAAGCACCAACGTTTGTATCATTCTTTGGAAAGAAAGGTCAAAGAAGAGGGACAGTGAACGCGGAAGCGTCGGGCTACGGGAGCTTTATCCCTCTTTAAAATTTCCAAAATTTCCAATACTTTAAACCAAACAAATTATCGCTCTGCTCTTGGTTTTTAGCATGTTTAACACCCCCCCCCCAAAAAAACGTTTTAGCCTCCTTAATCTGTAATATGCTCCGCAGTCTTTGGAAAGGAACAATACCACTCCCATTTGTCAGGGAGATCATGTGAACGTGCAATGGTGTACAGGCTTCATTACCTGGCTCTAACTACTTGGCTGTCTAAGCAAATGTTGTTTTAAATTATGTATAGTATGCTTAGAAATATATGAATATATAACCAGTTCCTTCTATTTTTTGCTAATTTCTTCTCTATTCTATCCTAGATTGCAGCTCGTGTCATGCCCAGGCTACTTGCTTCACTGTTAATTCGACCTACTCATACTGTGAATGCAACCCGTCTGCCTACGTTGGCAATGGGACCTACTGCCAACATCGATGCTTTGTTAACAACGGAGGCTGCCACCAGTACGCAAACTGCACCAATGCGACCAATACTGTTAGCTGCACATGTACAAGCGGCTTCACAGGGAACGGAAATATTTGCTATGACGTCAATGAATGTTTGATTTCAAATGGAGGCTGTGACGGTAACGCAACTTGCACAAACACACTCGGTAAGTAGTTATTGTCTATATATCAAAGTTTTGTTTCACAGGTGTTCTGAACTTCGCTCATGTCCTGGGCCTTTCTATGTGAAATTGCAAACCTTATTAGCGCAGTGCCGTATTCAGATTGACGATATGTACTCAACCAGTTTAAATACTGAATCTTCACTCTCTCCATCGCAAACATTTAAACCTCACACAAAACATTTTGGCCGGTCGCCTGTTGCAGGGTCCGAGAGCCATTTCGGGTCCGGTCCGGAATGATCGACTAAATCATGCCTTAGAAGTCCTTGGGAATTTTCTTTTGCCACGCCTTTCAGATGTGGAGAACGTTGTAAATACCCTTTTTACAAAAAACATTCTTCAAAATATCTTAAAGCTTATACGACAAGGTTTAATTTATGAAGCCCGGTTTGGGGTCACTTCAACTTTTTATAAATGCATGTTCATCCATTTTATATGTATACGAATCAGCACTGTGATCTGTTACTTTTAGATGCCTGTTTAATACAAATATGACTTTGCAAGATACACTGAAGATAAAGGTCATTAACCCGTCGTAGTGGACTTACATATTTTTTTAGATAACGATAACAGATTTGAGGTATTACTAACAAAAACATTGGAACGAATTTCATAGAATAAATTATTCACGTCTCTAAGACTGCTAACACGCAAAGCTTTCTAGCTACGTTTAAAACACTCCTGATGGACTGCCGACAGCCCCTTAGAAGCATTCTGGTACTCTCTTTCTCTTGCCTCAAAGCGAATGATGCCATCCATTAACGTATATGACGTTGCTTCCTTGACTTTAAATTTTTGGTACAGTAGAATCCCGTTATAACGTACTCGGTTATTACGTACTTTCGGATATAACGTACTGGTGTGCTTGGTCCCTGCAAAAGGTGTGCTTGGTCCCTGCAAAAGGTGTGCTTGGTTTTAATCAATTTTTACTTACCCTCGTTACAACGTACTTCGGATACAACGTACTTAACACGCTGGCCCCTTAAAGTACGTTATAACCGGATTATACTGTAGTATTGATTCCACTTTCTTCTTCATCAGTGCCCCCTTTTCCACTTCCACTTTCAACGCGATAGAAGTGATACGAATACTTTTTAAACTGACCCTTTTCACAATATTGTCCTTGATTACTTCAACAATTACAACAAAAATCTGGACAAAATCTTGCATCTGCAAGCTGTGAAAGGGCTTTAGCATTCAGCGACACTGCCCTTCACCTGCTAATTTCACTTTCTAATATTCATTTCGTCCATAAAATGTTATCTAAGGAAAACCTCAATTACAACTTTTAGTAATTTCATGATATTAAGAGTTAGTTGAAAAGTTGTTTTTTTCATTTATTGGGATTTAAAAAAATTGTTTTTCGACAATTCCACCAAAATTTAGTCAAGCCAAATGAATCTTTCTTGTGAAACTACATGCTATCGAAGCTGGTGCTAGATTTAGTTTTGGCCTACTTCTTTGGTATAATTTTGGCCTACACTACTTTGGCCTAATTTTGGACTACCTACTTGGATTGAAACAAAGTCCAAACACGAAAAAACGACATAAATAATGATTGACAGAAAATAAGAAGTCGAGCAGGATCAGAAAGAGAGATACCTGCTTCAGTGCTAAAGTTTTGTGGATTAATATTAAATTGAGTATAGAGCGCCATATTCCTTTCATAGAAACAACAGCTAAGCTGGTTAGGATAAACCACTTTGTAGATGACTCTGGAAATTTGTTTATAAGTTTGGCATCCATCATCAGCAAGCAGCATCCAATATAAGCATATGTTTTCAATCAGTTGCTACGGAGAACACAACTATCTTACTTTCTCTTGCCCGAGTGCTGCATAAGTAAAGACTGTTTTGACCATTTCAAAAAAGGTCACAGCAACCATGATCAAGACAACTGCATGCAATATGAATGCTCAATAGGACTGAACCGCGAATCAAGATGCCTCAACTAAACTAGTACCAAGCCCCCCTGTGTCGCCTTTGCTCAGGATGAATCGTAAACTGGTTTGTAATAGACATAAAGCACCGAAATGATGACCTCACAAAATTCTCTTTTTTTAGAATTTTTAACTTTCGAGCCCATAACCAGAAAGAGCATCATGAAATACCTCTAAACATGCAAAATCAGTAGAATATGTTACAGATTGGCAGAGATATGGCCAGATGAGCACAGACTTAGCACATCAAACCTCTGTAATCTGGTCTTGGTTCATAACTATATGAGCCAGGCCAGAACGACAGTAATCCGTTAGCAAACTTGAAATCTTTCAATGGCCATATCTCGCCCAATTTTGAATATACCTAACTGATTTTGCATATTGAGAAGTTTTTTATGCCGTTCTTTCAGATTTTGTGGTCAAAATTAAGTAATTTAAAGATAGATGTTTGATGACGTCACATTTCGGTACTCTATTTGCGAGTTGAGCACCACTGTACCTGCAGATAAATTGGCCGCATTTTCACACCACTGTCTTCGACTAGCAAGTATTTGGGTATCTACGTACTGGGGATCGCCAACTTGATTCCAGTTTTGTTGCAGCAACCGACCAACACAAAAAGTTGCCCCTGTATGGAAAATACGTCATATGCAAAATAGGCACACTGACTTCTTTAAGTTACGTTTTTTTATTTACCATTGTACTCCAATTCTTCATTTTCTCGACATCATATTCTTTTACGTAAACTCTATTTCTTAAAAAAGTTATAAAAAGAGATCAAAGGAAATTTGATGAAGAAAAGAAAAGATGGCTTGAATTTCAGTATAACGAATGTCGAAGCGTTCTCTGGCCAGGTGGACCAGGTGAACCAGGTGGACCAGGTGAACCAGGTGGACCAGGTGGACCAGGTGGCCAGGTGGACCAGGTGGCCAGGTGGACCAGGTGGCCAGGTTGACCAGGTGGCCAGATGGATAATATTGTTACTAGACTGGATCGGTAGTTATAAACGTCTATTAATAACGGTAATATCTATTATTTTTAGGTAGTCGAGAATGCCAATGCAACTCGGGTTACAATGGAAATGGCCTATTCTGCATAGATATTAATGAATGTTTAGTTGGCAACAATGGCGGCTGCCATGTTAACGCAACCTGCTCGAATACAATTGGTTCAAGGACATGTACATGTAACAGTGGGTTTCAAGGCAATGGGATATTGTGTTTCGACGTAGACGAATGCTTGGTAAATAATGGTGGCTGCAATGCAGCAGCAACTTGTACAAACACTGCTGGTTCTCGTGTTTGCAAGTGCAATATGGGGTATACTGGTGACGGGATCAACTGTAATGATGTCAATGAGTGCAGCCAAAATAATGGAGGATGTAGCCAGTATGCCAATTGTTCCAATACAATTGGCTCTTTCGCCTGCTCTTGTAATGTACGTGAAATCGACTTATCATTGGCTGAAATGAGATTCTTGAAAATATCGTTTGCATTCAGTTCCACATTTCGAAAGATCTTTGCTAACTTAGAAGACAATGCACGAGATAAAGCTTTACTTGATTAAATTCATTTGTTGTAGTACAAGTTCAATGGCCAAAAGTTTACTTTATTTCTATTTTAATTTTTTCCAAAGTAACATTCTCAGTAGCATTTGAAGGTAACAAGTTTTCTAATAATTTTGAGAAACAAAACGTAGAATAACATAACATTTATCATAACATATAAGATAGCATATAAAATGACATATAACAAAGCATATAACATAAAACATAAAGCATAGCATAGCATAGCAAAGCATAGCATAGCATAGCATAGCATAGCATAGCATAGCATAGCATAGCATAGCATAGCATAGCATAGCATAGCATAGCATAGCATAGCATAGCATAGCATAGCATAGCATAGAATAGCATAGCATAGCATAGCATAGCATAGCATAGCATAGCATAGCATAGCATAGCATAGCATAGCATAGCATAGCATAGCATAGCATAGCATAGCATAGCATAGCATAACATAGCATAGCATAACTTAACATAACATAACATAACATAACATAACATAACATAACATAACATAACATAACATAGCATATGATATAATATATATGTATCATAATATATAATTGAGAAATAACCTATATTATCTTCCAATACATAATCTTTAAATCTTCTCTTTATTAAGAATGGGTTTGGTGGTGATGGAAAGTCTTGCTTCGACATCAACGAATGCTTGACTACAAATGGTGGTTGCGACCAAAATGCCATGTGCATAAACACTGTAGGCTCTAGAACATGTACATGCAAGCAAGGATATGCTGGCAATGGAACGTATTGTGGAAACGTAAATGAATGTCTGACTAACAACGGAGGATGCGATGTGAATGCAGACTGTTATGACGTAATTGGCAGCAGAAACTGTACTTGCAAATCTGGGTATACAGGTAATGAATGAGCTGCATTTTTGTGAAAAATTATCTGAACATTTGTCCCTAGTTGCCATACTTTTGCATAGTTGTCTAGTCGCTTTCATTACCACCTCGTCTGCAAGGTTAACTTCGTCAGGGAGAATCGTTTTACTGAATCATACAATCAAACACATTGGCTCACGATTGTCATTCCGAAAGACACTTTGCTAATGAATTTTGAAAGTTTGAGCACGACCGCTCAGCATTGCAAAACATTCGCCATTTTCAACATAGGATTTTGTCAAAGCATATACGGAATACATCATATAAGTTAAAGGGTCATGTGTCAAAAGAAGGAGATGCGTTCATAAATCAGAAGGTTAACTTTTACCAGTGACGCCGGAGCATGTATGCGCGTGCAAAGCTGCCCCCTTGCCCCCTCAAAATTATGCCTATTTCTATTGTTTTTTTTCGTGCTCTGTTTTATTCTGTTGTTTTGCCCTTTTTCATTGCACTTTGCCCCTCCCTCCTGCCCCGAAGCTAGTACAACCTTATAAATTAGCTTACTATGATACACAATCAAACGGAATTTGGGAACAAGATACTGATTTCAGGATTTGGCCACCCTTTCACCCACCCAGATTTTGCCCCGAGTAAGTAGATAAATTCCAAGTTTTCAAGGCTGTAGTAAATGTCACATAATAACTCCACTAATTCGATAAAATGGTTATTAACCTAAAAGCCAGACACACACAAACACACACAATTTATTAGTTTCCTTCAGAACGATAAAAATCTACGTTTAAATTCTTGGAAATTAATCCATTGTTAAATAGCCCTATCTACAAAGAAACAGTCGAATCTATCAGAAACTGAATGAACAGCTAATCTTCCATATCCTATCTCTTTAGTCTGGCCTTGGTAACAAAATATTAAGACAGAACAAATGCAGCTTTTTGTCAGTTTCGCACAATAAAAGTTTTTCTATGGTTCTTTTTCATTGTTAGCTCTAATATGGTTTTAATAAGAAATTTTGTAAACATGAATTTTTATGACGACGTTGCATTTTTACAACATTATTTTTTAATAACATTGAGCGATACGTAACAAGTTCATCTTTTGGGGGTTTTCTAAATTGCCTTAAAGACATTCCAGAACAATGAAATCGAATACAATGTAAAATAAGTCATTTTTGCTGCAACAGGGTTAGAGAGATTGAAAGATTCAAAGCAAATTTTGAGAGATTTTTAGAAATCACTGTTCCTTCAAGAAAATCCTGTCAATGTTAGGCTTATTTATGAGATTGAAAATGCCAAATAGCATTATGTAAAGGGTATTGCAGCTATTTATACCAAAGTTACTTTTCAGCTTAAGTTCGATTCAGTTGCTCCAAGTAAACAGTTCTGATATGATTGGCTATGTAAAATTCTTAAAGATAAAGTCGATCGTGTATGTGGATCTCCTTTGAGCCAATTACTATTTTTGCATGCAGGAACTGGCTTGAACTGCTATGATGTGGATGAGTGCCTTACAAGCAACGGAGGTTGTTCGGCCAACGCTATGTGCCATAACACAGTTGGATCCCGTACTTGCGCCTGCAAATCTGGCTTTACTGGAAATGGTACCCATTGCACTGACATTAACGAGTGCACATCGGGCGCAGCTTCTTGCAGTTCAAATGCTGGTTGTACCAATACAGAAGGATCGTACACATGCTCTTGCAATGCTGGATTTCAAGGTAAAAGTCTTTATAAATGGTGAAACTTTTTGCTATTTGCAAACTCTCTACCTCAACCTGTTGTTATTGTTAAAAAATTTTTTCTTAAAAATTGCTGTTTTCTGGACTGTCACAAAGTGCTCGATAAGCACACTTTAAATGCTTTGGTGTGAAGAATAATACAATTTCAAGATGCAACTCCGAGATTCACGCCTCATGAAATCTTCAGACAGCCTTAGCTACTCGCTTTATGAGTTTTTTAATTTTTAGTTTGTTTCTCCCTGGGCATATTTGAGACTTGTTAATCACTGTTAATCACATTCTTATTATGCAATACACCACGCTATTTACAAAATACTGTTTGAAGATCGTGAACAAATTCAATCCTGGCGGTCTAATGAAAGTTCAAGGGCAGTTTCTATCTTTCCTCGAATGTCCTGGAGTTGTTTTCTGCCCTGTCCTGAAGTAGGTTTTTTGCATTGTTGCCGAATGAGAACAGTTTCCATCTAGCTGCAATAAACATTAAGCTTGAAGTTTCAATCTCAATGTTCGGTTTCGTGTAGAGAAAGCCTAATCATTATGTAAATCTATACCAGTAACCAGTTTAAATGAAATTAAATGATAGTGACCGGATGCTTCAATATTAGAATTGATTATATTTTTTGACGAATTTATATTCTTTTAGACTATGATATTATTTGACCCTGGGGTACCATTCAGTTTAGCCAAGAAATAGCTATCAACTGATTTCCATTTGCCCAAGCAAAAATGACCCCTACTATTAAACAAAATAGTTTACCCAATCTCGTATACACTTTTTTTGGTTTGCTTCTAAGCCAAAATCGTATATGTGGAACTCATTTAAACCACATTATTCTTGCATGCAGGAACTGGCTTGAACTGCTATGATGTTGATGAGTGCCTTACAAGCAACGGAGGTTGTTCGGCCAACGCTATGTGCCATAACACAGTTGGATCCCGTACTTGCGCCTGCAAATCTGGCTTTACTGGAAATGGTACCCATTGCACTGACATTAACGAGTGCACATCGGGCGCAGCTTCTTGCAGTTCAAATGCTGGTTGTACCAATACAGAAGGATCGTACACATGCTCTTGCAATGCTGGATTTGAAGGTACAAATTTTTAAGGCTTTTTCATGCTTTTTCATTTTGAGGCTTCTACAAATGCTAGCCGAGATGCCGTTTATCATAATGTGAACATTGAAACCCCTGACATTTCTATCCTTAAATACAGATTTACAAGAAACGGCCTAAGATAAAAATCCTGAGGTACCTCGCAGGTTTTTTATTTTGTGTGCAAAAGCATACTTTGATATTGTAGCATTTCATACGTTTAGACAGGCACAAACAAAGCTAACTGGGTTTTTTCTCGAACACATTTGGCCTAAAGTCACAAGATAATTTTTGACCAGATAATCCTGCTAGAAGTTTTGACGTAAAAGCGCCTGATTTAAGTTAGATGGTTCTTTTTTGTTGATTTTCGCAGCGCTATTCACATCCAATAATATATATGACATTCATTCACTCACTGATTCATTTTTTATCATTTACACACGGTGGCTTCTTCAATTTGTTACGCTCAGTAGGCCGTGCTACATTTCTTCCTACCCACGATTTAGAAAGAACAGAACGTTTTGTACATACATTTTTATACATCTTTGAGCGTAAATAATTGTGTTTGAAATTCGCATTCTACCTTGCCTTGTAATTCGAACCCTCGGTTGCCGTAAGTCTTTCTAACCCAACATGCTATTCTTACCGTATCTAGCAGATATTTTAAATTTGATACATCTCCATTTGCAACGACTTTGTTTTCCTTTAGGCAATGGTCATTTCTGCATGGATGTGAACGAATGTCTACGCAGTAAGGGAGGGTGCCATGCCACGCTAGCAACGTGCGCAAACACTTACGGTTCGCGGACATGTACTTGTTTTGCCGGCTATACCGGAATGGCATCATTTGTACAGATATAAACGAATGTCTGACCTCGAATGGTGGTTGTCATGTCAACGCGACTTGCACGAATACACCAGGATCGAGAACTTGCCAATGTAAGTCAGGTTTCAGCGGCAATGGCCTTAACTGTGTGGATATTAACGAATGTGGAGTTGTGAAGGGAGGGTGTCACACCAATGCCAATTGCAACAATTATGACGGTACATACGCCTGTATTTGCCAGGGCGGATTTTCTGGAAACGGGACGTATTGCGGGGACATTGATGAATGTGCCACTGGAGCACACTCGTGTCATTCCCAAGCTACATGTACCAACACCCCTGGTGCGTTTACTTGTGCTTGCAAAAGCGGATACGAAGGGAATGGCAAAACATGCAAAGGTAAGTAATCAACGGTCCATAGCTAATGATCATGCGTTTCTAATGCATCAAAAAGACTCTAATGACATTTTATTGTAGCGAAGCAAAATGCATCAAATTTTCCCTGCCCGCCAAAAAGCAAAATACTATATTCGATTCGTGCTTGTTGGAGATGACATTTGTCCTAGACAAGCAGCAGAGGACGGCATCCCAACCAGCTAGCCAATTGTTGCTGGGTGGAACACAGATTACATTTCGAGCATGAATAGAAAGTGGCAAATTTCACTCGGACAGTCAAGCAATTCAAAGCATGGCCACATCACCTTTTTAAAATAAAACACCATCCAGCTGCTATGCAAATTATGTTGTTGTAGTCTCTGAAATGGTTTTTTTAAATTATTTTCTGTAGCTATTTTAGTGTATTACTACAGGGTGTTATTGCAGTATAATTGCACAAGTGTAGCATACAGATTCAATGGAATAGAACTAAACATAGATCCAGCCCGTTTCTTTTTATCACTAAAGGTCCTGTAATCCCACTTTTTATGGTAAAGGGTGTTAGTGATACGATCAAAATGCCTGAGTATTGTTTATTTCTTTGCAGAAGTAACCGATCCACTCAAACTCATAATGGCGCTTGTTATTGTTGTTGTTGTGTGCTGTGCCCTAATCTACATGGTCGTACATTTTGGATTGTAAGTTGTTTCACATTTTAAATGAAAATGCGATTTTAGTAATAATGAAATGTTCTCTAGCAAAAGAGGCATTTTAGGACAGCATGATGGCCATCATCAGATTCAAAATCATTTTGGACCACTTTAAAACTTAAGGCACAAAATGGTAGAGGTAAGAGAAAATTGAAGGGAAAGAGGTTTGCAATCGAAAAGAATGGTGGTTTATGTAAGAGAAAGGGTAGGATTTATAAAATACAAGTGGAGAGCCCGGTTCCTCTTAGAGTTATTTAAACGCCAATGATCATGTTTTAAATCGATCGTTTGTTTCGGAAAATTTTTTTCTTTTATATTATAAGTATTCTGTAGCTATTCTCTATCGAAGAATTTTATCTTGCAAAGCTGATTCAAGAACTCTGGAATTGGAGTTTTTCTTCGCTAAATGTAACAAAACTAAAAGAACCAATAGATGTTCCTCATCAACAAATAGGTTTACTGCTCTGCAAACAAAGGAAATGGTATTTTAACTGAAACATTGCTTTGTACAGAATTTTTCTAAATTTTGTCGGCTGTGGCTTAATGGATTTGGCTTTTTGGCCCGGTAAGTTTGTAGGGAAGAATTAACAATGCTGTTTCTTTTTCAGAGCTAAAAAATGTGGCAAAGGTGGAAGCGACGCTTAAAGGAGACACCCTTCATGTCGAGATGACAACGTATTTCAGTATTTTGTATTTGCAATTTTCAAAATCACGTATTATAGCTTTGCTTGGAGGTAATTTTTTTCCTTTGTTGATATCATTTTCACTGCTCTTATATTTCTAAATTTTAGAAAGATTAGATTTTATTTACATTATAATTATATACGCATTCCATTGGTTTTCATTACCTGTTTAAATTGGAAGTTGTGGAGAAGGAAGCAGCGCTTTTAAGATGTAATATCTTTATATACCAATAAAAGTCACTTTTTCAACGAACTTTGAGAATCGAATTTAGGGTTGCCACTCTACGTTTTGCATAGATTTGTGACTAAGAGTTTAAAGGATTTGAATGAAATCATTTTTTACATGTGGTAGCTTTCTGTTCGATTGTTTTCCTTATTTGCTGAAATGTGCTTCAAAGAGGGAAGCATGACGTTTTTCAGCAAAAATTACAACAAATCAACTCACCTTTATGTACTGCTATCAATTCCTAATGTGAATGGGCACGTACCAAACACCCAAACTTTTTCAAGTCTCCTCCTTTCAAAACTATTGTTTTATGACAGTTTTTAAGAAAAGGTAACCAGAAATATTAGGGTGAGAATCGCAACGACAATAAAGCAAAATTCTGCAGGTAACGAAATTATGACATAGACATTATTCGTGCCCAAGATTCTTGAAAATCCACGAAGATACCAGTGTAATAAGAAGAAGAAGCAAAACATGTGAGTACATTCTTTTTAATCGCTTTTTACTAAAAAAACTTCGAAATGTAAATCCAAAATAGTTCCAATACAACCGAAAAGTGAACAAAAAGGTTATTAAAAACATAGACTTTTGTTGTAGCGTCCGTCAAGTGAGGCAGTAGCGAAACAGAAGCTCATGGAGTAAGTCTATTAAAAACCTTGTTTTCTTTTTTCCCAGAAATTTCGAACATCTAATTTTTAGCAAATCTAAACTACATTCAGGGGGATTTACAAAAAGAACAGGAATTGGAAGCTTTAGGGACTAATACTTTTCTTGAAGAACACAAGGACGTGGGACTTTATGAATTCTTGATGAAAATACCCTTAGAGACTACTGTAGAGGAGCCTTAAAAGTCAAGCATGCATGCAACCAAACAATACATTTTTCAGTAACCGTAGTCAAGTGTAAACTGAAATTGATTGACACAGAAGCAAAAAACTATACAAAATTAATTATGCATAACGCAAGAAACATTCTTGATGTCTTGAACGACACACGTGTCAAAATGTCTGAAAATTTTTGAAGTAGTCTTCTAATCCTTTTTTAAAGTTTTCAAATAGCACATCCCACGTTCTGTCTGCATCTCTTGAATCTGCGTTATAAAAAAAGGAAAAAACCATAAAAATATGACTTTAAACCACTGGCGCCGCGAAGGGGGGCTTAGTCAGGGGGGCTCAGAAGGCTCATTTTCTCTTGCTGAAACTCAGAGAGATTTTAGTGGCACGGCAACCCCTTCTCATCTTCACAACCTAGGGTTTGTTTGGGTAGGCAAATTCTTTAGTTGGCAATGTCAACAAACTTTTTATTATGCTATGAGCAGTTTGTTTTATTTTGGTACGCTTTCATGTTATGTTATGTTATGTTATGTTATGTTATGTTATGTTATGTTATGTTATGTTATGTTATGTTATGTTATGTTATGTTATGTATGTTATGTTATGTTATGTTATGTTATGTTATGTTATGTTATGTTATGTTATGTTATGTTATGTTATGTTATGTTATGTTATGTTATGTTATGTTATGTTATGTTATGTTATGTCTTGTTAAGTTATCTTTTGTTTTATCATTTAAACCATATTGATATTTATGACGCGATATGTTACTGAATAAAATAGCATGTAAAAATGATATACTTACAAACCAACGTGTATTGCAAAGTAGCCACAAAAGACAGCCAGGAGGCCAATGATTATTGCAAGGGGAAACATTTCTATGCTTTGAAGCTACTGCCCTCTAAGATCTTGATATGTTGAATTTTTTTTAACAATTTGATTGCTAGAAAGGAACAAATGTGATTATAAAAAATGATTTGAGATTTGGCAAGCTGACTGAGCCTTTAAGATTTGAGACTGATCCTTTAGGCCCTTATTCCTGGCACCGCGGAGCGTTGAGAAAGTGGAGGGTCTAAAAAGTGGGAGGGGGGCCAAAAACCGGCTAAAGCCCCCCAGCCTCCTGCTCCGCGGTGCTTGTCGTTTCAGAGAATTGAGAGCGCTGATCATAGATTTGTTTACAGCAGCTGACGTTTAGATTTCAGACATAGTCCACATGCCATGGATTTTGTGCTATAGTTTTGTTAGTTTTGACAATTAGCCCTAGGTTTAATAATCACAATGAGTAGATCAACCAAATCCAATCTAAATTCAATCTAAATTTTGGCATAATGGTGCCTTATTTGGTCTACCTTTCATGGGACAGGGAAAAAAGGGAAAAAGCTTGTTCGCATATCCCCGTCTCTTTTCTAGTCAAGTGTTCCCCCCACCCCGAGTAAAGTCGTAGTTTTTTTTATTATATGAAATAAGCTTTTGCGGTCTCCAACTTCAAAACAAAGACTTGTTTAGCAATACAATAGTGCGCAACTCTTTTTTATAGAAAAACTATCCTCAAAAAGCACAGTATTGGCACTGCTGGGTAGCTAATAAACTTTCAGAACTGGAAGACAATTTTTAAAAAAAAGCTTCACTTTACAACCAGCAAAAATCCCACTTTTGGAACCTAGCCCTGTGCTATCAAAAGAACGGTTGTCAGGATAATGACACAGACTTGGGAAAAACATTCTCTTGAAAAGGCCAGCTACAAATTCAGAAGATAAAAGGATGAGATTATTGATCCATATCGAGGGGATAAGGAAAGGCCACGATAGCAGGCTGCTCGACGGGCTCTGATGGAATTCTTGCGGCGAAAAATCGATAATATATAGTGAGTGAATAACTCTGCAACGCGACTAGAATGAACAACAACAAATCAGATATGGCTAATAATTCACCCCGGCATACGGGGCTTCATCGGAGCAAAAGTGTGAACAATTTTGCTCAGAAATTTTATGGATTTACAGTTGAACTGGACACGGAAATTGCTTTACAGTCTTTTTCCTTGGGGAATGTTTTACTGTTTACCGCAAATTCAAGAAACTTCTAAAAAACTAACTACTCAATTCCATTAAGAATTATAAAACTTTCAGTGCAGTAAAAAATTCAAGTCTCTTATATAGAACAAGTGAAAATTACTTTCATACTAATCAATCATATAATGAGCGATCGATAGATCTATAGATAAATTGTGAGTGATCCATCTGTACATCCTTAAGTACACTTAAGAGAACGGTTCTAAGTTGCCATTCCGTAGATAGTACTGTATCATTCAGTTTCTTTCTTTAAGAAGATACTATAACATTTCTTTTCAGTGTAATGCATCTTGCTTCTGTGCTCAAAACACTGTATACAGTGCGACTTTGATTCATACATTTGTTATTAAAGCTTCCTTTCTATTGTGAAAGCAGAGAGAAGCATTGAGGCGATCAATGTCATATCATACCATAATAATTTAAATTATTTAAAGGTTAATGCAAAGCTTCAAAAGAGAACTCATGCAAAGAACCATTGCCACAAAGCAGCGGTTGTTGTCTTTATTCTTATCATAATGCATGTTTACTGCAATAAATGTTTTCCCACTAAATGTAATGTGCACATTTCGATTCTTACACGATATTTTTGTACTTGTTACGTGCGTGAAATGAAGATGACACCAAAATATGATTCGAGCACAGTATATTTTATAAATAAAGTCACAACTTTTATTCCGTTGTCTATACTGACTTAACAGTGCTCGATGTACAAAACCGCAGAGCAATAGATATAGTCTGTCTGATGAGTACACAAGCACGAAGCTAAGAGTAACAGAGGACATGCCTCATTTTTAGCCTATCTTCTACTATAGTCACAAGTTTTATCTATCTAAACTTAACTTGGGCTATTCAGATAAGTAACTATCTGGAAATTTAATGTAATTGAATTTAAAAGTTTGATATCTTACCGGACGTGCTTCCCGGAAGACACTTCTGTAGTTCAACATGCACACTAGTGTGTGTTCACGGTCTGATGAGCGGTCTCAATACGTGTTACGCAGAACAAGTGGTATAGGGAGATACGGAGGAGAAAAAGGAGAGTGTGGGGACTGGGGAGATGACTTTCGAACGAGGTTAAGACTGTTTCAGTCGAAAAATTCAACCTTCCACACTCGAAGGTTTTTCAAGGCCAATGTATAGGATGTCTATAGCCTGACCTTTTTGGAAAAAGAATGGCCCCAGAAAAAAAGTAGGCTGTTCTCCCTAATCGCTGTTTTCCTCGTCGATTTATTTTTTCATATTTCACGAGGGTAGCCCTTCAGCAGAGCTGATTTTCAGGGGAACCCTTTACTACAAAATACGTAAAAAGATATTATTTTACAAATAGTAATTTAACCTCTCTATAACTAAATATCCAAATCCTATCATAAATCCCTACAATAATTCAAAATTAGCATCTAAAAAATTAAGAGAACAAGTGGCAAACACCTATTTACAATTAAGAAAAATTTTTTTTGAATCTATTTAAGGAAGATGTTTCCTTACACAATGCCTAATTATTGACTGAGAAGATCATTTCAGATAGAATTACCTGGAAAAATATTGACATGGCTATCCAATGAAATGAGAGAAAAATGAAACGTAATTGACATATACTATCTTGTTCCAGTTTATAAAGTATTTTAGCAACCTTGTTTCTGTTATTTTTTATTACTGTTGTATTTTTTCAATTATACCTTTTGTTAACGGCCCAAGCTAGATAAGTAAATTCTTTTTTGGGTCGTGTATATTACAGTTGTAATATTGTACTCACCTTCTGTAGTATACGAATAAAAATTGAATTGAATTGAATAATTTCTCTGTGCGAGAGAAAATGGACACGGTTTGACCAAAACCGAAGCACATATTGAAAAGGCATTAGGGAACATATATGTTATATATTATATCATATGTTATGTTATGTTATGTTATGTTATGTTATGTTATGTTATGTTATGTTATGTTATGTTATGTTATGTTATGTTATGTTATGTTATGTTATGTTATGTTATGTTATGTTATGTTATGTTATGTTATGTTATGTTATGTTATGTTATGTTATGTTATGTTATGTTATGTTATGTTATGTTATGTTATGTTATGTTATGTTATGTTATGTTATGTTATGTTATGTGTGCTAACATCGAATTCCAGCTCTAGTTCTATCAATTCAAAAGTAATTTCGTTTATAATAACGTTATCTAAATTAGTGAGGATAAAAACCATAGCTGCGGGAATCAACACGAGTATGAAATTATCACGAAAATATTCCACGCTCGCCAAAATTTCGCTTATTATTAATTTTATCACTTCCAGACACTTGGGATTTTTTTCACGGCATTCCCTCTCGCTGGAAAACCTTGCAAAATACCTTTCTCTAATGGGTTTTTCTTACGACGATTATCCGGAAATTTTTTCTGTTTCACTGAGCAGCAGGGCAAGTAACAAAGTGTCAGAAAAAGGGACGAAACAAAGGAAAGTAAAGAAAATTGCGCAACTTTAACAGGGCAAGGGGACAGCCACCCCTCCCCGCGCCCCTTGTGGTCCGATATCACTGTGCCATAAACGAAAGGTGACTAATGTTAAGCCAGAATTTCGATCAACATTGTCACTTTATAGTCACCCACGGTTGAAACTCTGATGATTGTTGCAGTAAAAATAATTATGAAAATTTAACTTTGCCCCTATAATGGCTTGTAGTTTTAAACCAAATCAAAACGAATGTCGCTTTTATTTTGTAGATACGAAACATCCAAATGCAAGAGTTTTTTCGGAACAAATTTTGACAGAGAGAGTGGTGAATAGATCCATTGGTTGATAATGCCCCTCCCAAAGAAGTCTGGTTCTAGTTAGTATGGGTCCAATTCACGTGCTAATTGGTCAACAGAATTAGAATTATATAAAGGCCAACTCTTGTTCAGCATAAATAGGGCGTACAGCAAGAAATTTTGATTGCAACAAACAAAGAGTGAGAAGGAGGGCGTATATTTTGTTATTTTTTACTTCACTGGGTAAATATTTAAATTCGGTCGTCGATAGCGGAGGAAACCCTGTCTACCACACTTCATTGTGTCATAAAACGCTGGTTGGGCTGGGATAGGCCCACATGAAATCCAAGCAAAACGATTGTCCGCACATCGAAGTTAACTAGTGCAAGATGTCTGCAGATCCGTCGAAATACAAGATGGTTGTTGTAGGAGGTACGATTTGAAAATTTCAACATCCTCCATTGAACATATGTTGCCTCGTGTTTTCCATGAGATCATCTTTCGTGACAAGAATTGTCCGGGTTTTGCCGGGGTAGGCCTAAATTGTGTCATCTGTCGGATAACTTTACTTTGGTGGCAATCTGCAGTTAAGATTGTTTCCGTTATTTATCAAAACTCTACCGCAGATTCCTGATTTATCTCAGGTTTTAAAGTTTTGCTGTTCTTGTTTGTATCCTTGGTTCAAAGTTAATTTCGCAGTTTTCAGCGCTCACATATGTTTTAATAACGCCGGTTTCTTAGCTTTTCTCGAGCTCGGCTTGTAACTATGGTTTCTTTATTTATATTTTTGTATCACTCTTACTCCCACTGACAATGTTTCTTAATGATTTAAAGTCTTCTAGATGATTTACTGATGACAGAAGAAACAGCCAAAGCTAAATAGGGCATTTATTAAAATTTGCTTTTTTCCTCTGCATAAAAAAATCTTCAACTGAAACACCCATCTAGTTGCATATAACTACTTGATTATAAGTATTTTGTCCGAAAATAACCAACTACTAACAAGTACAATTTTTCATATCAGAGAGAAGACTTCTGAACTGTATTGTGTGATAAATATAGGAATATTTTTAAATTCAATTAATGAAGACCAATCTTGCCAAGGATACCACAGATTGCAAATTAGGGCTTTTATGCCACGTTTTCATGAAATTTACCGGATATTTACCATAAGAAATATAAAAAAATTATTGAAAGGTAGCTGTCCAATGTAGCAATGAATATAATATATAGGTAGCTTTGGTTTAAAATTAAGTGTCATAAGTCAGAAATTGCTTAAAAAAATACTGACAAAGTCTTGGATCATTAAAATATATTTCCACTCTCCCCCTTGAGAAAAGTTTGCTGACTAAAAACTAAAAAGTGGCACTGGCGGTTTGGAAGTTTGTTTTTTGTGTGACTTTAAAATACTTAGATACAAAACTGTCAATGTTCTTCTGGGACGTGGAAGAAGTAGTGTTAGCAAGCAGAAATTGAATAGCAAGACTTGAGCCATTTGGCATTCATGTATAGCCCTGTTTCTTTCAAATACATTAAGTTTTGCTTGCTGGTATTATGTTTAAGATGAAGGCAATATAGGCCCCAGGCACATGATGCAAACCCACACAAATTATGATTGACAGCAGTTCTCTTTATGAAGATGAATCATCTCTAATTCATATGTGAACTAGCAAATGTCATACACCTATGCATTTGCTTACATGTACAGAACAATCCCCCAAAGATGCCTGGAGCAATATTGTAAACAAAGAAAATATTTAATACTAAAAGTAAAGGAGGCTAAAATGCAATTCATCACGTTACCTTTAAAGATATTTTTAGCTAGCAGTTTATTTTATGCAGCCTGATATAAGCTTAAAAATGCCCCCTTTATCTGTTCAAGTTTTCAAATAAATTAAGATCTAAAGTTATCTGAGGACTGTATGTATATTATGATGAATCATTGTTTAAGGTAATGACTTAATAGTTGATTGTTGCAAACAATATATATTCATAATTTATTCTAATTCTTCTCATGTTATAAGAAAAATTCTCCTCAAAGCCTCTGTGAGCTCTGAACTAAGAGTAAACTGAATTTTACAGAAAATGAAAATACATATTTTGGTGAAACAAGTTGGCTGATTGATTTTGCACATATGCAGATAGGAATTATTGTACTCTCAAACTTTGACCCAGAAATTGCCCCTTTCATGTTTTTGCAAAGGCCTGTCTTGGCTGATAGAAAGACAAGTATTTATATTATGAATATTAATTAGAATCTCTAATCTGTTGTGAATTATTGAAAAGTTGGAGCTCCTATGGGACCTGATAGGCAGTGGCATGAATTGGCTGTGCGTCTCGTGAATTTTAAGGAGCTTCACTTGTCTCTAAGAATATGGTTTTTAGCTAACACAGTGGTACAACTGGTTTTTATTTCTGTCACCTTTTCAGGGTACAGCCACCTCAAATTTAGTAGTTCTTGAGAATTTATATTGGAAATAGCTTCTCTACAACTTACTTCGTCTAAGTTAGTTATCTTGCTTGGTCAAACAGTGACCCAGTAAAATGAAACTGAACTAGGTTGTGTCTGATGTTGTCTGGGTAATGAGATATAGGTGAATTGACCCTGGCTCTAAGTATTGAAACAAAAAGTATGTAGGGTATTTCATGGCTGTCTGAAGTATTTTAATTGAGTGCGATGTAAAATTTCAGTTACTGTTGTGCTTCAAGCCTCAGACTTTAAGGTGAATTTGTTGAATCGGGGTGTTTTTTAAATGATGAGTAACTTTGCCTCACTTAGATTTCCTTGATAATGCAGAGAAGTTTCAAAGTGTTAATTGCTTTCGTGCCAAGACATCCTTGCCGAACTATTGAATTTCTAAGATCACTAACAAGGATATCTGCATAGTTTTCTTTACAACATCATTACTGCTAGATTCTAATTGAAAGCAGGTGTGTTTGACAGAAGCATTAAGTTTGAAAAAAATCTGAGTTTTCTGTGTTCAGCATTATTGTTTTGGAAGTCTGGGAGGGTAGCGACCTTTATAATTTTTATAACATCCACCAACATAAAACAATGAAACATAATAATGACAAGTAACAGTTAAATTTAGAGATTTAATATTTGTAGCACAAAGCATAAATGTTGTGTTGCAATAAAGGGATACAATTAAATGGTAATTATGATTGTTTATCTGAGGTAATACAATTCCAAACTTCCCAATGGAAATTTGAAGACAGTAATATCTTGTCCACTTTTCTTGCAGGACTTGGCCCCCTTTCCATCACAAATTGTAAAATCTGTTCAAAATAATAAATTTCTTATCAATGCTTATGCCAATGACAAGTTAAGACTGATTATTTATAAAATAGTGAGTGAATTTATTGCAAAACATAGCTTTTGTAATAACCTCAGCAACAAGTTTGATATGCTCAACTCCCTCTTTTTGTCTCCTCTTTAGTGAGCTTTTTATGTCAGAGATTTTAAGCTGACTTATTTTGTTTTTCATAGTATCTATGGTTGAATGACCACTCAGTAATAGTTCGATAACTTTTCTATCTGTCAACATTTACCTTGATTGTTTGAAAAGCAGTATAAATGCTTCAAGTTTTCTTTAAATTTCTTCATGGAAAAGCCCTCTAAAAAACTTTTTTATTTTTGTAAGAGGCATCTTTTTGAGGTTAACTTTCCCAAAGGCTGCTTTTTTGCAATTTTGATCCAATCACAGTCTCTAAATACTGTGATGTATAATTACTTGCAATAGCTATTTTGACACCAATAATGTGAAAAAGTGAAATTTTGACACCAAGTTTTAGTGAGAACCGACATGCCAACTTGTACCAAAGAAAGTTACACTGAATGTTGAGCTAAATGCTTTTTGAACGTGTTAAGTCTAGTCTCACAATTTATTTTTTCAAAGAGTGAGAGTGAAAGATTTCACCTAACGATGTATGGAGCAAAGTCCTTAGTCCATGGTCCTTAACAAAATGAGTTAGTGTGAGTAATTGTCATATCTCCGAAGGCTTCACATACAGCAACTTGTGAAATCAATAATGTTGTAAAAAATAGGTATTCTAGGTATTTTTACAATAAGTAGTGAAATAACATAAAAGAAAGGAAACATTTCTGTACTGTTGCAGAGTAGATGTTGTTTATTTCGGCTCCAGAAGATTAGTTAAGTTGCCTATGGTTGTTCGTTTTTTTCAGCTGGAGGTGTTGGAAAGAGTGCATTAACAATCCAGCTGATACAGAACCAGTAAGTTTGGTGCATTTTATGTTTAATAGAATGATAACCATTGCCCCCTTGCTGCCTGTGAGAATCAAGAATAGAAATTTTATGTGGCAGTGAGATTATGACATGGCCTTTTTGAATAACTAGAGAAAGCACTTACCTGTTAGAAATGAATATAACTGCTTCTTTTGGCACCAATATTGACTATTATTAACAATTAAGCGTCCATAATGAAGTTTAGAAGACATCCACACACCTTATTTATCTTGTTTGTCATTCCAGTTAGTTTGATATGCATGTTATTTGGCTATTCTAGATTCCCTGTCAAGTTTTATGCAAGGTTTAAAATATATCTTTAATGTTTTTTGAGATTGACAGAATTTAACTATGAAATGTTGTTCTTTTCAAAGTATGTTTTGAGGCGTGCTCATCTTCAGCCAAATTGAAAATTTTACATGTGACAGAATCTTCATTCTAAAGAAACAATCTACTTTGAACTTTTAAAATTCATTTATTGTGTTTGATTTATTATTTTTCTTTTGAATAGCTTTGTAGAAGACTATGATCCAACTATTGGTAAGAAATTACTTTTAACATGAATCAACACAACTTAATTTTCTTTTATTGGTTTTTACCTGTCAAGGTAAAACTTCAGGTTGTGGTTTGTCATGCAACCTTATTAACAATGTCTTAATAACTAATAATTGTTTACTACTTAGTCACCCAACATAGGTTTTAAGACACTGAGAAGCTATTCTTGTCAAGCAGTGTGCTGGTCATTCCTCTAAATTTGACCACACCTCTTAATTCTTATTTCCTAGAATTGCAGGGAGGTGGCATCACCCCTCACTCTAAGTGTAGGTTTGTCATGTAAGTGACTCCAATCACAAAACTGTAGTTATGTTGCCTGCAACCCTAGCCACTGAGCCATCCTTGCACTTATGTCTCGGTTCGTAAATATCATATTCTGTTGTTGTAGAGGACTCCTACATCAAGCAAGTTGTTGTTGATAGTGAAATATGCATTTTGGTAAGTATGGATATATTTCTGTTTTCTCCAATGGATCTTCTTCATATGGCAAAGCTTTTTATAAATGTACCACAAATATGATCCATCTACTCTAAAATGTGAACAGTTTTTTGACAGTACAGAACTTGAAAATGGTTTTGTAAAAGGTGGTAATTTTTCTTTAGACACACGGCACTAATTGGTCAACTATACCGGCCTTGTGCTTGTGTTTGTTGGCCTATTTCGATCCACTACTTGGTAATTTTGTTGTTTAGTAGGGCCAACTTACCTAAGATTATTCAAGGTTTAAATAGAAAGGAATATGACCAATAATTTTGTTCCAAGGACAACAGATATCTCTTAATTCTAATGTTTGGTATGTTTTAGGATATTCTGGATACAGCTGGCCAAGAAGAGTATAGGTACAAAAACTACTATTCTGTTCGAAATTTCTTCTTGGTAGTTCCAATGTTATTTGCAATGATTCTCCGCCAAAATTAATTCCTAAGGATACTGGATGATACCTATCCAAGTCTTTTGTATATCATTTTTGGTAGTAAAGCAAGCTATAATGTGCTCTTAAACGCGAGAATAACAGAGTTCGCAACACCAAGATTGTGGCTTCAAAAGTAAGACCTTTAAAACTTGCAAATGATCATGACTCCAAGAGATAGAAGTTCCGCTTCTTATTTCATACCATCAGTTTCCAACACTACAGATTTGCTCTTTCCCATCTTGATCTTTCTATATGCACCACAGTCTAAGTTTTCAAGGAATTGAAGCCTTGTTTATCTAAACATTGCACGAAATGGCTGGAAAATTGCACACTTAGTATATTGGCAATGTTTCCGCTATTTTGTGCCATCTTGAAAGTACCAAAGGCCTTGTTTATGGAATATTAGGGTTCCTGAAGAAAGGAAAGCCGAATTAATTTTATGCCGTACTTAACTAATACTTTGAAGATTTTTGTAGTCTGTGTGATTTTGTTTCGAAAGCCTGAAAAGCATCTTTCTTCTTACTTTTCAAGCGCAATGAGGGAGCATTACATGCGTACAGGAGAAGGTTTCCTGTGTGTTTTTGCTGTTACGAGTAAGAAGTCTTTCCAAGAAATTGACACTTACAGGACACAGGTGTGTATAATTTCTTCCCTGCCCAAACATGGATCGTTGTTCGTAGCTCGTTTCGTAGCGCGAGAAGGCCTTCCCCCTACCCTCTGTATAAATGTAGTTTCTATCATGGCCCAGCGTTATTTATTTTAGATAGTATATTGAAAAATCTTCCGTTATGAAGACACTGGCTGTTTTCCTTTAAAAGGGAAATTGATAATGACGTCATATTTTATGTTTTTTGAATTAGCTAATGCGTCTCATTCTTTTCAAATAGGCATTACGGGTGAAGGATGCCGAGAAAGTCCCTATGGTTTGTAAGTATCTTGCCAGAGTTTTGTTACATTTAATACCTTGAAGGGAATAAATTGATATTTGGAAACGACATTCCCAAGGTGTAAAATGTATTTTAGTGTTCGTTTCCTTTCCAAGTCAGTTTGTGACTTACTTGACAAAAGATTACGTGGTATAAGGACAAATTTGATTGGACAGAATGCTAGGGACTGCAGAAGCGCGCCCCCCCCCCCCCAGATTACGTTCAAAGCTGTACTAAAAGCAAAATTAGAATTATCTTGCTTTAAGCGTTTTGCATGTTGAGCCCCTCAAAATATTTAGCCCTCCAAGCCCGTAATATACTCCGCGGCCACTCTCTGTATTCGGATGAATTCATATCTTTATGATAAATAATCCCTCCAGAGAACCAATTCAAGCAGTGTCTTTTTAATGCCTCTTCGATGATATTGATTGCCACCATTCTAAAATAGGATACGTCAATGTTCCTTGCAAATTGATAATATCTTACCAAACTGAGAGCTGTGCAAACATTAACTACATGAAAATGCCAAGAAAGAAACAAAATTGAAAGTTTTCATTCATCGCATCTTTTGTAGATAGTGTCAGCTTCTGAGCTCATTAGGAACATAGAAAAATGTAGAATTCTTAGCCTTAATATATAAGTTGTAATTTAACTTTCCTTGGATTATACTTTTTTGTATTATCCATTAAAAAGTTACAATACATAAATACAAGCTACGCTACTTACAAATTTACTTTACAATACTACTCGGACGATACCCCGAGGAGCAAAAGACTATGACCACCCCGGGGCCATAGACACATAGTTAAAAAAAACACTGTCAAAGGACGTTACCGTTGTCAAGGTTTTCATGGAATCGTGAATAAAAGTAATAATAACAGATAAAATTGTACATATCAGATTTTCATGTTGGTATAATTGTTTATTTTGCATTCTGTAGTGGTTGGAAACAAAGTTGATCTTCCTAAACGAGATGTGAGCACAAAGGAGGCTCAAGATGTGTCTAACAATTATGGCATACCTTATGTAGAAACCTCTGCCAAAACGAGGCAAGGCGTGGTAAGGTTGTTTTCTTCTTTGCAGTCCTTGTTTGCCATTTAGAGGCCTATTTCAAGGCAAGGTAAACACAGTTGAGTTTTATTCCGTGTTGAGATTGGGCTTTCGTTTACTTGTGGTTGTTACCAAGGGTGAGTTTATTTATCAACAGCCCGAAGAGCTCCGTGCAGTTCTATGTTTAATCAGCGTGTGCAGCCCACAATAGGGTGAAATTTCAACCCGAGTTTACGAAGAGAGTTGGGCTAGTTGAGGGCTGAGATTTTCCGTGTAAAGGATGACATCCTGATGTTTTTAACCAGACTTAAATTGATCTACTTGAATTAATGATGACCAGACTTAAATCTTGAATTGATCTTGAAGTGAATATTGGAGAAAAGTAAAATGGGTCTGTATTTGCGTTTTAAATTAATCAGGGGCAGTTTTTCTTGTTACGATGTTGATTAAAATTAAGATCGTGTCGGGGGCTAGAAAAATAAGGGAATCTATTTAACAGTCCCTTTTTGGCAGCAATGTACTCATCCTAGAAACCTCTACCTATTGAAGTTGCTGTTTGGTTTATTGATTCCCCTACTAATGTTTCCTAAGATCAACCTTCGACGTTTTCTATTGCCATTTTATCTGCATCATTCCCTGCAAACTCTTGTACTTATATTTCAATATTATGATTGTTTAGGAAGAAGCATTTTTCACGCTGGTCAGGGAAATTTGGACCGACGTAAGTTTTGGGGTTATTCAATTTCTTGCCTAACTCTGCACATTTTTGCTCAGTCAACATAAACAGCCCTGATTCTGTTAAGCTTTATAGTTCTTTTAAAATTCAGAATTTTTAGAAATAGATATTTGTTACGTCATCATTTGAGAACTCTATATGCCAGAAGGAAGAGATGTCGAATAGGCCGTCCGCCGGATTCAGGGAATATTGTGATTAAATAACAACAGTAAACAGTAGTCAGGAACCGCCCAAAACAGTGAAAACGACCTAATATTAAGGATCAGTGTGATCATCGTTTGACCTTTGGTATCAGTCTATTGTTTTACATAGAGAGTTGGAGGGGTGAATTTTCGGTTTTATAAGACTGGTAGAAAAATTTCCTCCTTTTGAATCCTTAATATTTGATGTGTTTGGTAGTGTTGTATGTGCTGCCTTTCGTTTAAAATCTTGTAGACGGTTCGACTGAAATAGTTTTAAATCAAAATTTCAATACCACGATGGAATGGTCTGCGAAATTTCAGCTGGATGCTTTTCCCAGTGATAGGTTGCAATATAAAATATACAATAATCTTTTAATGATAGTTACAATAAAAAAACTGTTATTTGGTCAGCTTTATCCTGTCAGCTATGAAGCTAAGCTCAAATATAGCGACAGAAAGGTATTGAATAGGTCAGAACGGTTCTAGCAATCGAATTGGTATTGTTATGTCTTCTTTTATTATTCATTTCTATTCCTATAATGGATACTATATGATTTATGTTGATAAGTATTTTCCTGAGCATAGAGCCCCCTTCAACGAGGCTACTAGGGGTGCCAAATTACTAAGATAGGCCTGTACAGGAAGTGCTGGTGTTTTAGTGATTCAATTTCGCTTGTGACGAAGTAGAATTCAAAAGAAATAGCGAAAATCGAACGCATTATATCCTGAAAGAGTGGCCAAAGATGAATGAGATTATGTATAAATCATGTCTTAAATTTCGCCAATAAGAGTGACAACATTATCCAACATCGAAAGATAGGCTTGATAAATTTCCTTCGGTTGCCTGCTTCATTTCTCATGATGTTCACTAACCAGCATGATTATGTACCGTAAGAGATGGATCTGGAACTGTTTAGCTATCGTATTAGAAAACCACCATATTGTTAGCTTTTCTTTTTCTTTTAGCGTAAACGCCAAGAAACCCAGAAGAAACACGAGGTGAAAAAGTCAAGATTTAAGTGCGTTGTATTGTAGAAAAGGGGATGTATCGCTAGTATGAATTATGGATCTCTTTTTAACATATGGTGCTTTAGGGTTACGTTGCTAGGCATGTCTTGTTTGTAAGTATTAGCCTCTGTTGGACGATGCTTCCAATGGGGTTATAAATAGAAACCGATCGATTGCGTCCAGAGTTTTAGCTTGCTAGAGCAATTTATGGCGTGCTTTGGCAAATATCGAGCTAAATCCCTTCATCTTTGGAAAACACTATTTCTTTCCACGACCTTTGTCAGGTATAATTTGGGGAAGAAAGCAAAATTTCAGGATCTTTGTCAGGGTACTTCTTTAGAGATCGTCTTTTGTAAATGGTTTTCGGAATAGCCTAGGATTTGATTCATATTGATCAATGAACAAGTATAGATTTTTCTCAGATGCTGGTAAAGAACTCTTTTTCAAATAGTTAAAAAAGCTTTCCTTTTTTGCTGACTTTCAACGCTAAAGAGCTAGCACTGAAGCTAATATCGCTCAAAGTTGCTTTTCCCCAGCCGAAATATCATAAACATTATTTACCTAGGTAATATTTATGCTTTGAGCTCAAGGACGTCAACCCCCGCTAATGTAGCTTTTATGACATACACCCTTCTTGGAAATAGATTTAGACCAGGGGGCTTATAAGTATCTCGATTGTTTGTATTGGTTTCCAGCGTTATTGAATATCAGATCGCTTGATTGATTGATTGCTTAATTGATTGACTGATTGTTTCAATGATCGATCGATCGACCAGACAGATGATCGATAGATGATCAGTTATCGTTGCTATGTTACAATCTTGGCTGGAGCCGTTGAGAAAAAACTTCCAAACACGTGTCAGGTGAGCATCTACCCACGCCTTCCCCTATTCAAAGTTTGGGTTTACAACCTTTAATCCTTTAATAGCAGAAATATCAATATTGAGCCGAGGGAAGGGTGGAGATGGGGTAAAAAAACTCAACATGATCTGTCCAAGATTGTAACTTGTGTTTGATATATGTGATAGCCTGTGCACCCGATTTTACATTAACTGGCCATCTCGGGCAGAATTTTGAAATGGGGTTTTTTCAGAAATCTAAGTCTTCGTCACTTAGTAGATTTAAATTTTCTTTGTTGATTGAGAGGTAGGTGAGAATTCTTCAGGTAAATTTTGAATTGTCTTTATTGTCACCACGAGTGCAATTACCGGTATTGCAAGTAAAGTGTGTGCGGAAATTTCTGTGAGCCCTTGTCAGCCTTTAGTCGAATTGTTACTGTCGTGACAGAGGAATTATTTATCATGGATCTCAATGAATTTTATTCGAAAATTTATAGCATTGAAGTTTAACTTTTGCTTATGAGATGTTTCGATGGAATTCTAGTGTAGATCTGTTAAATTCTAGTGTAGATTCAGGCTTGAGGAAAATGTTGTGATAAATTCGTAACGCAGAAATCACTTGCTAAAAACTTCTGATAATTCCCCCGGACCATCGCAGCTTTTCTGTCCAGCTCTTTGCTCAACTAAAACATTTTATAATATATATTCATGCGACAGTGGCTTTTCTCATTGTTTTCTTAGGTCATTTCCTCACTTTTTTAATGGTCATAAGTTATGTCATACCAATAATATCACACCATACCCTAATGTTAAGACTATTCTCTGCTATCTATCCCCCAAAAGCCATTCTCCGCAGTCATTAGTCCATATGTCTTGTTTAGCTGTCCGATGTGCTGCTAAAAGTCCTTGCAGTCAGGGACAGTCATCCTTTCTATCCAGCAACCCATTTCTTTTCGCCTGGGGTCAAGCATGTATGCAAGCACAGGCCCGACTGCATATTCGTAAATCGTGTCTTGCACTTTGCGAGGACTAGTCGCTAGCGATTGCTAGCGAATTTTCCTGGTTAATTAATGAATGTTTTACGTACATGTAGTATTTGCCCGAATTTGCTATTGTAAGAATTTGAATACATTTGTCAGTCTTTAAGTTTCTCTGCATTGTAGCGAAGATAGATACTTTCCTGCATTTTGTATGTAGTTCATAATACTAGAATAACTTGGCTAATTATAGTTATTCCTGATATAAGTTAGGTAGTTTCTTCAACTTTGAGCCAAGATGTGTCTTGTGGATACCGTATCCCTGTCAAGATATACGATACCGTACCTCCGTCTATCAAGTGCCAAAACGTATTTATGTGAGAACTGGCCTTTTGTATTTAGTGTCATGTTTAACTCCTCAGAAAGATTTTTCCAGGGGGACTGGATTTGGATTTTAGGCCTTGCTAATAACAAGCTGTTTTCGCAATTTTTGACGACATAGTTTATTACTTCTTGGTACTTCTGGTTCATGCTTCCTTTGCTCAAAGCTCGTTGAATGTGAAATTAAACTTAGCCATATTACAAGCTCGGCCATCGAGCCAAACATCAGTTCTAGTTTTGAATACTTTCCCCTGCGTAAAGTTGTCAGCAGTCTATACTGATTAAGACTTAACATTCTTATTCAATATTCATGTTGAATCAGAACCAAAAATGGAATTTTTAAAATGGCTAGTGAACTGATTTTGCTGAGATCAAATTTGAAGATCTTACCAATGCTGTTAGTTTGTATGTAGCTATAACAATTCATTATTTTTGTACTTTTGATGCTAACTAAGTTTGAATATGTAGTTGGTAATTTAATTGCTTATAAATGTATTGTTTACTTATTGATTTGACCGGAATAAAGTAGTAATGATTCATTGTAATTGATTGATTTATCATTCTTACGATGCAATTTTTGACAAAGGTTGTTTTTTTTCCCAAACATTTTCTGCTGCTTTCCTGTTATTGTATTTTAAAGGAATTATATAAAAAGGTTAGGCCATGTCATTCAAATTCAATTTATGAAACCAACAACAACGTGGTTCTATATGCAACCATCATGACGAGGCTATAATTACCATGATATTACACCTATGACACATCAATGTATCACTGACGAGTTAATTCTTATTTGAAACACTTTGATTCAGCTTCTTCGCAAAGATGCAAGTCAAAACTTGATTAAATTGATTGGTCGATTAATTGATGGCCGATTGGCTGATTGATTGCTTGTAGGGATTGGTTCATTGATATTATTTGGGCTTTAAGAATCAAGTTATCCAGGCCAAGAAGGCCTCAATCTCCTTAAAATAAACTTCATATGTTTTAATCTTCGTGAAATTATAAGATTACAAAGAAATAGAAAAAGGCGTCAATTTGCATTTAGCAAATAACAATGTCATGTAAATAACAGAAAACCAAACATAGAAATATCTCTTCTTTCAGTTTTAATGATTTCGACACAAAATTTGAAATCAATTCTAGACATAATCTATCCTCCTTGCTTAAAAGCCAAACAAACATATTCAAGACGACTGCCTGGAATTTTAAGTATCAAATGTTTGTTCTGGTGTCTTTAAATTTTCATTCAGTTTCAATGGACACAGCACAATAAAGTGCATTTTGTATTTTACCCAACTGATAGACAATAGTTGCAAACTTCGAACTTTTCACTCTTTCAGTTCTTTCAGGTACATGTCGTTGGAGGATTGGCATTGGGTAGTCTCGATGTTGCATTTTTCGAAATCTCCCAATTTCGAGACCATGTGCACAGATTCTTAATGTCGAAAGACATGATGTCCCCTTACCATGAACAACATCATTTCAAATTTGAAGAGTGACTTGATCTGCTTTTTCTTACTTTCAGTGTTTCCTGGTGTCGTAGCCCGGGAGGGGGGTTACTCCCATTATGGCCTAACAGGGGGTCCAGTCAGGGTTAATGAGGACCAAGCTTAAATGTTAAAAAATTGCCCTCAAATGGTAGTGTTTCTTGACAATAACCTAAAATGGTAGCATAAGGACGAAAATTATGTCATTGGTAGCATCCATTTCTTTGTACGTGCCTGGTCCTTCTTTGATAAGTTTCTTCACCATTTGGTAAGACCCTCAGATCGATTGCCCCCCCCCCCCCGGGTGTCGTAGCCAGTTAAGGTACACGGGAAACCCCTTTTGTGAATAAAAATATTTGCCGTAAACCTTTTCCTTACTGAATTGAAAATATTGAAATAAAAATTCAAAGCAAAAATTGCCTCTCTTTGTTGCCGTGCTGGTTATCCTCTACCTATGCCTTGTTCCCGGAAAAGAACGTTCCTTGGTGCAGCTGTAACTATGAACACTTGCGTGGCTTAGATTCTTTTTCAAATCATGAAAACACGCAGAGGTACATTTCAACTATCATCGAACATGCTGCACCGCCTCTTCTGTCCTGTGTTATTTTTATAGGCAAGAGATATTGAATACTTTTTCATATTTATATAAAGAGGTGTACTGCTATGAAAAGAATAAAAAGGAATATACGGTTGAAATTAAAACGTCCACCAAAAATTTTAAAGTAACAATTACATTGACACACTAATTGAGTCAGATAGAACCAGCGATGAGAGGAAGCATTTAGCAAAAACAAGATGAAAAGCTTGGCAAACAAAAATAATACACTCTAAAAGTAGAAGACACATGGGCATTTCTGAAATAAGGAGTTTCAGGTTTTTGGCACAGAATAGTAATTTTGATTTGATTGTCTGGGCTTATTTTATGGAGCCCCTCTTCCCTACCCTTGCCCTACAATCATGCGCTGCATTCTGCTTCACGTGACTATAGAATGATTTGCGCGTGCCTGGTGACTGCCCTTGTCTCCAGTTCTCAATCGCAGCAACAGCTTCCGCGTTCAAACGGTAAAATGGCGTCTATACTTCAGACGTTTGTCTTCGCACTTGCCGGTTTTGCAATTGTAGAATGTGGCAAACCATCGCTCACCGATCCTCTTGGTTTGCTAGAAGAAACAGAGTTCGTTGGCAAAGGGCAGAACTACGTAAGTGGTTCAGTATGGCCTAAACCGCAAAGAGAAAGTCGCTCTGACAAGTATTTTGCTGTGGATCCTGCAAAGTTTAAGTTTTCGGTTGCTGGACAACAAAGCTCTGTTTTGTCCTTAGCAATGGCAAGATACATGCCTCTTACTTTCCCTGATACCAAGGTTTCTACAGAATGGAAGATGGAACAAGTAGAAACCCTCCAAATAAAAGTTAGCAATGAGTACGCTCCAATGGAGCTGTCAACAGACGAATCATGTATGTATTATTCTAAAATAACTGTATCCCAGTATAGATCATCCTATAATATCGCCTTTTGATAAAGCTGACAAGATAGCACCAAATCGGCCTCCTCTAATCTGTTAAAACAATTAATTGGTGCGAGGTCCAGTCTGCAGCAGTGTGTGTGGCAGATGAGCGCATAAACTCAATAATCTCGAACTCTTTTTTCGAAATAGCAGTTACTAGCACTTCAAAGTAGCTATTAATGATAAAAAATTTAATTCTAGTAAACACTTGTTTGGGAACTCAACGCTGCACGCTTTCCAAAGATCACCCTTTGGAAAATTTGGAAATCCTTGCGCTTTTATCTTGGTCTAAACAATATGTTCTCTGGAATTTTGAAATGCTAATCAATTAGGATTTTAAGGTTTATTATAAGTTTTATCATAATGTTCATACAACTTTAACTTATGTTGGTCAGCAATCAGAACCATCTGATTGTCAAAAGTTTAAAAGTGTGCTGTAAAAATACAGTTGTTTATTAAAGGACCACACCTGATAGATTACTGCAAAATGGCAGTTTACTGGGAAACTCCAGTCTAATGTTTTATTGAGAACTGCCATGCTCTGCAGGCCAGCCCAATTTGAGTAAATGCACACAAAAAGTCAAAACTGCAGACTGAATCTTGCTCTCTGCAACCTTTTGTTGTTCCCAAAGGCATAATTTTCAATAAACATCATTCAATACATTTGTCTTGAATTTTCTCTAAGAGTTCTTCCCTACTGATTTGCTGATATTTTATTAAGCCTTAGAGTGTTATTTTAAAATTTCATCTTGTATATTATATTTTTTATGTAGATGAATTGGATATCCAGTCACCAAATTCAATGCTGACAGCTACAACTGTTTGGGGAGCACTGAGAGGTATCATTCAATAAAAGAGTTATATGTTACTTCTAATGGTCAGGGGCTTTGATATCATGTTCCTAAAGATGCCCCCTAGGAAGATAAAGTAATGCATATATATAAAGTAGCAATGTTTCTCATACAAAATATGTGTCATAGGAAAACAGACCATCTCACCTGTTCTTTTCAAACAACACATCTTTTGTGTCATTAAAAAAAATGAGCAATAATTTGCCCCAGAGACACCTTATTTTTTTCCAAAATTTCAAAGTGATCTTTTCCAAAAAAATTTCCCAGTCTTTAGTTGTTTTTTGTATAAGTTAAATTGCGCGTGCTTTTGACCCCACGCGCAAACAGGTGTTTTTGCAGTTTTCTGTTAAAGGGCTTCTCCAGCCAAATTTTGCACTTGCATTTTATTGGCTATTCTTATAAAGAAGTTGAGCCTGCTGATCACGAATTCGTTATTTGTTTTTTTTACAGTTTGTGAGATATAAGCTCTTGCATTTCGATAATTGAATTGAATTAACCGACAAAAATTGTTCGGTTTGGTGACACTGTGACGCAATTTTGACGTCACAGTGTATTTCGGATACTCTCGCCTCAAACCGAATCGAACGACGGCGATTCGCAAATTGAACACTGCAAGTGATGGTACTCTCAGTTCTGTTCTCAACGCGTTACCATGAGTTCTTCACGCTTCGGTGGAAGATATACGAAATTCATGGCGAACGAGAGCCACACATTGTGACGTCAGAATGTCACCAAACTGATTTGGCTTTTGTCGTTTTTTTCTCAGAAAGGTGCAACTTTAAAGCCTTATAACTTCTAAACTAATTGGAATTTTGCAAAAACAATGACTTTGTCATAATACACGCACCAGATGGTAACTTTTTAGTCGATAAAAAAATTGTTTTTTGCTGGAGAGGCCCTTTAACATAAATTTCCCATGGTCTCATGATTGTTTATCCTTTCCCTTGTTACTTGATTTGCACTTTTGACCACAATATGATTTTTCCAATTTTTGAAAGTGATGTTTGGCTTTTGACTGAATGCTCCTTTCAACTTAGCGTCTCGTCTTTCAGCTAAGTCGCCATTAGCATGTTAAGTGTAATAACTGATTTCCTGTCAAAACGTAATTAGGCCCTGAAAGCAAGTAGCTGTTGGAAACAATTTTTACTTGCTCTTGTAACTTTGGAGAGTGACGACAACTTTTAAAAGATGGCTGCTAAGGGCAACAAAATCTGTTATGTATTGATTGAATTGAGTTTTGCTCTTGCACGTATTCGAGTGGCTTTTCTCTTCTTGCTCCTTTTACCAATTTTATCAGGTTTGTATTTCAAATTTTCTTACAAGTGCGATCGCACGCGCAAATTTGTTTACATGTGCGATTTGCCACACACGCGTAATTTTGCTCAAGAAAAGGACTGCCTTTCATCTTAGGGCTGAAGTACACTATTTAATTGAATTCAATAAATCAAATTGTTCAACTTAAAGAAGTTTCCATTTCAGATCTCTCAGTTTAAGGCGTGTATTGCACGCCTGCGTGCGCCACGGTTTGCATCTAGGCGAGGAAGGTGCTCATTTTGTCACGCGCCTGCTTCTCAAAAGTAGCGATATCGCACGCCTCAACAATTTGCAAAGATTTTCTTTTGATCAGAAGCTTGTTGTTGCCCCAGAAATAATTTTCTAATCACAGCGTTCATTGTTTAGGAAATCCCATAACAGAATATGCCTTTTTAACAGTGATAAACTTTCTATGCTGGTTGAGTATGATCTGTACAGGAAGTAATTTTTAGATTAAAAAAGTGTTTAAAGTCTAGCTAAGTTTGTTCTGTGCATTACTGTTGCCAATTTATGTTGGGATCAAAATAATAGAAGTTTTTTTTATGTGTCTATAACACTTGTAAGAAAAATTCTTTATAATACTTTGGTACCAAAATACCTAAGTTTGAAATTGCACGCCTCTAGGAAAAAATTTTCTTCAAAGTGCGATCAGCCACACACCTACTAGAATTTCTACTGAGAGGCTTGCCAATAACATTCATTCAAAAAAATTGAATTGCTTTTAAAAGCGTTCCCGCATTTTGTCATGGACTCCAATGAGGAATGTGCTGCTGCTTCTGCTATTATGGGAAAACAAAAAGGAGCATGCAAAAAAACTAGATAAGAAAATACAGTAGAAAAAAAAATGGACATATCAAACTTTTTAGAAGGAAGTTTCAATTGTTTGAAAAGAACTTTTTATTCTGTTATGAATATGCAAACAGGTTTAACAGCATTTCCTCCTTTGGCAGATTTGAAAGTTTGATCAACAGTGCTTCTACCTATGGCTGTCACATGTTTATCTGTATCTTGAGCTTTTTGATATTTCAGTGATTGTCTCTTTTTTTCTTTTCAGGACTTGAAACTTTTAGTCAAGTTGTTCATCAGAATGAGAGTGGATCAGTAAGTTTTCAGTTGATTCCATTTATGTACATCAACCTTAGCATTAATGCTTTCAATCAATTTGTTTTATGAAATTTTCAATTACCAAGTTGAGTATCATTAATCGTTACCAAGTTTTTGTTGTTGTTGACAGATTCGCATGTCTTTAGTGAACATTTGGTATGGAGGGTACCCTCATCCTCAAAATCCCGCATCATCTTTCTGTGTAAACTATTAGCATACTGGATGTCTTTTAATCATTAGTTCATCACTAGTTTATTGAACCAGGCTAAACATATAGAAGTAAAGAACTTTTATAACAACTACTGGAAATTTTAATGAAATAATGGTCTTAATAAAGCAAGCACACTGAAACTCTGCCTTAAAACTTATAGCTAATTTTTTTATTTGTATTCAAGCCAGGTAATATCTCATACAGTATATCCACCATTTAGCACCTCTTTTCTCGCTTCAATGTACTTGCATTTCTAACAGTAGATTAAATAGAGTGAACATGTCAGATTTAATATTGATCCTATTTTTGTTGTAGTACTTTGTTCAGATGAATCAGATTGTCGACTTTCCACGATTTCACCACAGGGGATTTCTCATTGATACCTCAAGGCATTTTATTGCATTGCCAATCATCCTGAAGTTTGTGGTAAGCACCAAGCTTTACTTTGCTTTGCCTTTATATGAATTCATTTACCTGGCATTTGAATTTGGTGTATGTTTAGTTATTCCTTGTGGCTTCTCTGAATAGTTTTCAATATCTTTAGAATTATGTTGAAAGTACTTTGTTGTTTAGCATTAATGAAATCCATATATGAAACATCCATTCAACATCTAAAATATAGTATGAATTTCTGATGTAGGCATTAGAGGGAACATTTACGAGCATTGATAATGTTATGAGACCATTAGAGTTGTTAGCAATGATAACACAGTTTATGTTATGTTTTCTAAAGTGATAATATAATTATATATTTGTCCAATTTCAATGTTGAAGGGTATTCAGTATTCTCAAACTTCCAATGCATCTGAAATGCCAATTAATATGTGTTCCTGAATTCAAGTAGATTATGATACTAACCTGGCAGTTTCCCAAAGTGAACATACTTTTATTTTCAAAAAAAGGAAATAGAAGTCTAAATGAGCAGCAGACTGACAGTAAGATGACAGAAAAATAGATGCATGTAGAAAAAGAAGTTTTTATATTCAGAAGAAGGAAATTGCAAAGGAATAGGAAATTTTTAAGATTAGGGAAGCATGTAGAAGTAATTGTTGTTATTTTATCTATCGACAGCTTTTAGATTTATTATAGATCATACTTAATATTATTTGATAAAATTATTGACAATGATTGAATGCTGTGCCTCAATAATTATGCATCTGACAAGCTGTCACTCACATAAACAGTCCTGAGCGAGGGCAAATTGCTCTATAAAAAGCTCTAGTGGAAAGCCAGTTGTTTTATTAAAAAATCTTTGGAAATAATTTGTTTTCATGAGAAACCTTTATGCTGTTTGCAAGAGTGAATAGCCCCTCCAGCAATCCAATGCATGCACATCATTGCGCTGTTCAAACCCTGCAGAACTATGCCATGGAATATATAGTAAATTACTGCTGTGTTGTGTGAATGTGATGGTATTTGCATGCATATATTGAAGCAATTACTCTTAGAGCAGTCCACATTTCAAAAACGGGTTTGCACAATGCAGAGATAACTGATAAATCGATTTTACCCAATTTCATGTTATTTTGTACTTATAGGATGCAATGGCTTACAGTAAATTCAATGTTCTTCACTGGCATATTGTTGACAACCAAGCCTTCCCATATGTCAGTAAAACCTTTCCAACGCTTCATAGCCAAGTAAGTGTTACGAAAAGACTCATTTATAATTTAGAATGGACTATAATCAAACTGATCAAACAATATTGTCTTTTTGGTTTGTATTTTCTGTGCCAAAACCATGGTCCTCTATTTTATCAGCAATTATAATAAACATGTCATCTTCATCAATTATAATCATGAATCATGGTTAATCATTTTCGCTACCATCGATCACCATCATCATGATCATCATCAGTTACCATTGTCCACTTGATCACAATCTGCCTCATTGTCTTAATCATCGTGAGCATTAACATATCATCACCAATCATTGTAATCATGATAATCACTTTCATCATCTTTGTCATCATCACATTTATTCTTACGTCAATCAATTACCATCAAGTTAAATAGCGTCAAAATTAATCAATGCAAAAGGCTTCACACAGGTCAGCTTAGTATTAGAAAAGAGAAACTTTTAAAGTACATACTTGTCAAGGGAAAGATACCTGACACTTAATGCTTGTTGTATTTCAGGGTGCATGGAACAATAAGACCCATATATACACGCCAGATGATGTTCAAACTGTTATCCAGTACGCTGCAAACAGAGGAATCCGTGTTATGCCTGAATTTGATACTCCGGTATGCCCATTCCAAAACTTTGCTTTCAAATGGTCATAAAATTCACTTCTAATTTACTTAATATTTTCCTCCCACTGTCTCATGTTAGCCAATTTTACTTGTTGCCTCCCTCTCTTCTACATCTCATGTTAACTTCTTTAAACTATGTAATGACGCAAGATTTTCCTTGTATTCAATATAAAAACCCTAATTTTTTCTTAAAGGGCCACACTCGTTCCTGGTACAGCATTCCTAATTTGCTCACAAAATGTTACAGTGGCTCCAAGCCTGACGGGTAGGACATCAAAGTTATTGAATTTCTTATCACATCGCGAACAGTCTTCCACGATTCATTCTAATATGCGAAGCCTCTTAACTGTAATATCTAAAGCAGATCTTGTAATTCCAATGTATCGTCTAAATTTTTTATTTTAAAGCAATAAACACAATGTTTTGTTTCGGAGCTTGAGTACAGATTTTATAAGTTATAAAAGAGAGTGGAATCACACTTCAAAAGAGGTTCTTTGAAATAAAAAAGAACAGCCTAGATCAATCAAGGGATATTTGTTGAATCATGTTCAGAAATATGATTATTAATTATGTGCTTCCAGTATGTATGATTTGAATTTCATGTCAACAACTGAGTATTTTTAAACATATTTGGAGTGTCTGCTCGATCAAAGCAAAATTTTCTAAGCATCATTCAGAATTGTATTTGAAAACATGATTTAATGTCTTACATCTTGTTTTATTGTAGAAGTCTTGGACCAATAGACCCAACAATTGATGCGAATTATGATTTTCTCAAGTCCTTTTTCACCGAAATTTCAGAAGTTTTCCCGGATTATTATATGCATCTTGGAGGGGATGAAGTATCATTCTATTGCTGGTAAATTAAATTCTTTGATCAAATTTATACTTTCATGACAGAGAATAACGACCTCTCTAAAAGGATCGGCAGTAAAGATTTTTCTAAATTTATCATTGAACCCTAAATTTACTTAAATAGTTCATGCTTTAATTTCCGCATGTTTAGCAGCTAGCTAAGCATGTTTTTAGCAACAAATGTACATTTTTGTTTCTTTTACTTTGCTCTATAGACTGGTCCTTTTAGCTTTTCTAAGAAGAAGATCAGTAGATCAGTAGAAGATCAGTAGGGAAAGAAGATCAGTAGGGAGACTTATGTTGACCAACTCAAGCCCTTGTTATGACTGTGCACAGGTCTAATCTAACAGAACAAAAGTTTAGTCATGTTTGGCAATGTAGTTCATAGACTGAAGAGTTGAGCGTTCTAAGCAATTGAGGTTTATTATGTGTTTTAGGCAGACGAACCCAATCATAAAGAAATGGATGGATGAACATGGTGTCCAAAATTATTCTGCCCTTGAGCAGTACTATGAGCAAAAGTAGGTGTTAATCCTTTGATGGAAAACTGTCAACTTCTAAAGAAAAATTGATAAAACTATGTTTAACTTACAGTGGCATAATGATATTTCTGCATTCGCATAGCAGCGAGTCCGTTTTAGATGTTTCAGATGTCGCACCGGGTCTCGATTGATTTTCTGTGTATGCTCACTGTCTTCGAACTCTAATCCACATGTTTGGGCCCTGTATCAAATATTAAGACAATATGGCGAAAAAGCCCCACAGTACTGGGTCTCGATTGTAGGTAGTTTCAAACGATGCTTTCCTGTCTGTAAAGGACCCTTGAAGCATCTTTTGTTTTTAATGAGGATTCCAGCTTATTGAATAAAACTGCAATAGTTTCAGACTCCAATAGACTTAGGACTTTTCGGGAGCAAAAGTCTTTCTTATTTCCAGGATTCTTCAAATGGGGCAGCCTTTCATTTTCATTCTATTCTAGGTTGATTGACATAATCAATGGACTTAAGAAAGGATACGTTATCTGGCAAGAAGTTATCGATAACGGCGTTAAGGTAATTAGTATTTCGTAGAACATCAAATTGTGAGATATTTCTCAAGAGCTGTCCCATAACGATCAGTTGGAGTGTGTACTTTTGTGTTCACTGGGCCTTTTTGGACAAGGCCTTCACTATTTTGAAAATGCAGAAAGATTGCAAGTGTATACCTTTGTATTCGTTGCGCATACAGAGCATAACATTTCATGCAAGTTCTTCCAATAATGCCCGATGTGCCCCCTTTTCTTGCAAGACATTTCAATTATAAACGCTCGGTTGCCCCCCCCCACCCCTCCGCCCCTTTCCATTTTTTTGTAACCGCTTAATCCTTAGGTTTTCATAATACTGCCATTGTCAAAGGCCATTTCGTTTTAGAGACGTTGTTTCTGCATAGATATGTTTAATTAACTGAAGCCTAATTTTTTTACTTGAATTTTGTTTGTTTAGTCAGCGTCAAAGTTTGTTTAGTTTAGGCTAGACTAGATAGTGATGGTGTTCTGTTGCCATAGTGAGAAATGGAATAGCGTAAGTCATTTTTATCAACTGTATCTTTGCATTTAGGTAAAGCAAGACACCATAGTAAATGTATGGAAAGGAGGCTGGCAAAACGAGATGGCCAAAGTTACAGCACAGGGTTACAGAGCGATCTTGTCGTCCTGCTGGTATCTGAACTATATTTCATACGGTCCTGACTGGCCAAATGTAAGTTGATTTTTCTATTTGGAGTTTATTTCGTAAATGTAAGTTTATTTTTCCAAAACAGCCTAAGATGAGATATTTAAGCATCTTATTTTAGAAAATATGACAGTATGAGATAGCCAAGCTTCGGGCTTTGTACGACAACAGTGGATACATGAAGTTTTTTTCTACTGCTATTGAAAAATATCTTGCCCTCAATGTCATATATGCACAGCTTTGTTTACCCAATAGCCTCTGGCTAGCAATCTCGCACTATCAAATAACAATTGATTGAACTGGAATTTTTTAGACTGTATATAATTAGGGTGGTTACGGCGTTGTGAAAGTTTGTGTGGCGAAGGGCCCGTTAAGATTTTATTTTCACCCTACCTAACCCTTTTTGCAAGATTATTAATTTGCCAGCTAGGACATCTCAAAAATGTTGTTAATCTCAAAAATGGCTGCCGTGTAGTTATTTGTGTAGTGTTTTGTGAAGCTTTTCAATGTTACTTTTACCTTTAGTATTATAAATGTGACCCTCAAGATTTCACTGGTACAAAGGAGCAGAAGGATCTTGTCATTGGTGGAACCGGTTGTATGTGGGGTGAATGGGTGGATGGAACAAACTTGCTGTCAAGAACATGGTCAGCTTATGATATGCTTTTTCCTCTTTCATTTTTGTTGACCTTGTTAATGGAACTTTAGTTAGTACAAAAGCCTTTGAGTACGATAGAAAGGTGCGAGGAGGAATTTTAGTTAGTACAAAAGCTTTTGAGTACGATAGAAAGGTGCGGAGAGGAAATTCATTTTTGCTTTAAATGACATTCCTCACAGCCGCCAGCCCTAGAATGGCACAACTTTTGGCACAACTTACTCAAGTAAAACCGGTTGTCTGAACACAATTTTGTATGAAAACCGTTTCACCAGAAAATCCCGGTCAACTCAGGAGATTATAAACTTTCATATAGCCGTGATCTCGGTCATATCTTTTGTAAACCAAGACTCCTCAAGTTGATCTGCCATCTTTTAGTAACCATATTTGTTTTCCAGTAATTTTATAAGTTTTCTAAACATTTTGTATCGAATGCGGCCTAGCCCAAGCATAGGTTTCAAATTTTGATTTATAGTAAAATGTATTTCAAGACAGTTTCAAGACCAGTTCTCAGTATGTAATGGTTACACCTATTTCTCTTTCAGTTAAATATATCTTGCTCAGTTTTGTCATCGTAAATTTTTTCACTACCAAAACCCAGACACGAATGTTCTGAAGATTTCTGCTCGTTATTTTGGTAGTTCCACGATCATCTTGGCTTTGTGTAAAAAGGAAATATCATTTGCTGGTATCTTTAGCAAGTGTTGTGATTCTAACTATCGATGAAAACTCTACCTACACAGAACTTTGATAAAATCAAAATTTTCATTCAGTTTTATTGAATTTTCATGTTTTTATTTAGGGGCAGAGCTTTAGCAGTGGGTGAAAGATTGTGGAGTAGCAAAGAGACAAATGATGCCAAAGAGGCAGAAGGCAGAATTTGGGAGCATCGATGCAGATACCTCAGGTATGACAACCTTAGTCTCTCTTTTTTGGTATGAATACATCAGATTATCAGCCAGGAAGTCATAGTAAAACATATTTATTAAGCGACTGTGGAACTGCCGCGATCCTTTTTGACAAAGGACTTAAGTAGCTTATTTGACAGAATGACGAGACTCTATACAACCTTTCCCGCATCGGCACAACTCGCATAAGGATAGGTGTCTGAATGTCGAGAGTTGACTAACTAATGTAATGGTAGGTATTTGGAAGTAATGGGAAGTAATAGGAAGTTTTTGGGGTTTTAGATTAATGTTGTGTGATGGTAATAGATTTATCAAAAGAGAAATCATTTGCAAGCGTCCCATACTCGGGGCGGCTTTACTTTTCCGTATTATCCTAAGGTTCTACGTAGTTTATTGGAACAATTATTTGTCTGCTTGTCTGCGTTGTTTCTGTTTGTGCTTTGACTCGATTGATCGAAATTTCTCTCCTTCGGAAATTGGCATTTTAGAGCTGTTGGATTATTTGAATGCTCGAGGCGCACCTATTGTAGTGTTTCATGACTTTTGCCTGTCTGGGAATCACACCTGCTGTGAACGACATTTATTAAACTTTTGTCCAAATAATCGTATTCTTGCTTTGCCGATCAGTAGCTGCTATCTTTTAGATTCAATTTATTTTTTGCTGCTCCTCGCAATTACTTGTTTCCAAATATAAAATGTTTTCAACTTCCTATTCTTAATAATGTTTGAACAGATAAAGCAATCTTGCTGATAAAAATTTAGAATAAGACATATTGACTATGAGTACCAAGACATTATCCTCAAAAGTACTTGAACCGTTTAATTGCAAAGTTTTTTGATGAAATGTTCGGATCATCGAGAAATACAAAGATTGTAATGGATAATAATTTGCGTTTTTAACAGTAATATTTAGACAGGCTCCTCCTTCATTAATCATGTATGAACAGATTGTCTGAAGGTATAGATATATATAGAGTCGTTGGTTGTCGTTTGCTGTTTACTTTTAAAAGTAGTGCTGGCCACATCGTTGCATGAACTAAGGTATCGAACATGAAAATTGTTAATACAACAACCCCGATGAACAGTACGTTGAAAGGTAATATCCGTGGTGGTGACGAGAGATACCAATGGAACCCGTCTATTATCGTCTGGCTTTGTTTTGGCATAATTGGACTATGGCTAAACGCAGTTGAATTTGTATCAATAACGTGCAATCGACGGAAAATGACGGCTTTTTACCTAACTCTTGTTTCCCTTGGTTTTGCGGATTTGCTTGCTTGTGCATCGTACGTGTTCTACGGTGGGACTTTCTTGGCTACATACTCAAGTTCAGCGACAATTCACCCTGTATTCAATACTGTCCGAGTTGTCTCTCAGAAATTGATTTTTGGTTTTTTAGCAATATCGTGTATCCATATCGTTTTTATTGCTGTTCAAAGATTATGTGCAGTCAGATTTCCATTGTCCTTCAGTCGTGTGTTCTCCACAGCGAAATGCCACGTTTGCATTGCTATTGCTTGGTGTGTTGGCCTAACTTATGCTGTTCTCAATGTATACAGCGAAAGAGTCGGAATCGTATCATGTTATCAATTGCTCGTCTTCGGCGTTATGCTTATTGTAATGTACTGTGTTATAATTTGTCAAGCAACATTTAGGTCTCCGGTTTTGAGAACCAACAGTACAGCGAGCATGAAGCAAAGCAAGCGAGTTCTTATTCATTCCATATGTGTCACCATCATTTTCATTGCCTGCAACTTTCCTTATGCGATCAACTTTCTGTTCTTCGCGAGCAATCGAAGTCCTTTGCGATATTTTTATGGTCTTCTCGCACTCAGGGCTATTTTAGACCCTATGCTTTACTTCTTCATTCATCGATGTAAAAGCGTTTCAGTGGCTGTCACCAGCCAATGACGTCACTGATTATATTTCTCAAATTTTCTTCAACTGAGTGGCTCAATCTTATTTTTTCCATTTGAAGGAATATAAAATAATTTACGGCATTGCTTTTGCTTTCTCTTCATACGTTTGATGCATCGGGTATTTCCAGCGATGCGAGCGAACGCTACCTCCAAACATTTTGTGATACACTCGCTATTTTCCTCGTGGGATTTGTGGGTGCTTTGTCAGATAGCCAGCTTGAATTCAATCTGAATTCTTCGATATGAATTTGTAAGATCTATAGAGAAAAAGAGATGCTGCCTTTGATCAGAAAATTGACCGAGTACAAACGTACAACGCAAGAATCGTGTAGCATCTTCGATAAGACTTTACTTGTGTTTACTCCATGCATTTGCATCGAAGTCATTGTTATCGATAATAACATGGTTCTAGAACGCAAAAAGGTGTGTATATGAAATATTGTTGCCTCACGTGCCCCAGAAGATAGTAAAATGATTTCCTTAGCTCCTGGTCCTTGCTCACAGGCAAGGAATTAAAAAAGCATGCTTGTTCCTTTTCCTTGCTTGTTCCACTGTCAGCCTTGTTCCATTTGATGCCCTCAGTGTATTTTTTTTATGTTGGCTCACCTTTCGAGGGTCGTGGAGTCTTTAGAAGACGAAAAGATATCATTTCTTGGCATTTTAATAAAAGGGAATGTAATGTAATAGTAAGCACAGTAACATTTTAGTGGTAGCAGAGCTTCAAGCACAATACAAAAGTTTGGTATAATAAAAAGCTTGGTAAAATATAAAGCTTGGTAAAATTTCTGCTTGATTTCGGTCATTATCCAACATTTATACTCTTGAGGTATGCCGAACGAAATGTTTCCGAAATTTTGTGCCATCTACAATTTTGACTTGTAGACGTAGATTATATTTTAAGCTTTGATGCTTGCAGACTGTTTCTACACTTTCTTCAAAGATTTTTTTAGACATTGCATTAACACTAACATTCAGATAATTGTTGCTATTTATGTCATTTTTGTCACACTTCTATCCACAAAGGCCTAATTAGGGGTCCTTTTTCAAAAGGCCTTGCGTATTTCTCTTTTTCCACATAGTGAAGGTACTTCGCGATTAATCTTTTAGTTTCTCAATTCCGAGGAAAGTTTGCTTTATCTTCAGGGATTTTTTGTCGAGAAGTAAGCTTGAGATTGTTTCAAACTGAGTTTAGAAGATTCGGTTGGCTACTATTTTTAATGATTTTCCCATCTTTTATCCCTAGGAGATTCAGTTGGCTACCTTTTTTAGTGATTTTCCCAACTTTTATCCCTAGGAGATTCAGTTGGCTACTATTTTTAATGATTTTCCCAACTTTTATCCCTAGGAGATTCGGTTTACTGCCATTTTTAATGATTTTCCCACCTTTTATCCCTAGGAGAGGAATCCAAGCCGAAAACGTGGTGCAGAGTCAATACTGCCTTCATGAATGGAGAAACCCACGTGGGTGAAACAACCCTGGTTCTGGCGTCGATATCTGGCAATTTATGATACTGTACTAAATACTTGATGATGTCTTCTGTTCTATTCCAGTCTATAAACTGGTATTGCCTTTATGCTAACCAAAATATTTAACGTTGTGCAATTGATTGGCTTTGAAAAGATGTATGTTGCAAGGGATGGACTTGACAACGTCCCCAGTTTCCCTTAGTAGCAAATATGAATGATGTAATTTTTAATTTAATTTTTGATACTCGTTGCTTTACGGCATCTTGATGTAAATTTTTATCTCCAATAACCAAAAGCGTGTTGAACTCTTTACTTTTTGTATTCTAGTTGCCTCTTCTTAAAGACGGCAACTCTACTTTTCATTTCCTTGTGAGTATTGCTTGCAAAACACTTGTGTCTTTTATCGAATTGTCTACAAACCAAGGCTCATTCCTGTTACCAAGGCCACAAACTCACCATGGCTTATTCCTGTAAGTTCATACTGCCTCGTGCTATGGAACATTATAACGATTGTTCATGTCTTCTCTTAAAGCGAATTTAATCTGTTTAATGATGGCATCATTGATTTTTTCTCCTTCTAAACCATTTTTCCTCAAGCATCTCTATAAGCTATTTTCCCTTGATAACCTATCTCATAATTCTTGCTTTAGGAGCTGTGTGAATTAAATGAGTAAAAAAGGCCTTACAATGTGGCTCTGTACTTTAAATTTCTCTGCAAGTTTATTCCATACACAGGAATACAGCAACAGTATGACCAATACAGCCATCAAGCCCACGTGGCATGGTTAAGCGCTAGCTAAGCAAGAGACGTATATTTGCGACAATGCCTAAAATGTTCTCGCGTTATATTTGAGTCACTTTTGTGATAACTCGACCACTTTCTTAGAGCCCAGTTGATCCTGTCACCGAAACCGTGTCCAATTGATCCTATTACCTAAAGTCATGTTTGTCCTGTCATCCAACCAAAGTCCTGTTTATCCTGTCCCCCAACCAAAGTCCTGTTTATCCTTTCACCCAACCAAAGTCCTTTTCATTCTGTCACCCAACCAAAGTCCTGTTTATCCTTTCACCCAACCAAAGTCCTTTTTATCCTGTCACCCAACCAAAGTCCTGTTTATCCTTTCACCCAACCAAAGTCCTTTTTATCCTGTCACCCGACTGGTGTCCAGTTGATTCTGTCACTCGACCAGAGAGTCTGGTTTATCCTGAAGGTTTTGAAAGACTTGGAAGAAAGAAAAATGAACACCTTCCTACACTTGGTTTCGACGCTGCTGCTTGGCTGTGTCGTGAATATTTTAACGGATTAACAACAATGTATCTTGTGTAGAGAAAATTGTCTTTGATTATAAATGAACCGTTGTGTCCCACTGACCCATTTTGTCCCATGATACCCTGTTAAAGTTTTGAAATGTTTCAGGATTTGTTATTTATTCGGCCGTGCTGGAGCTCAACTATATGCGAAAGCTTCTGGCCCCGTTTTTTAGACGATATTAAAACTTTCCTTGGTGGGTTTCAAATGTCTGCTTAGGGCATTTTAAGTCTCCCCTTGAAGAATTATAAACCATACAACGGAGACTCTTTGGGATTCAAAGTTAACGCTAAAGATGTGCTACCCAAGAAGCAGCGA